GGATCACCTTACAGTATACATTAAATATCATAGGATAACCGGATAACCTTAGAAAAATGTCAAGCGAAAATTCATGCGAACACCATGACGTTTCATCAGGATTTCCTCGCCGCTTAAGCCAGTGATGCAGTCGGTTTTCGCTGGACCAGTCGTTCGGTTCTCTGGTTTCTTTTTCGACCCCAAGCTGGTTTGTGGCTATCATCTTATATTGTTCATAATCAAAGGATTCGTTTTTGCTGATAATCTAAACTGGTTGGTGGTTTCAACCAACCCCTCTGAAAAATATGAGTTCGTCAGTCGGAATGATTATTCCAAAAAAATAGAAAAAATGTTCCAAACCACCAATCAGTCTATAATTATGACTGTCTTTTTTCCACACGATTCGAGCAACGTCACTTCAGAGGTTTGTCCCTGTCAAGACCTCCGCCGCAGATTCGCTGCAAAGTGACGAGCTTCTTTTGACGAGTTTGGCGTTCAGGCACTAATCCGAGAGTAAGTTGGTTGGCGAAGCAAACCCAAATAAAGAAGACACACCAAGAACTCTAATTGAACATGTGTTTTGCTGTATTTGATACCTACCTAATGTTAGTCAATTGTACATGTAGAATCATTTAGACAACTTTCCTGAAAGGCAAGAGCCACATTTGAGACCACCAACCAGAAAATGAGTTGGGCTCCTGTACACACTTCAAAAATGTGGAACGGGAAACCGCCCTGTCCCAGACACCCTCGCTTCGGCGCAAGCCGGTGAAGAGTTCTGGGCCCATGGAACTGCAGTCATGGTCAAGGTATGTCAAGTTTAACAATTCTTTGCGTCAAGCGAAGTACCAAAGGTAAAAGAAAAAAGTGAATCATGGTGATGTTTTCACAATGTGATTGTTTAAGAATGTCATTTTTACCATCCATATATTCATGATGATACCACCTATATATTAAAACATCCATTAAAACAATGTCAATAACACCTATATAATTTTATGATGACTGGGGAACCATCCCAGCCTGGGGCCTGTCTTCTGAACGGACCTTGTCTGGTGCCTCGTCCCAGCCCATATTGGAGAAAGCTCAGGAAATTTGGCGTGCATATCATGAAAATTATTGATCATATAATGGCTAAGTATACCAAAGTTGGCAAATTCTTACCATATCAATCCATATCATCCATATAATGGCTATGAAGCCGAAAGATATGATAGATTTTGAAAAGGATCAGCCACAGAACACCACTGAATGCTCCAAGTTCCTTTTTGCTGGATTTTCTTCAGATGTCAGCATACTATACCTGAACAATTTTTCAATAGCCTGGAAGGTTCGGCCACTTTTTTTTTGGAATAGTTACTTCAATTCAACTCCATCCAATTCCCATCATTTAGAGTGACCTCGCAATGAGGTCCCAACATTTACAGTATCCATATCTATCCTGTATCGCGTATCCCTGGCTGAAAACAACAAATCATCGACTCGGCAAGGCCCTTTTTTTAGGATGAAACATCCAACTCCCAGCCACTTTCGCTCTTGGGGTCTTCACAAGAACATTTACCATGTGTTTTGTTTTGCAAGTCCCATTTGGGGATAGAAATTCGCAAAATTCATCACAAAAAAAAAAAGGTGATACTTCGACTCTATCAAGTTATAGTAACCCTTTTAAAAGGATAGAAATTGGCAATTCGGAGCCATCGAACCTGACTTGGGAAAGGCCCGGTTCAATTGGAGATCAAGACACCGGGTGTGTTCGAACAGGAGGTGACACATCCAATGGCTACCTGAATTCATGAATCTGGATGTGAACTATTACATTACATTACATTATTATTGTATATTATAGTATATTATATTATATTATTGTATTATATAATATAACAAAAAATCATATCATAGTTTGTGATGTGTTAGTATATGATGACATACTAAAGTACTGTATGTCATAACAGTTAATATTGTGTTATGTTTTAGTATATTAAACAATATTGTATTAAATGTCATTACATTGTATTATACTACATTATATCATAGTATACTATAATATTGTACTGTATATTGTAGTATGTTACTTCATATCATAATATATCATAGTATAGTGTATTGTATGATAGTATACTATATAATGTTATATCAAATAAGTTATTAAATTATATCATCATATCGTATCATATTATACTATGATAAGCTATATTACATTATGTTATATTATATTATGTCATATTACATTATATCATATGATATTATTTTATATTACATTACTTTATATTACTCTATTTTATTTTATCTATCACATTGTATTGTATTAGGGTAGATTAGATTAGAATGGAATATATTGTATCACTATCACATAGATCACTTATCCATGCCAACCCCTTTGATTGAATACATTTACAACACCCCATAGAGATACTATGGTCGTCCGATCGCTCTTTTGAGGGCGCCAAATTTGGAAATATGGAATACAAACTGTCATTCTGCATAGGTATCGTGAACCCATTTGCGTTGGACTTCTTGGCTTTCCAAAGGTGTACAACCCGATTTGGAAAGCGCATGGATTGTTGAGGAGTTATTATAGATGTTGATTGTGGCATTCAGTCAACTCATGGGTGAACCTACAGTAAGATATCATGTAATTAACTTATATGTTGTGCAGTTCTCAGAAAAGTTGCGACTGACATAGCGAACACCAACATGTCGCAACTGGCGACTGGCAAATCTCTATCCAATCTATCTGCAAGCAGCGAGTATCTCACTTGAGCTCTTCTGCTTGCGCAGACGCGCGCACGCAAAGAAAGAAGCAGCATTTTGGCAGTTTCGGCACCATCGCACCAGTTTTTCTTGGGACATTTGTGGTATGATGGGCCATCTAGGCAGCTAAATGCCGCCATGGCTAGCGAGCTGAACTGGTGGTACCCGTTGATTATCATGAGTAATGGAGATTCAATTATCACTGGCGGTGTTTCATGGGAGTTGGGGTGAACCTTCTGGTTCGTTGGTTTTCGCAGCTATAAGGCTCTATTTTTGTGCGATTTCCCAGCCAGCCATGGTACAAACAGACAAAGACTTCACCAAAGGGGAAAAGTTCACCATCAAATCGATGAAAGTGATGTGGATGGTAGCTGAGAACTGCGTTTTTTTTCAGTGCTACCAAGTTGTGGTAACCTTATAAATCTGTTTAAAAGGATAGAAAAGTAATTCAATCACTGTTTTAGTGCGACTTTGCCAATCTCCATTTTCTTGCGGATTATTATATGTATCCTTGTTCTCGGAGACTCGGAGACTTTGAAAACCGGGCTTGTTCACGCCGTCCAAACGAGGGATGGGTGCTTTTTTTCGCTGGGAAAATCATCAAACGACATCAGGATTTTCGAGATGCTCGGGCAAGCCACATGACACTGGAGGGTATATCGCATTGTATGACCATTCTGTGCATATATATATACATACGTATATATATATATATACATATGTAATAAATCACATGTAAAAAATAAGAACACAACATAACCCCACTATCCCATGACTTTCTCGAAATTTGGCCATTGCAATAATCCCAGCCCTGCCAGTTGTGTTGCTTCCTTCGTTGACCGCGGCGACATTGACGTTTCTGCTCGCGGCAGACGACGCGGCTCAGCACCCGACGCGGCAGACGTTGCGCGGCGCCAGTGCAGTCCTGCTGGAGCAAAAGGAAAATGACGTCCGGAGTGGATATATGTTGATACAACAAGAGACGTATGAACAAACTATATATGTATATATAAATATAGACAGATACATATATAATGGATATACACAGATACATATATACCCCATAGGATCCATGTATGCTATATATGGTAACATGGATCCCATCAATATACCCCCAATGTTAGCATATATACCAGCACCATGGATCCGTCATGGGTACTGGAATAAACTTCATAATTCATAAGAAAGCCAAGAAAAATGTCGGGAGTCAGCCCAAGAAGTTGCCAGGACGTCCTCGACGGTTCCGAGCGCCGTCCTAGGGACCTTCCGTGCGTCCGGGAATTTGAATACCGTCCTCATAGCCTGGGAACGGCGCCCCCGTTGGATAGCGTTCAGCTGACTGACAAGTGGTTTAACTATGGTTTCTGGGACTTATAAGTGGTTGAAACTATGGTTTAACTATGGTTTATGTGACTTATAAGTGGTTTAACTATGGTTTAACTATGGTTTATGTGACTTATAAGTGGTTTAACTATGTTATACCTGAGGTTTATGTGACTTATGAGATATTTAACATGGTTTAACTATGGTTTATGTGACTTATAAGTGGTTTAACTATGGTTTAACTATGGTTTAACTATGGTTTAACTATGGTTTAACTATGGTTTAACTATGGTTTAACTATGGTTTAACTATGGTTTAACTATGGTTTATGTGGCTTATAAGTTGTGTTTAACAATGGTTTAGCTGTGGTTTATGTGACTTATAAGTGGTTTAACTATGGTTTGACTATGGTTGAACTATGGTTTAACTATTGTTTAACTATGGTTTAACTGTGGTTTAACTATGGTTTATGTGACTTATAAGTGGTTTAACTATGGTTTAACTATGGTCTATGTGACTTATAAGTGGTTTAACTATGTTATACCTGAGGCTTATGTGACTTATGAGAGATTTAACATGGTTTAACTATGGTTTATGTGACTTATAAGTGGTTTAACTATGGTTTAACTATGGTTTAACTATGGTTTAACTATGGTTTAACTTTGGTTTAACTATGGTTTAACTATGGTTTATGTGGCTTATAAGTTGTGTTTAACAATGGTTTAGCTGTGGTTTATGTGACTTATAAGTGGTTTAACTATGGTTTGACTATGGTTGAACTATGGTTTAACTATTGTTTAACTATGGTTTAACTGTGGTTTAACTATTGTTTATGTGACTTATAAGTGGTTCAACATGGTTTAACTATGGTTTATGTGACTTATAAGTGGTTTAACATTGTTTAACTATCTGGGTAAATTATAATATTTCACTAACCTGAATTAAGGCCATTTGGGAACATTTCCCCTACTAACTATGATTATAGTGAGGTCGCAGTGAGGTCGTTATAATTTACCCAGAACTATGGTTTATGTGACTTATCAGTGGTTTAACTATGTGGTTCATGTGACTTATACGTGGTTTAACATGGTTTAACTATGGTTTATGTGACTTATAAGTGGTTTAACTATGGTTTAACTATGGTTTATGTGACTTATAAGTGGTTTAACATGGTTTAATTATGGTTTATGTGACTTGTCAGTGGTTCAACTTTGGTTTAACTATGGTTTATGTGACTTATAAGTGGTTTAACTATGGTTTAACTCTGGTTTATGTGACTTATAAGTGGTTTAACTATGGTTTAACTATGGTTTATGTGACTTATAAGTGGTTTAACTATGGTTTAACCATGGTTTATGTGACCTATAAGTTGTTTAACATGGTTTAACTATCGCTTAGGTGACTCATAAGTGGTTTAACATGGTATAACTATGGTTTATGTGACTTATAAGTGGTTGTGACTTATAAGTGGTTTAACTATGGTTTATGTGACTTATACGTGGTTTTAACTATTGTTTACCTTTGGTTTATTGACTTATAAGTGGTTTAACATGGTTTACCTTTGGTTTATGTGACTGGATGCCGTCTGGGGATTTGTATGCCGTCCTCATAGCCTGGGGACGCGACCAATCAAAATCAAATGGATGGGGCCCCGGTTGGATAGCATTCCGTTGACTTGTAAGTGGTTTACCTATGGTTTAATGATGGTTTATGGTAGATATAACGAACTAGTTAATTAGTTTTAACTATGGTTTAACTATGGTTTAACTTTGGTTTATGGTAGATATAACAAACTAGGTAATTAGGTTTAACTATGGTTTAACTATGGTTTAACTATGGCTTAACTATGGCTTAACTACGGTTTAACTATGGTTTAACTATGGTTTACCTGTGGTTTATCTATGGTTTAACTATGGTTTAACTATGTTTTAACTTTGGTTTAACTACGGTTTATGGTAGATATAACGAACTTGTTCATCGGGTTTATAAACCAACGTTAATGCCAATCCTGTTTTGGCAAGTTAAACCAGGATAAATATCCCGTCCTGCAAATCATATCATATATACTGGTTGGTGGTTCAACCCCTCTGAAAAATATGAAAGCCAGTTGGGATAATTATTCCCAATATATGGAAAAATAAAAAATGTTCCAAGGATTCCAAACCACCAACAGTGTATATATATAATATTAATAAGTAGATATCAGATACAATCTGAACTGGTGGATTATGGGAAAAGCTCTCCAGAGGTGTCAAGTGATATTTCAACATCTAACTACCAGTGTGTATGTATAGATATATATATATATACGTATACATTACGTATTTGCATAAATTGATTAATTATATTATATTATATATCATAAAAAAATAATCAACTACATACCAACGATATATTGACCACATATCATCTACAATTCTCCGATATCCCCACTTCAATGTCTCCGGGAAAAAAGGGGCCCTTCCAAAGGAGCGCATCAATCATCGACCGCGGAACCGCTGAAGGGCTTGGTTGCCATGACATAGAGAGGGAAGCTGATGTAGACCAAGCCCATGATGATCATGATGGCATAGCCTATGGCATCTCGAACTAGGCAGTCCTAATAGTGGTATTTTAGCCAACACAGTGGAGAAATACCACCATATATACGGCTTATATATGGTTATATTATATATATATATAGAAAACCATCCTGAAGTAGATAGAATCTCAAAATGTCAATGCTCTGCCCATTTGTCTAGGTTTTTTTTGGAAAAAAACATCGTCTATCTACTCCAGGATGACTATACTTGGAGGGTGCAGGACTTGTATGCTGAGAAATCTGGGTATAACCAACGTAATAAGCATCATGAGTTGGCCACTAGGTACCAACTACTGCTGGATTTTTTGGGGAAATGTGCCATATTTCAGGGTTGCTCCAATCCATGTAGATTATAGCAACAAGGACGAAAAATTGGTTATTGTACCGCACCTCGTTGTTGGCAATTAATGCTTTAAAAAATGCCGCCTGGCCTGAGACTATAGAAAATGTTCTGAACATCTTCGATGGTATAGCCTCCAGGTACCACTCATGCTGAACATGTATGAGCATGTGATGAGAAAACATGTGATTGCAAAGAATTTAAGGGTCAAACATGGTCAAAAAAATGCATGGATCAATGGATCATGGGTCTGTATGCTGCAAAACTTTTCTGTGCCAAACTGAGATCATGAGATAAACTGAGCCACCATTGCCACACGGAAAAGTGATGGATTTCCCCCAGACGTTGGTCCATTGGGCTCCCTTGCCACCGGTACCGTTTTCCTCGGCTATGGATTCCATGGCTATGAAATCAACGGCCATGGCCATCCGCCAGGGCCAAGATGGGCTCCTGATGGCCATCCACCTTTGATCTTCCCAAAAAAAAAGAGAGAAACAGAAATCAATCTTTATCCAACTCAATCCAATTCAAAAAAAAATCATTTCAATCCAATATCAACTGCCCCAATCTTGTTCCCGGCCATCCCTGAATCCCTATCCTATCCCTATCCCTATCCAAGAAGCCCAAAATCTCCACCCGTTGAATGTGTCCGCGGGGAATGCCCAGCACTGGAGTCACCTTCTTCCATCCCAGGCAAGCGTGGATCATGAAGATGGCCACAGAGAATATGTAGAAGAAAGACCACATGGGATTTTTGAAGATCTGGAACTCCAGGGCCTTAGAAAAAGTTGGATCATGACTCATTAGAAATATATATATATATACGTATGTATATATATATATATATCCATTCAAGTTCTGAGATTTTTGATCTGGAACTCCAGGGATGAAGTTATCTGGACTTCGAAGGAGAAAAAGATGATCCGGGAAGATGTGCTGATCCTGAATTAATGAAGTGGATGATAACCATGGCTGTGATAGCCCTTTGGGGTTTGTCTGACAATAGGGCACCCGTTTTGTCTGAAAATTCCATGGTTTATTCCCATTGTCTCACTAAATTGCCAGTTGGTGGGTAAACCCCATGTCCCATGTCCGCCCAAAAGAATGTCGTGCAGATCTATGCATCATGGGAATGTTGGGAAGACGGGGGCATCGACATTTGAGGGATCTACCATCTGGTTATTTAACATAGCCATGGTAAATCCACCCATTTTTAATAGGTAAACCTCTAAGTCTATAAATGGGCCATCTATACCATGGCTATGTTAAATAACCAGAGGGTAACTTGAAGGTGCCAACAATGGATCTCCTTTTTGGGGAATGTCCATCTCTTGAAGAGGAGAACACATCTGGAAGATCTGGAATTCTCTGTGAACTAAAATGGTGTCCTCAAATGTGGGTACCCCAAAACCACCAGGTTTCAATACTACCCTCTGGTAAATTAACATAGACCCTGGCAGATAGGGGTTGGAAGACTAGTTTCCATTAAAAATGGGTGATGTTCAGGGTCTATGTTTATTTACCAGAGGGTATTTTCAAAAAAACATGTCTAATGCCTTGGATGATGTGGGGGTACCCCCATTTTAGGAAAGCTCCAATTTGGAATTAGATGGTGATTGAGCGGCGAGAGTTTTTAGAACCGCTGCATGGAAAGAGCGCTGCATGGATTCACCGACTCCAAGTCATGTTTTCCAACTGAAAGTCATGTAGATCTGCACCTCAACTCGCATATATATATATGTATATATATATATCTATTATATATATATATTATAAATATTATATATATTTCTAATGAGTATATATATATATAGGTTTTTTTCTATCTCGCAGAAATATCCATCTTCGCCCCAAAAACTTCGAGTGTGGAAAAGGTGGAGCTGAGCTGAGATCATCCCCGGTTCCCCGGTTCCGCGAAAACTGCGAACTTCCGGTTCGAGTGTCGTTAATTTCTTTTAAAAATTAATGATGGTTAATGATGGTTAATGGTTAATGGTGATTAATTAATGGTGATGGTTAATGGTGATAATGGTGATTAATGGTGGTTAATGGTGATTAATGATGGTTAATGATGGTAAATGATGATTAATTATCTGATTGGTGGTTGAGCCACCTACCCCTCTGAAAAATCATGGACTTCATCAGTTGGGATGATGACATTCCCAACTGAATGGAAAGTCATAAAATTCCATGGTTCCAAACCACCAACCAGACAGTCGTCTTTTCAAAATGGCGTTGTCAAACATCTGTACGCGAAAGGAACGTGAAAGTCATAGGCTATCGCCAGAATCTAGCAGGGATCTCACCATGTTTGCCACTTGAAATGGCTCAATCAATTGAGTAAATGCACCATTTTTGAGCACATCCGAATATCATAGGCTTGGTTATATCAAGTCATATCCTTCCATCTTCTTTCATTGGATTCGTATAAGGGAAAAATTACAGGAAACTCCCATATTTCATGGTAAAAACCCTGGTTTCCTGTAGATGTTCCCAATGATTCTTAGTATCTCCCCGTGGTCTTCCCATTTTGGCATCTCCCAAAACGCACGCACGCCCGCCACGTGTTCACCGCGCGGCATAGATATCTCGCACGCCCACCGGCTCCACATAACTGGCATCCGTCCAAAAGAGGTTCAACGACAGGATGCCCCAGAAGTTGATCAAGTATGGCCTCAGACGCTAGCGGAGAGATATGTGTTCTGCCATTTTACAATGTGGTTAAATCATAGCAGTGTGTCAAAACCTTGTACCCCTGTAGTTCACATCAAAATAGCTGGTAAATGGATGTTCATCCCTTTAAAAATGGTATTAATAGGTATTGACCCATCCCCACATGTTAAAACAATGTCATAAACCACCCATTTGGGAATAATTGATACCACCTATAAAAATTGTGATTTGGGGGATGGTTTATGATTGACTTACCCACATTACACCAAAAACATACTCATCCTGGAGATGATCATATGGATTCTTCCTTATTGCCGTTGTTTTGCGTTCTTTTCTTGAGTTTCCATGTTCTATCAATTGCAGGACGATTAGATGTAAAATTCACTAAAAATCATCGGTGGAATCAAGGAATTGTCAAGAATAGTCCCATTCTACTAATGTTTTTTGCCATGTCCATCAATATGTCTATATATATACAGTATTCTTTATACTATATAACCATGGGACTATACAATATAATCTTCAGGATGACTATATGTCTAATCAATAACTATTGCACCTCCAGGTAGGCAATATATGGCATTCAATCTGGTAAATCTGGTAGCCACACACTTTGTATAAGGGGCATGGCATTCAACAGAACAAGGTGCTGGTTGAACAGCAAACATACGCTGGATTTATGGTGGATCCCTGCAAAAAATGGTAGCTGGTTGGTGGTGCAATGGTTGCATCTTGAAAAATGATGGACGACCCGTCAATGGGGTTGGGATGAATTATCCCAGTAATACTAGGAGTGTAAAATATAAAGACTACCATTGATTATAAAAAAGTCACTACCCTGGTAGTCACTACCCTGGTAGTCACTACCCTGGTTGGTGGAATGGAAAATTAAAAGCCATGTTCCAAACCGCCAACCAGGGTAGTGACTACCAGCCAATGGATTCCATGGTCAGTTTGCCACTCGAAGTTCTGCCGCGCCGCGGTGGGCGGATGTAGTAGGGGCCGAACTGATCGGTGTCGCCTGCAAGAACCGGGGGAATGTGGGGTGCCCTGCGAGACTGAGTCTGGACTATACCCTCTGGGAATTTAACATAGCTATTGAAAATGGCCATTTATAGTGGATTTTCCCATCAAAAATGGTGATTTTCCATAGCTATGTTAGTTTACCAGAGGGTAATGTTTTTGTTCAATTTAACCCAGAACCTGTATGACTCAGAAGCACCGATGAATTACATATCTTTTGATCAGCTCCCCCAACAAAGGCGCTGTGAATTCCTCCGTCAAGGCACCGAAGCGGAACTGGAAGAGGTGGATGGTCATGAAGGTCAGCAGCATCAGACCTGGAGACGCGGCTCGCCGCTTCGAAGAGGTGTGTTGTTTTTGACCAAACGGACAGTAAAGGACGTTTACTTAAAAAAGATTGGAAACGTATTGGAAAGCTAATGGAAACCTCTTGGAAAGCTATTGGAAAGTTATTGGAAAGCTATTGGAAACCTAGTATAAGGACACCGGATGATATCCCGTTACAATGGTTGGTTTTACAGGTTGAACATGCTATTTGTTTGGGAGATGCCAAAGATTGCCAAGGATCATTTTGAAGGCACCTTCACCCCCTGGTCAGATCCCCTTTTCCACGTCCTATCCCCAACTTCAATCACTCATCATGCTATAAATCCATATCTGCCATCCCTTAAATCACCGCAACATCGGCCTTCAAATCAGCATCTAAGTCTTTAAACTCAGAAAAAAAACCTCAGAAAATCCCCCATCTTTTTAACCCATGGCCCATCCAAAACCCCGCACCTGTGATGGCCAGGTTGAGCACGTTGACGCCCTGCGAGCCTACCAGGGCTAGCTTCATGTCCCAGGTGCGCTTCAGCCCCACGAAGACGTGCAACAGCACGGACAGCAGGATGTACTCCTACCGCGGGCACCGGCACCGGGTGGAAAAAAAGTCCTGGGCAAATCACCGGGAAATGTGGAATGACACCATTTGTTTCGCCCATGTTGGAGCAGATGGATGATTTTTGATAGGTAGAGGACCACGAAATGGATGGGTTTTAATACGATTTAATCAATGAGAGACAACCTGTTGGGTTTGTGAGGGATATATCTACGATTGGATGAAACAAAACCAAGATCCACAACTTGCGGGCCGCTCTGGTTGCCTTTTGCAGCAGATTCTCTGAGGAAACTGATGGCTTTGGGTGCGGCATTTCATGGCTAAAAACGTCAAGGTTGGGAGGTGCAGCGAGCCAAAGGTTGGACATTGGGACGTAGCCAAAGGGGCAAGTCGACTAATGAAATGAACATTTCCAATCCTATCACAATGTTGGTTGTCGAGTATATATTCAATTAAATATCCCGATGATATATCCCCAGTGTATACCCCAGTATATATCCCCACTATAGCCACAAAAAATGGTAGTGTTATTGTATGTAAAATCATTCAAAGACTAATCCCTTCACCAATCCCAGCAATAATTTTTGGGGGTCGATCATCAGGTCACTATAAAAGCTCATTCAAAATCCCATTGAAGTGCTTTGCACCGGCCTGTTTGATGCTTACATCCCACGATATCCCCATTATAAACCGATAAAAAACACCCCAAAATCATGGGAAGATCGACCATTTTCAACTGGATCAATTCCATGGGAATCTTTCCAAACATCAAACATCCAGAAAGATTTCCATAGTTCTTAGGGGTTTAGTCCCCAATAAAAAAAAAAAAACGCCATTTTTGTTGCTGAAAACAACATGTTTTTCTTGGTCAATGTTGGTTAAACATAGACATTCCATCAATTCTCCGTCAAATCCCCACTATACATCCCATTCTGACTAGTGATACCCTGTATTCAGTTGGATATATGTATATATATATACACACACACGGTATATCCACATATATCATCATATATCCACACCATTTTTCTTTGTCAAATCCCCATTTTTTGTTGTTGAAATCTCCACGATTGCTGGTAAAATCTTTTTTTGTTCCACGGTTCAACCACCATGGTTGCTGGTGAAATCACCATTTCAGATATCTTCAATTTGCTAAGTCACCATTTTCATCCATTTTCCAACAAAGTGGGACCCTTTTCGTTACCCAAAAGGCCACAACGCCTCGGTTTCCGCCCAAAATCCCGGGCCCCACTGGGCGCGCCTCCACGATGTTGGCCGGCAGCCCGAAGCCCGTCCAGTAGAGGCGCACGTAGAAGTAGCCGTAGCCGTTGAAGTCATCCGGACCTGACGTCGTCGGTCCGAGGTCCGGCAAGGGATTCAGGTTGGGGGATAGCAATTCCAAAGAAAATGGGTGAAAATGGGGAGAAATTCTGAAAAATGCTGGAAAATATGGTGGATTGAAGATGCTTCAAGGAAATTTTATGGTGATTGAATGGTGATAAGCTGCAAAAAATGATAAAACTTGGGTGACAATTAGATGAATTAAACAATAGATGATGGGTATCTTGGGTCTTGAAATGGGCCAGCGTTTTATGGGTATATCTACAATTGGTGATTTAAGATGTGGGTTCTCAAAAGCTTCTAGTGTTGGAGAGCTTAAGGGATTTACCAACTGCGAGATAAACTATGCTGGTGGGACATCATCCAAACCTGCAAGCTGAGACGGCAGAATCCGCCACAAGAATACCCAGTGACATGTCGATGCTGCTCCCATTCAAAATTGTGTCTAACAGTCCAGCAATCAATGGCCATTTCAGGCTAAGTTGGAGGTAGCCCTTACATAGGCATTACATATATATGATCCCGGTCCCCGGTCCCGTAGCCCCCCCCAATGGTATGGTCCCCTACTCCCTGACCTAGAATCTTTCATTTCCATGGTATTTACAGCATTTTGGATGCAAAACCTCATATTTCCATGGTATTTGCACCAGTTTGGATGCAGAACCTCATAATTTGGCATAGAAAATGACAGCATTGCATTGAATAATATTAAAAGCTGATATCACCTACTTTTATAGGAATTAAAGAGTATAGTCATATTACCTCTTTACTACCTATACTACTTACAGGACCCACCCACCTCCCACATCCACAGAGTGGAGGGGGGAACCATGACCATGGGGGGGGAGACTATATACACCCAACTCCCATTCACAGGGGAAGCCATACCATGGTTTTAAGAACCAGAGGCTATGAGGAGTTCGCCAACCAAAATGGTGCGTTGGTACGGGAAGTAGTGGGAAATCTGGAGATATCACCACCCCCCCCAAACTGATATATTCTGGTTGGTGGTTGAGCCCTACCCCTCTGAAAAATCTGAGTGAAAGTCAGTTGGGATGATGAAATTCCCAGCTGAATGAAAAAATAAAATTCTTGTTCGAAACCACCAACCAGATATATATATATATACTAATACGAATAGTTTAACCCTGATAATCCTCCTCTTCGTCCATATTTTGGCAGGTCTGAAAATATAGAAATTCTGTGTCTCCCAACATTCCAATCTCATTTAACGTGGATACCCTCGAAACTCACATGGAGACGGGAAAATTTGCCACATCATCAATTTGGTTAAGGTACATCACATACGTATCATCCCATTATCCATATAAGTGGGCTTCTCTGAAAATGGTGTACTCTAAAATCCAGTGCCTAAAATCAACAGTTTGTCATTAAACGACCATTTGCTGGGGGTTACACCATTTTCAAACAAACCCATACATATACATATATATATGTCATCCCATTATCATATAATCACATGTATAGATATATATATACCCTCTGGTTATTTAACATAGCCATGGAAAATCACCATTTTTAATAGGTAAATCAACTATAAATGGCAATTTTCAATAGCTATGTTAAACATACATATCCCACCGCGTTTTCAGATGACCCCATCCCCATCCATCCCCATCCATCCCCATCCATCCCCATCCATCCCCATCCATCCCCATCCATCCCCATCCATCCCCACCTTTGAAGACGTGCAAGTTGCCCACCGCATGGATCACGATGAAGAGCACCAGCAGAATGGCGGAGCGCGTCAAACCCAGGCGATCGTTGGAGATCTTGATGTTCTTCGCGCTGAAGATCGTGGCTCCCACTTCCTAAGGGTCAAGCTTGAAGATGAAGAGGTCATGGTTCTATGATGTGTATATAGTGTGTATATAGTGTGTATATAGTATATATATGTATATATATGTGTAGAATTATATATACGTATATGATATATACATATATATATATGTATATGTATATATGTATGTATATCTCTATATGTATATATGTATATGTATATATGTATATATGTATATGTATATATGTATATATGTATATGTATATATGTATATGTATATATGTATATATGTATATATGTATATATGTAAATATGTATATATGTATATATGCATATGTATATATGTATATGTATATATGTATATGTATATGTATATGTATATATGTATATGTATATATGTATATGTATATATGTATATATGTATATATGCATATGTATATATGTATATGTATATATGTATATGTATATATGTATATGTATATATGTATATGTATATATGTATATGTATATATGTATATGTCTATATGTATATGTATATATGTATATGTCTATATGTATATGTATATATGTATGTGTATATATGTATGTAATGTAGTTAAGGATGAATAATCAATGATTATATGGTTGATAATGTGTGCATTCTGATGGCCATTGGTTTAAAAAAAATGCCAGGCCATGGTTCGGTTCATGGTCCCAGTCATGGCCGTGGTCTCATCCTCTACATCCACCATGGTTTCTGGGGGGTGTAACGAATATGAACGGGGAAGGGGGGGGTTATGTATTGGTTCTTTGAATGGTTAAGAAAATGATGGAATGATTGGGATGATGATGAAGGTTAGTATTATCTACTGGATACCCTATAATATATATATATATATAGTTACCCCATTTAGTGGGGAGACAAGCATGTGGCCAAACGTGATGATTGCTTATAAAACCGCTAACTATAGATATATCATGATAATTCATGATATATCATCGCCATAAAACCCAACACTTATTTCAGTTGTTTGCAGCAACTTAGTTGGATATTCGTGTCTCATCACAGAATGGGACCCAATTTTCACAGACCTCGCTTCTCAGCCCAGTGGCGTAGAGCATGGCGAGGACCAAAAACCAGGTGGCGTTGAAGTAGGACTTCACATTCAGGATAAAGACGCCTACAGAATTCATCCGGACCCAGGGACCCAGTCTTAACGGACGCAGCTAGGGAAAATATGGGGAAATGGATGCCAGAAAATCATGGAGTTCAGGAGATATGAACAATTAGCTATGAAAAATGGACAATTTCGCCGTCAACGCTAAGGATTTTACCCAAAAAACCTTGATGAAATGTAGGATCCTAAGGGTTGCGCGGAATTTCATATCGGAGGAACATGCAATTGCTGTAGAACCAAACATCTGTCATTAGTGGATATATAGCATATGGCTTTGTCTGAAAATCGTTCCTAAAAACCCATGTTTCATGATCATGTTTCCCACTTGAAATGGTCATACACTGTTAAACTCAGTAAATCTATATACCCTCTGGTTATTTAACATAGCCATGGTATAGATGGCCCATTTATAGATGGCTCGCCTATTAAAAATGGGTGGATTTTCCATAGCTATGTTAGTCATAACCAAAGGGTAATTATATAATCTGGTTGGTGGTTTCAACCATCTTGAAAAATATGAGTTCGTCAATGGGAAGGATTGTCCCATATATTATGGAAAATAAAAAATATTCCAAACCACCAACCAGATAATATATTATTGTTCCTAGTATAGCTTTCCATCGCAGCCTCCATGATCTCTCATTTTCTATGATCTAAAATAGCTTGAAACGGAGCTACACCATATGGCTATTTTCGTCAAAACCCTGGCACACCCTAGGGTACCCCTATAGTAGCTGGTTAATGGATGTTCATCCCCCCAAATGTGGTAATAATAGGTTTCGACCCATCCCCACTTGGTCAAGTCATTTCTTCAAGAAATCCCATAAAAAATGGTAAAAGGAGAATGCTGGGACATCCCAGCGTTCATTGTTGGTTGTTATGGTTTTTATCTTGTTGTTCAATGTTTCTTCCTTATCTTTGATGTTTTATGTGGTGAGGGTTTTGGGACTATTTTGCCCCGAACTTTCACTTGATGGTTTGGTTTAAGATGAGAGGGATAATTGTTGAGGTTGTTGGGGTTTTGTGTTTGTGTTTGGGCGGTGATTACTTCATAATATTATGAATTAATCATTTTATGCTTTCCAGTTTTTTCCATCCCACCAGTGTTCAACCAATCTTATTTGCGTTAAGCACGACTTGTTTGTATCATTCATTTCATCCATCGCTATTGATAAAAGAGCTAGATTGATAATGATTGATAATCATAGAGTCCATCCCACCGATTGCGTTTAGTTCTTTTCCACATTGAATAATAGTGTTTTTATCAACCAAGTTTTCATACATTATTTTGATAATATCAGGGTTCTTGTCTGTCCAGTCTTTTATTCGTGGCAAACCACTTTCACTAATAAATCTGTCAAGGACAGTTTTCCAAAAATAAAAGTCTTCACGAGGTGGCAAGGAATGGTTTTTAACAAAGTCTCTAATCTCTTCATCTTCTTTTTCTATTTGTTTTCTTTCCCAGTCGTCATCTTCGCTCTCAGTCTCACTACCAAAGTCAGCAGATATACCAATATTCCCTGTATCTGTAACCTCAATTTTGGCTCTACTCATTTCTCCTTACTATATATATATATATAGGTATTTTTCTTTAAATATTTATCACTTTTTGTAGCTGCTCTTGTATTTCTTTCTGATTACAGGATTTCTCATAACCATTGAACACTTCTTTTAGTTATTCACGCAAGAAGATTTCCAAAATGTATTTTACCTTAAACTCTCTATTTCTAAATGTAAAGTCCAATCATTTTGAGGAAACCACCACTCCCGCTTGTTCTTACAATACTTCATATATATGTAAGGTCGTGAAAGTTTTTAAGAAGTGATAGGTAGTGTTCCACTCCCTTTTTACAAAAGACTTAATCGCCATTAAGAACAGTTTGTCGAGTTTGAATTCTTGCTCGAGTTTGAATGTGTCCATTAAAACATCATGTTTTTTCATTTGCCGAGTGTTTGTGCGATTAGTATCAAACAAATAGATAGGTGATTTCTCCATCCTTGTTTTAAAGAAATATATTTGTTTTTCTACTCTTGTCAGTTCTTTATATTTAAAATAGTCAAAATGATTCAAAATGATAATTGAAATTTATGTATCTGCGTTCCTTATCATTCAAGTCCTTACATTTAGAACAGTGAAGGTTGTGATTACGTATCTCATCACAAATTCCAGCAGGAAAAATGTTGTTCAATAAAACCCTTCCCCTGTTGGATTCTTATAATACCCAATATAAATAAAGGCTAGATTTTCATCCCCCAACTGATCATCAACCCAGGGGTAGATCGCAGCCACTGCTCTATTTGCTACCCATCCCCATCCCAACGCCCCAACCAACGCCACCCGGGTTGTCGTCGATGTCGGTGCGCCAGTTGGGATGAGTGTCGCCGTCCAAGTGGCCCCAGGCGTGGTGGTTCGACAAGGGGCCACCCTTGTCCTTCCTGCATCGGGAGTACAGCAAGAAAATATGGTGATTTCATGGGGATTTCATAGGAATTTAACAATCAACAATAGGGATTTAATGGGATTTTCTTGGGATATTTAACCAACAACAATTGGTGATTTCATAGAAATTCATAGGATTTGCAGCTGACTTATGGTAGCTAAGTTGGTTGATCACTCCTTTATCACTGTTTTATGGTAGTGTATCCTTGTTGTACAACAACCATAGCTACCATAGCTAGCAGACAACCCTTTTTGGATCCACGTCCGGGGGTCACAACGGGAACCACCCAAGGTGGGGGTGAGCTTTATGGCAGATACATCTATAGTTAACTATAGAAACTATCCTTTATACCACCCATCTATAGTATGTTTCTATCCATCTATAGTATGTTTCTATCCATCTATAGTATGTTTCTATCATTTTCTATCCATCTATAGTATGTTTCTATCCATCTATAGTATGTTTCTGTCCATCTATAGTGTGTCTCTATCCATCTATAGTATGTTTCTATCCATCTATGGTATGTTTCTATCCATCTATAGTATGTTTCTATCCATCTATAGTATGTTTCTATCATGTTCCATCCATCTATAGTATGTTTCTATCCATCTATAGTATGTTTCGGTCCATCTATAGTATGTTTCTATCCATCTATAGTATGTTTCTGTCCATCTATAGTGTGTTTCGATCATTTTCTATAGTATGTTTCTATCCATCTATAGTATGTTTCTATCCATCTATAGTATGTTTCTATCCATCTATAGTATGTTTCTATAATTTTCTATCCATCTATAGTATGTTTCTGTCCATCTATAGTATGTTTCTATCCATCTATAGTATGTTTCTATCCATCTATAGTATGTTTCTATCCATCTATAGTATGTTTCTATCCATCTATAGTATGTTTCTGTCCATCTATAGTATGTGTCGATCTTTAAATGTTTTGTGCCCCCCCTGTGGCTTTATACAGTAAATCTTAAGTTATTGGAGGGACCGCATTTGTTTGGAATGCCCAAGAACGTGGCAGGGAAAACCACCAAGAAAAGCAACATCACGTCCGATTTTTGGGCCTAGTGCTTTATTTGGTGGTTTCCTGAAATGGGGGTACCCCAAAATGGATGGTTTATAAGGGAAAATCCTATTTAAATGGATGATTTGGGATACCCCTATTTTAGGAAACCACAATTTGGTGAACTCTAAATTGCAAACTTCATCCCCATGTGTGCTGTTTATAGGAATTGAACGTGCCGGCTTAATCTGGTTTAAAGGTTCACCCCGACCCCATTTTGTGACGAATCAACATGTAACACGTGTGCAGGGTCAGGTTGTCCTTGTCCCAATGTATCCAAATGAAGTTGGCTAAGTCAACTGTGTATGAAGTTACCTGCTTCCCGATGTCCCGGTTAGTCAAGTGCACTTTTTGCTTGGTTCAACAAATGTTTTTTCCCTCTTTAATGCTGTTTTGGTTGTGTCGACACTGATGTTGTCAAAACATAAAAGGACCATGATAATTCTTCAAGTCGCCATTGCGAAACAATGTTCTGTTGCGAAATGATCGTTCTTGATTCTTGGTTGGTTAAATCCTCAGCTTTCTTCCTGAAATTACCAAATCTGACGTTTAAGACACCCCATGCCAAATCAAGCTAGTATCTCCTTCAAACCCCAACCACTTGACTTGGGGGTGCAGTTGGGGTTACGACTGGATATATACTGCAGTTTAACCATAGTTGTAGGGGTTATATCTCAAGTTATGGGCTCACGGCCATAGTTGGTAACCAATTTATAACCTTAACTGCACTCCCAAGTATCAGTATATTCCATGAAATCCCCATGAAACATCGAATTACCCTAAGATAAAGTAACATAGATGTGGACAAATCAACAATTTTTGTGATGATTTTCCTAGGGTTTTCCCTAGGTTTTCATAGGTTTTCCACATCTACATGACTTCACCCCTCGGGATCTTCGCCTCGCTGGAGCACCACCAGCTTTGGGCGCCGCCGCGGCAACGGCCACGCCGCTGCCCACGTTGCCGATGACCGAGTCGGGGGCATACTTGCCGATGACGTCCGGGGGATGGATCCTGAGGCAACTGATGGCAATTGTTGATCTTTTGGGAACTTTGGGGACTTTTTTGTTGAAATATTCGTCAAAATATTAGCTGGTTGGTGAACAACTAATCTATATTGGGGACAAAACTCATCTATAGTGTACGGAAGTTTTTTCTGGAATCCCTGTTAGCTGTATTCCATGACAATCTGCTTTTATGTTTCGTAGATTGGAAATAACCCTATTAAGGTGAGTAAAACAGTTTCATAAACCATCCCCCAGTCATCACCATAAATATATAGGTGCTGTGGTTGCCATTCCCAGTCATGGCTGTTTTATGACATTGCTTTACCCACATTATCATTATTATCATTGCTCAATGGGTTACTTAATGGATGATGTATCTTTAATAGTGTCAATGACTAATCGGAATAAACCCCTCTAAATAGGGGATGTGATCTATTATCATCATTTACCGTTTTGGTTGTTTAATGTTACCTTAACCAACCAATGGAGGACTTTTGATGAGGAAAATCATGATGTTTGACCAATGGATGTTTTTTGAAATCAAGAACTTACAAAAACAATTCTAGTCTTTAGGGGCTGAACATGATATCAGAAGCAAGAAAACAATGAGTTTTCACATGGGAAGTTCACTGGCCAAATTGGAAGCAACAAAAAGGGGCACAGATGGGCAAAGTCTGCCTCCGGCTGTGAAACCCTGAACGATTTCACAAAAAAACATGTTGCCATCCTTGATTTGTTGGCTCATGTTTCCCAGCATCATGAAGCATTGCCGAGACTTCACCCGCCACCCAATCTGACCCAATCTCTGAAATCGCGTGTTTCCTAGTTGCCTAACAGCGGTACAAATGAGATCAAATGAGCTGAGCAAAATCTCTGTCTTCCAACATTTACCAGATTTTTTACCAGCAAAATCCACCAAAATCTCACCTTGAGTTGCAAACACTTTGCATCCTCCACCCTTTCCCATCTTCCCTATTCCAAGGCACATATTGAACTCCTCCGTGGCATCCTTTCCGGCGAAGGTCAGGATAGCCAGTTCGCCACCAGGGTGTTCGCTCAGGAAACTGGTCACATCCAACACTTGTCCATCCACCTGAGGGGCCGGATGCCCGTTGGAATCGTTGGAACGCTGCCTGAACGCACCCCAAAATCTTCGACATTTCCAGGCTGGATTTTTTGGTAGACTGTGAGATGAAAAATCCTAAAACCAATGGTGGCAAACCGGTCAAAATTGGGATCACCATAGCATTTGCTTGGCGATGAAGTTGGAAACATTGACCTTGATGACACATCGAAACTTAGCGTTCAAAAGGATCACGGTGCTTCGATCCTTCCGGTGAAGGTTTCATGACCCAAAAAATGCGCAAACCCATGATATTTCCCGTTCAACATTAATATGGATGTAGCCGCTAGCAAGAAAAATAAAATTCTAGATCACGTTGATTTCGCACATGAATAAAACTGATCACTGATCCCAAGTTACTGCATGAGTTATATATATCACAGAGTAGCAGATAGTAAGTTCCTAAATTCCCCAAATTTGACCCTCAGAAAACCCACAACTCTGGTCATTTCAGATCCACCCAGTTGTTTTCTGTTTGGTTTCCCGAAGGGGCCCTCCCCCTTCCCAAACAAAAAAACCAACGAAAACTGAAGCAAAGTCAGAGCCGACGACCACCCAGCAATCCGTCTTGCTGTTGTGTTTGGCCACTTCCGTCATGGGAATTCCTGGTGCTCCGCCTGCGGCAGGTGCGCCACCAGCCGCAACGGCACCGCCGCCACCGCCCAAACTGCCAATGACGGAATCCGGAGCGTACTTGCCGATGACGTCAGGGGGGTGGATCCTGAGATGACGTAGCTAGGTTTCAATCGATAAACTGGTGTTTTTATTGGGATTTTGATATACTGAGAAGGGGAAAGACCTGATGGGCAATTGGTTTGGGGGTTCAAAAGACCATTTGAGATCAACATGGTGTTTCCAGATCAATATTCGATACACGTTTAAAACATGTTAAAACCGTTTCCTGGCAATGCACGCGGCATGAGTGTGTATGTAACTATTTGCGAAATCTGGTTGGTTTCAACCTTCCCCCTCCAGTAGTCAACCCCGATTTTGGCGACAAGCTCCCCGAACAAGTATCCCACAAAGTCATGTATGAATCATTTTGATTATATATATATATATTCCATTAGTAGTGATATTCCCCAACGCTCCCCATGTAAAATGATTCATTGAGATTTGATGGGTAGAATCACTCATAGCAACATTAAAACTGCCAATTCAGGTGCTATGTACCAAGGCACATGTTGAACTCCTCCGTAGCATCCTTTCCGGCGAAGGTCAGGATAGCCAGTTCTCCCCCAGGGTGGTCGCTCAGGAAACTGGTCACATCCAAAACCTGCGGCACAAAGGTTGGACATGAATAAGGCTTGGTCCAGAAAAAATGATGGGCCCAATACATATGAACAATTTCATGGTACTTGGGTTAAGAGGCTCAATTGATTCAACCCATGGTTTTCTTTTGCTGATGCAAACTATTTTGGGACCCCTGAGGCCTGGCCATCAACCACCACCCAGCAATCTGTCTTGCTGTTGTGCTTGGCCACATCTGCCATGCTGATGCCACCGCCGCCACCTGAGAATGGGCACAATAATTACTGCCCTATACAAGGACCCAGGAAACATGGGGGAGCTGGTGTGGGAAGACGTCGGAACGCAGCAACTACCGAAAAAATAAGTTTGCCGATCGGAGTGAGTTGGGAGTTCGCAGCGCCAAACTTGATGAAAGTACCTGCCGGCCCACGTTCTCATCCATGAGCTGTTCTCATCAGAGACGGCCTCAGTGCAGTTTGGGAAAGGCATGGTCCTATGACGAAGACGTCAGATGTAATTGACAATCGTCCGTCGCCTCGCGTCACGAATCTCTTTTGAACCTCAATGAATGAGCCTCCCGCCAGATTCACCAGGGTTCCCAGGGTTCAAGGGTGAAGCTGGGGTTCGCCCACCCAGGATTCTGCAAGCACCTAAACTAAAAGAACGGTGGAAGATAGGGGCTCCAGCGGATCTTGAGCTTGACCCACATGGGGTGGATTTGCCAGGCACTGGTCCCCTTCATGGGGAGCTCAATCTTTCCCGCAGTCACTCATATCATATCATCATGATGATGATCATCATCATCACCACCAGCATCAGCATCATTATTATTATCACCATCATCATCACCATCATCATCATCATCATCATCAAACATGTTTGGTTGTTATAACAGCTATCTATGAGTCAAAGGTTTGCTGTCATTATGTTTCAAGCTGTCTACTCCATTCAAGGCAGCAGTTTCGATCAGCCAAGTCCTCGATTTATTCCGATGCTCTAGTCCGGTTGGATTTTGAGCCCTCCGTGCTACACAAAAACAAAATATCGCTGGCCCAATGGGCCCAAATCTCATAGGATGCAAAGGAATGTATACGTCTATATATATATATATATGATATGCATATACGTATATGGTATAAGTAGTTCATTAAAAGTAGTGGGTCCGGTGATGATATTTTTTTCTATTTAATGTACTGTGTCTGTCTTTTGAAACCGACTAGTTTGGTGCTTGCATTGTCATTCCTGTACACTGTGTATACCCCATGTTTGAAGCCTCATTGTGGCGATGCATGCTCTCGGGGCAATTCCTGTGCCAATTTACGAAACATGATGTCCAGTTTTATTTTCAAAAATAAACTATATGTAAACTGGGAAACTTAACTAGGCTAAGATATGGCTTTATGACGGATATATGGAGGGTTCCGAAATTTTGAAATGGGGGTACCCAAATCATCCAAATCATCCAAGTCATTCGACCCTTGGAAACTTCCCAACGTTAGGAGATCAACGGATGGTCATTGCTAGTCTTGAAGAACTAGACCCAGGCCCAGATGTCAAATTCAAATCATTTGTTTAGTGATTTCAACCGTGAAAGCTATAAGATATTATTAGTAAAAATCTAGTTATGTAGTCATTACAGTTTTCTATTTGATTTGATGATCGATCTACAAATGACTTCCATAGGTTTGCTGTGGCGATCCTATGTTGGTTCCCAGTTCTGCGGCTCAGAATCCCCAATCAACCAGTCAGAAGGATGTAGTAAACCCCATTTTTGGTGGTTAAACGCCCTTTTTTCGTGTCAACCCTACAAAAAGACATTAGATTTTCTGCCTTTCAGAATCATCCAGGCTAGAATTGATTTCAAGGAATGTTGTACCAGCACTTTTTTGCCCACCTCTTTCATGCTTTCTTGGGGCTTTTTGGAATGCCAGACAGGTCTTAACCATTTACCATATCAGGCTTCACGCCTAGGGCATTCAAAGACCAACTTCGGAAGATACCAATGTCCTAAAAAACCCATGGTACAATGGCGCGGCTTGTCCAGCCAGATCCGTGAAAACAAACAAACCTCTGGGGATCGAATCGATTCGATCAGCGCATCGATTCCTGAAATTCGACCCTTTTCCTATTCCTAGCCATCAATGATCACGTTGCTGGAGCAAATCCAATCCACAAATATTGACATCCTACCTACATCTCCAAACAAAGTCTGTCACGCATGAATCTGATCGCAAAGCCTTGATCCAAAAACAAACCTCAGGCCATCCACTGACCGTATCTTGTAGCAGATTGTAGCAGGAAAATCACCAACCATCCACCCACCATGCACCAACCATTCACCAATCATTACGATTTCTGCTGCCCGTGGGTTGAGTTCGAAGACCGACCATCAAACCAACTGATATATATATATATATATAATAAGTATATATTATATATATATTGTGGGAATAGATCCAAGAATGGGAATATGATTAGTAGTGTAATGTGATATATAATACGAAGATAACAGAATACATAAACGTTAGTATGGTATTTGAGAGTGTCCGAAAATGGTGGATACTTCAAAATGGGAAAATGATGGCCACTGGAATTCGGGGGACCTTTTTCAGACAAAACCATACCTCGAATTTAACCTAGAAAAACCACCAAAACCCAAGCAGTTCTTTCTAACGATCCTGAAGTCCAATCGGAGATACCGCACCCAGAAACTCAAATTTCTGAAGTTGTATCACCGATTTTTCCATTCAAACAACACGGTTTACGAATCAACCGTCCCTCATCAACCACATGTGGTCTCCAACAAACCTCCCAACCTCCCAACATCCCCGGTCCCCCCCCCCCATCGCCCCAGTTCACTCCACCATGCCACCACCGCCGTTGGCGATGGGCGCCGCTGCCGCAACCGGCGCCGCATTCATCTTGTCCTCGTAGCTGCCGCCGGCCAATTTGGAGGACTCCACGGCACCGGTCAAGCCACCACCAGTGAGCTCCCGCAGGTCCACGTCCTTTAGCCCACGAAGAGACGCCAAAAATGGGGGGAAGTTCACCCAAAATTGGATCATGGAGTATCTGCTTTCATAGTCTTGATCAAAATGGATTAATTTTGAATGAAGGGTTTTACCAAGGGAGTTTTTGGACTGGTTTGGTGATCCCAGTTTTTTTTACCCAAGAAACCGACCCAACTTCTCCCAGCCTTCAGGTCTGCCCCCAGCATGTACTTCGCCGCAGCCTTGCCCGCCACTCGGCCGAAGACCACACAGTCCAACAGAGAATTGCCACCCAGGCGGTTGTTGCCGTGCACGCCGCCTGCCACCTGACGTGGGATCAAACATGGCAAGCTGGGAAATTCCATAAATATCCCAGTAAATACCCTCTGGTAAACTAACATAACTATAGAAAATCACCATTTTTAATGGGAAAACCCACTATGAATGGCCATTTTCAATAGCTATGTTAAATTGCCAGAGGGTATCCCATAGATATCCCAGCAAATATCCCAATAAGTATTCCATAAATGGCAAGTAAGTGGCAACATGTTGACCCGTAAGGAAGGATACTAAACAACTGAAAGAATGGGTATAGGAAACCTCCATTTCTATCAAGTTAAATATCCCATAAATATTTATTCAAGTCCCACTGAATATCCCACCTCGCCAGCAGCATAGAGCCCGGGGATGGCTTTGTCGTTGGGCCCAATGCAGGCGCTGTCCGTGTCAATCAGCAAGCCACCCATGCAGTAGTGGATCACCTAAAACGGCAACCATGATTTATCCATGAAAAATGCTGATTGAATCAGAAAAAATGGTGATTTCATCGCTAAACGGGGTAATTTATCTATGGAAAATTGTGATTTAAGCATTCAAAAGTGTGATTTGACCACTAGAGATTGGATTTAACCACGAAATATGGTGATTTGCCTGCTCAAAATTCTGATTGAAGCACTAAAAATTGTGATTTAATTCATTGAAAATGATGATTGTATCCATTGAAACTTGTGATTCAACCACTAAAAATTGCAATTTAACCAACAAATATGGCTTGAACCATCTATCATCAAAAATGAGGATTGCACGTGATACACTTTGGAGACCAAAATCCAAACCCAAATACAGTCTCAGAAGCGTTTCGAGCTATAAGGATGATTTTGACGAGCCAAAATGATGATTCAAATGCTAAAATGGGTCCAACAATGGTGTTGTTCCCCAAGGGCATTTCGATGACAAATATGATATCATCCCACAAGCGACCTGAGAATCATCAAATTTGATGTGTTGCCTTGTTGAACCTCACTACCCCATGGGTGCTGGGATAACTAAGGTACAAATTGGATAATTGGACCCAAGAAAAATGAGTGTTCATAAACATAAATATCTCAATAATTAATGGGAAATTGATTATCATATCAGATATGACATATCGCCTAGAATTACCATCTGGTTAACACTAACAGTTCGCCATGGAAAGATCCACCCATTTTTAAGTTCGGTAAACCATCTATTCTATGGGCCATCGAAATCCCATGGCTATGTTAGTCATAACCAAAGGGTACCTTTGGACAATGGTTGACCCTGGACTGGATATCCCTCAACAACAGCAACGACAACCACAACAACCACAACAACAACAACACCTACACCTAGAAAATCCAAAAAAAACATATTTGTCGTTAAAAAAAACATCAACAACAAATCGTTAACTATCCAACGGTGTTTCAATGCGTAGCATGTGCCGTGGTGCTGGTGTGATGATGGCCACGTAGAACGGCTCGTGCTTCACGCCTGAGCCTGGGAGATTGATCGAGTTCATCAAAAATTGATTTTTTCACAGAGAAAAATAGGGATGTTCATTGATTTAACAAAGAAACATTGTCTGGTTGGTGGTTTAAACGCCTCTGAAAAATATTAGTCAGTTGGGACTATTCTTCCCAATATATGGAAAAATAAAACATGTTCCAAACCACCAACCAGTTATGTTTTAATTGATTGAACCAAGATAAATTCGGATTTCACCAAGAATGATGTGTTTGTTCAAATGATGATGTGTGATGTGTTGACAGCTAAGTCTGTCAATTTCACGAAGATCGCACTGGCATTCAATTGATGTGAGATACTCATCCATAGTTACCATAGTTCATGGGGTTGATGAACCAACTTTTTACTGGGAGGGGGGCACAACTTTGTGCGAAGTTGCTATGCCAAATCCCGTCAGTCTTTCCAGGATGCCGATGTTCGATGATCTTTCCTCAATTTCCAACTTTTCCACCATTTTCTATCTATTTGGAGCTTACTATAATCTAAGCTCATGATTGCGACTTCAAGGCGATTTCACAATCGGCATTTTGTGTGTGAATTACGGACACCAACCTAAGCATCAAAAATCCCCTACCCTCTGGTAATTTAACATAGCTATTGAAAATGGTGATTTATAGTGACATTTCCCATTAAACATGGTGATTTTCCATAGTTTTTTGTATGTTTACCAGAGGGTAACAGGATTTTTTTTGCTAATGGCAACGCTACAGATTTTTCGTACCCTAATCGGATCCCTCCGGTCAAACGAGATGACTCTCCAGTCACGTTGGATTACGTAGATATCCATCGGGGGGCCCAACGTGGTCGTTGTTGGAATCAAACAACCCAACGAAAAAAACCCATTTCGGGAACAGTTCTATTACAGAAATGACCCATTTCCATAGATTGATATTAAAATTATTATGGAGTATTACTTGGAGATATTTGATATTCAATTATTCGGTATGGCAATATCTCCAAAGATTATGGGAATAACAAAATATAGCAAATACTCTCTATTTTTGAATATAAAAATATCTCCAAGATAATTTTTTGGGAACATCCCATCTCCATATCTCCATATTATCTTCCCATGATCAACAGCGCATCACAGCGCGCACCCACTGGAGCCTGGCAGGATGTTGTGGAAAAACTTCTTGCCGCTGCCTGTCTTGCCACTTGCCTCACGACGCGCTGTTTTTAAAAAACCAGCACCCTAGGACCATTTTGGGTACCGTAAAATAGATGGTGAATGGATGGTTATTCCCCAAAATATATGGTAATGAATGGTTTTGAGCCATCCCCAATGAACAAGTCATGTCTTCATAATCCCATCGTCCATGGGTCAATTGGTAGATGATTTACCTGCACAGTGGGTGGAGATTCTGAGTGCCAGAGGGTGTAGGCAATTGTACACACATGATCTGGTAATGTCAACCCTGGATTAATAAACCCCAAACGGCTGTTTAATTGGGAGGGTACCATAAAATAGTATCAGATGAAATGACTATTGGAGGAGTACCCCCCTAACTAATAAACCATGGAATGCGCCAGCCGAAAAATGATTTGGACCATATTGGACCTCTGAAAAATCCAAATCGCTGCTGAACAGATTTTGCTTATGGCCAAAGTGGTCCCCGGGTCCCCATTCGCAGAGAATGCACCCCTCAGTTGGTACCAACGGTGGCGAACTACCCACGAATCGTAAGTGGGTGAAAAAAAAAAACAGTGATTTACATGGGATGGGTTAATCGATTTATAACTGGGGTGAACTAACCCACTTACGATTCGTGGGATGAACCACCAAGTAGAACTTCAATGTCTTCCCTCTGCCGCTTTCCCCGTGTTCCCTCCCGGATCTCCATCCGAACCTCATCGTGAGACTTGCCGGAGGGATAGGCTGGCCACTGTCCATCGTCCGGATGCGTCTCAGTCTTCTTGGCCGCCTGGTAATGCTCCTGACGCTGCTTGGCACTATCAGTGTCTGGTAACGAAGTGAGGGTTTAGACACAACCAACACACATGGGGATGTATTGTAGTTTTACCCTAAGTATTGCCAGATTGATAGGCTAAGTCGACTATTCTGGCCAAATTACTTTAATTCTTACCTCGTCTCCCTCGTGTCTTAATTTGTTCCCCATGATTACTGTCCTCGTTCGTTAATTTGCAGGTGCAAATTAAGGCTTTACCTCGTTAATTCAAAGGAAGAAAGTAGCTTGTGGGCCTTCTTTCCAGGGTCCAACCCCAAGGAAAAAAACTTTTCAGCTTCCGAAAAGTTTTTTTTCACGATCCACGGTCTCTTGCAGGGATTTTTAAATCTGAGTCTGCTCGGTCTTTGCGCTTCTTGCGCTTGGGTGGTGACATCTCTGACATTATCGCAGAGATGCAATGCTCTTCTGGAGCAACTCTGAATCCTACTGCTTCTGCAGCCGTCAACGCACGAAGCGGGCCTCTGGCGATAGAAAATATAACTATTTGGGGCCTGAAAAGTTTTTTTTCCTTCCTTGCCTGCTGACCGGCCTCTGGCGATAGAAAATAAAACATTTTGGGGCCTGAAAAGTTTTTTTTCCTTCCTTGCCTGCTGACCGGCATCTGGCGATAGAAAATAAAACTTTTTGGGGCCTGAAAAGTTTTTTGTCCTTCCTTGCCTGCTGACCGGCCTCTGGCGATAGAAAATAAAACTTTTTGGGGCCTGAAAAGTGTTTTTTCCTTCCTTGCCTGCTGACCGGCCTCTGGCGATAGAAAATAAAACTTTTTGGGGCCTGAAAAGTTTTTTTCCTTCCTTGCCTGCTGACCGGCCTCTGGCGATAGAAAATATAACTTTTTGGGGCCTGAAAATTTTTTTTCCTTCCTTGCCTGCTGACCGGCCTCTGGCGATAGAAAATAAAACTTTTTGGGGCCTGAAAGTTTTTTTTCTTCCTTGCCTGCTGGCCGGCCTCTGGCGATAGAAAATAAAACTTTTGGGGCCTGAAGTTTTTTTTCCTTCCTTGCCTGCTGACCGGCCTCTGGCGATAGAAAATAAAACTTTTTGGGGCCTGAAAAGTTTTTTTTCCTTCCTTGCCTGCTGACCGGCCTCTGGCGATAGAAAATAAAACTTTGGGGGGCCTGAAAAGTTTTTTTTCCTTCCTTGCCTGCTGACCGGCCTCTGGCCGCCAAAAAAGTTTTTCTAGCCAAGCCCAAGCATGCAACAGAACCAATGCAAGGCTACCTCGTCGAGGTCGGCTAATTCTGATGAGCAAATTAAGGGCTGACCTCGCTAATTCCTGCAACCTGCCTCGTTGCCTCGGCTGTCCTCGCTAAAATTTGTGCAGACTATTGAAGAGTTGGATTTGTGTTACCGGCAATCGAACAGTTTGTGGAAAATGGCCATGGAAATAAGAGGTAAATCATCAATGGATCATGTTCCATGGTTGTGCTAAATTACAAGAGGCCTTAAGACTATATAAAACTCAGAAAGCCTCAGTCCTTCAACATCGAACTCTGAAAAAGTAACAACGCGGCAAACTGAAATTTATTTTGTGACATAAAATTGCATCAACTTTGGGGTGAAGATTTTGCATCAGGCTGTCAGTATTCCATTATATTCCATCATCTACCCACCAGGCTGCACATGGGCACATGGTCTCACTGGTCATCTCTTAGTCATCATCATTAGTTTCGGAAGTCCATGCCAGGACGAAAAAATCGAAAAATAGCAGGCCACAGCCATGCAAAGTGGAAGCGAATGGAGACATGTCTGGTCAAATCTCATGGGAAATCCATATGGAACATTTCTGGTGATGAATAATTATATCATAATGGGCCATTATATCCATATGGGAAATCAGTGAAAATCCATCATTTCTGGAAATCCCTAGGGGAAATCCATGATTTCTGGTCCAAGTTGCCCATTTTCTGGTGGAAAAGGCTCCGATTTGTCCAGGGGATTTCCGGCTGTTTCGACCCGCTGCTTGTCGCTGGAAAATTGGATCATCCCAGCGAGGGAGATGGATGATGAACATATCCGACCATGTTTCCAAATCCCAATTTTCCCGTGAGTCTCCAAAATTATGTGTGTGTGTATATGTATATATATATATGTATATATATATGTATATATATACATATGTGTGTATATAATATATCAATTTCGCTGTTGACATGACAAGTGTTCGTATACTTACTGATCCCAATCTTATGCCCGTGAGTTTCAATGAAATCAAGATTGTTCATGCTTAACCCCCCATGGTTCTTCCTGTCACTGCTTTTGAGATGTTTTGCTTGAAGAGTCTCCATGGGTTTTCCCATGTTTTCCCTTCAGAAACCCACCACAAACCCATCACCAAAGCTACGTACGCCGTGCCTCGTGAGTTTGCTCCAAGACGCTGATGCTCACGCCCATGTCCTTGGCCAAGTCGTCGCCTGCGACGGCCCTAGCTCATGTATAGAGGAGATTCGTGATCCCGAAGTGTGAAAAAGAACACCGAAAGTAGGGTGTATCAGAAATCTGAAGGGGTTGAATGTCTTGAGAATGGTCAAAATGAGTCCTATCAATCCCAACAAATTGAGGTGTTTTGTTTGAAGACTGGGAATTTGACCACAAGAAAATGCAGATTTTGACCCACAGGAATGGTGACTTAAGGCGTAAAATTTTGGATTTAACGAACACAAATGGAAGTGAATGAGGTTTAAGCACTTTACTGTAGAATGATGGTTGTAAATCAAGTTTAACATGTTATAGCTGATTTCTAATTGCAAATCAGGGTGGGAATGGGATTCCCACAACCCCAACAAATGGGCACACTTTCTGGCTGTGTACTGAGAACACAAGCCTCGTACCATATAGCCATGTCGGCATCAAGTTGGGGAACAATTTGATGCACAAACACGGGAACCGGTCGCGAATTCCGCTGCCAAATGTTGCAACAGGTCATTTTGTTGTTGATTGTTGTACAAAATGCTTTCCCTTTGGCTGAGAAGCGGGTTCTTTCGCCTTCAGGTTCCCAAAGTGCCACTGGCGTGAACTGATGGCTCATCAGCTCCTTCTTCCAAGTTCACTTCACTAAAATCGCCGGCTTCATGGTATCTTTCATCCAGTCTTCCAGAGCACGGAGCTGGTCAAATGGTTCACGTCTCAAGATAAAAACACAACGCGGTGACGCGGCAGAGCCATAAACACCTCATGGCTAAGCCATAGACAATCCATGGATAGGGAAACACCACCTTGTACATGGTTAGTTGTTTCTTTTTTTTCCGGACGCGGCTAAACATATCTTCCCCCAACCCTTTGCCAACAAGATAAGCGCAAAGTTACCGCAGGGGCCGACTTTGTCGCATCCATGGCTTGAGCATCCACGACTTGGATTGTAAAGAGTATATCATCCCCAATGACTTACCCTCTGGTAATTTAACATAGCTATTGAAAATGACCATTTATAGTGGATTTACCCATTAAAAATGATGATTTTCCATAGTTATGTTAGTTTACCAGAGGGTACCAGAAACAGCTTTCAGCCATAGTGGTGAATAAACCCTGGGTTGATTAATCCACCAGGTTCGATGAATTCGGGGTCAGCTTTAAAAAAGAGATAGTTTATTGGAGATAGCCTCCGGTAATCGAACTTTCAACGAAAAATTCACAAGTTCTCCTTATTTTCTGTGTATGTAATACTCTATATATATATATATAGATCTATATTATCGCATTTATAGATGGTTTCCTCAGCAAATCTGGTTTCCTCTGGTCCATTCTCTCAGGGATCCCATGAATTTCCAGCCTGTCTCGTAGTACTTCATCACCTCAGCCGGGAAGTGGTCATCGAAGTGCCGGGAAGTGGTACCCGAGGGACCCGGGGTCCACGTGGAAAACCCGGGGCCGGGTCATCCGAAGGAATCCATGGCTACGACCTTCCGACTGGTGGTAAAACAACCCTAGCCCTCTGAAAAATGATGGACGACTCAATGGGGTTGGGATGACATCCCTTTTTTTATGAAATGAAAAAATAATCCATTCATGTTCCAAACCACCAACCAGTGACTTGTAAAACCCAGATGTGTTTTTGTTCCCTCTTGACTGTTGATGAAGGGGTAACTATTTCTACACTGGGTGAGGAGTATACAGCTACAATGGACAATGTTCACTTGGTCCAGGCTATTAGGCCTTAAAAACCATTAAAAAAAACAAGTTTCAGGAACCTTTGACATCAAATGATTGGATTTCCTTGTAAGGAAATGATCTAGCTACTGCAGTGTTTGACTTTGATCCAAACCAATAGGTGTTTGGAAAAACACCAAAAGTTTCCAGGAACTCAACAGGATGCCCTGTTCATCAGCAGGTGGAACTCAAACATCTGACTGAGCAACAGTCGCTAGTCGGTCCTGCTAATCCTTGAGAACCTACCCGGCCTGGTAAACAAACAAAAAACTATTGACCATGGCCCAGTCGAAATAGTTGATTTACCCAGAAAATGGGTGGATCTTTCCACAGTTATGTTATAAACGTTTACCAGAGGGTAACCATCATCCCCACCAAACTCCTGAAATTCTGACTTTTGTAGATCAACATGGGCCCGTTCGGAAGGTCAGCACCGTTTCCGCCAAAAAAATCCGCCATAAAAAAGGGACGGTGTCCCCCATTTTCAGACACACCGTTCAGATCATATCAAGTTCGTGAAATATATATATATATATGCATATCGTAAGTATGATATGTATATATATATATATCTTCACATATGTATATACACATATTATATCATATTATATCATACTATATATGTATATATTCCATGATATCATATCCCACTCAAATACTTATGTTCCCAAATAAATCGTCCTTTCTGATCGGGGAAATCCCCCTGACTGCGACCTCCGCTGGGTTCTCGGACCCCGCGGCCGGTGTAATGCCTCGAAAATTCGTTGGGTGGCCCATGGAGAAATCAACAAATTTCAATGGAATATCAATGGGAATATATGAGTTTAAGTACATTATTGTGAATTAATACATGATTTTAAGTAGTATATCATTGTGGATTCGGATAAATATATATATATATAGATTTGATATTTCATGGAAACTATACGGGGATACAATGGGATGTAACTATGTCTGACTTTATATGATATTTGGCTGTGGCTGAAAATGATGAAAAAACCCTCACAATGGACATTTCATATCATTTCATGGGGACACAGAAAAATATCGCCATAGCCAACAAGAAAAAACAGAAATAAATAATACTTCATGTAATAGATATGCATAAATCTGGGTAAATGCCATCATATTTCACTAACCTGAATCTTAAGGCCATTTTGGGATGATTTCCCTTACTAACCATGATTCCAGTGAGGGAGAACAGTGAGGTCGTTATAAAATTTACCCAGATAAATGTGGTGAACACGATCCTAGATCTTGGTCTCAGATTCTGGGGAACACGATTCTCTAATGTCATGTTCACTGGATTGGTTTAAGGGAAAATTTACAGGAAACCATTGTTTTTACCATCAAATATAGGGCTTTCCTGTAAATTTTCCCATAATCCAATTCTATGTCATGTTTGATGCATTCGAATTCTTGGAGAAAGAACATGATCATTGGAGAAATACGCGTGACCTAATGATTGCGTGTTGCATCATTCCACTGTTACCCTCTGGCAATCAAACCTAACAATGGAAAATCCACCATTTATAGTTGATTTTCCCATCAAAACCTCTACTGATAGATGAGTGTATACAAAATATGTTCCTGTGCTTTACCCCTGATTTTCCCATTCAAACCTCCTTTTTATGGGGATTTCACTGATCATTGCTGATGTTCCTCCTCTTTCTTGTTGATTTTCCCATCCAAAAATTGCCATATTTCATTCGCGGAGGCTGAGCCCAGCCACTTGCAGTGCCAGATGATCTCCTCCGATGCGGCCTTGTTCAAGCACAGCCTGGTCGGTGTAACGCCAATTTCATAGGCCTAAATTCATGATCATTGTTGCCATAATGCTATACATAATTATAGTATATGTACAAACATATAAATGCTATATATATATACATATATATATAGTATATGTATAATAGACGTGTATAGATATATGTTTGTATGCATTTACTATGTATGTACTATTACTGTTTTTTTTTGTACTATAGGAGGATCATCCCACATCATCCACTTACCAAGTGGGATGATGTCCGTCTATCTACTTCAGGATGATTTGTTGTGCATATATATATATATACAAATGAGTGTGTGTATGTTGGTTGATAGTTGCTATATGGATAATTGATCACACCAATAGTAATAGGGGTAATTGCTAGTACAATGCCATGTGTATTGTATATATATATGATATATGAATAGTTAAATGCATATGTTAGTTGTATATATATACATATACATCTGTACACATGTATGTATATATATATATACATATATATATATACATATATATATGTATGTGTATTATATATGTGTGTGTACGATTATATCAATATGAGACTGTGCAATGAATGTATAGCAAACTCTAACGTCAAACATCTATAATACATATATATATAATATGTACCTGTATAGCTATGGATTTGCCCAGAATTGCTCAAAGGATGTCATTGAGAATGGCAAGCTGGTGACATCCGGTCACTTCACTGTAGGTAACCGATGACAAACCTCTGCTTTCGAGACAACAGCAGTAATAGTAGGCCTTTCACAGCCATTGGGGATGCAAAATCATGGCCAACAATAAATAGTTGGCTAATGGATGTTTATTCCCCACCAAAATGATGAATTAGTGGGATTTGATAGGGATGTAACCACAAAAAAGTGGTGAATTAGTGGTCTTGTGATTGTAATAGATATATAATAGGTTTACAACCATATGTAGTAATAATTGGTGTTGATCCAACAAATATTCTTGCAAAGTTGCAATCAATTGGCTTAGATGTGTGCTATATTCCTCCATCACAGGTTGATACAGGTTGGTGGTAAATGTCCAATTTGTTCACATCACCCAACAAAAAGGGAGTATATATATAATATCTCCAACAAATACTACTCTCCACTGATGCTCAAATTCCGAAAACAGGACATTTAACAACCCCTCCATGACTGGCTCAAAAAATAAAACAATCTTCTGTCCCCAATCTTTGCAAATGGCAGGCTGCGTGGCAAACAACATCTCACAGCGGTCAAGCTTCCTTTTTTTTCCACTGGGCAAGTTTGCACCAGTTTTTGAACCCATCCCCTGGTGAACAGCATTTACAGCAGCCCCAACCCAAGAAAAACTCACGCCCACAATTGGATTCGACCTACTTGAAAAATGTGATTGAAAATACAAATCATCATCCACCACTTAAAAAACCAGATGTTTGTTTTGCAGAAGTGTTCAACTGACCTTAGACCTTGCAGAAGATGTGGTCACCGACACGAGATAGGAAGGCGGGTTTTCTGCGAAGCCGGAAAAAAATGAGTTCAGTGAAACCGTGGCAAGCAACGAAAGGGTTGGTGGCGACATGGAAGCAACCATTCTAAAAACAGTATGCCCGGGGACAATAGGGGGATGCTGACATTTCATCAACGCTGAGGAATTTACAGTGGTCAGAATCCCCAAAATGAATGGCCAGAGGTGAGATGTTGCAGTGTTTCGCATCCACCAGCCACAGATGTGGCGCCACGCCTGAATGGAGGTTTGCTCTTCCACATCTCGCCGGTCACGTAGTCGCGACCTCTGGGTGATGGTCTTCCGAAGGGCTTACAGCAAGTATATGTGTGACCATTGCTTACCCTCTGGTAAACTAACATAGCTATGGAAAATCACAATTTTTAATGGGAAAACTCACTATAAATGGCAATTTTCAATTCAAACCTTTCGTGCTGCTTGCGAAACCCAGGCAAAGTCTTACGGCCTGATGGAAAGTATGCCAACCCAAACCTAAACATGCAGAGTGGAGTTGCAAACGCAGCTCAGATCTCCTCGCGCATGTCGAACCAGAAAGCGAAGTCATCAGCATCAAGACAAAAGTCAAGATGCTGAAAAATTTTAAGCCACAATTGAAGCATCCAAGTCCCCCAGCACCAGCAAAACCAGCAGGCCATCCCATTGCCCAGCTCACCGACGCCATTGATCCGGGTCCGCACGAGGAGCTCCACTTTTTGCTGTTCAGTGAAACCAGTTGATCTCCGCAAAATGGCACTGCCACCAGCACCGAAGATTTGTCAAACACGACAGTCTGGTGATCCAAAACCAAAGACCACCATTTTTCCGGAGGCTTTTTGGAGATTCTGCTGGCCTTTCGGTCAGCCATCCTTCGGGGTAACGAAATCCCACGTTTCAACGTCAATGATTCGGATTGGAATGATCCAAAATGACCAAAGTTTTCAGGTGGGATTGTTATTAGTGTTCAAGAAAATTCGGGAATCTAATCCCTCTACCCTGAAACTCTCTCTAACCCAGGCTTTCTATGGGTGGGTTTATAAGATGTTTGGGGAATAGCTTGGTAGCTACCCAGAACTATGCACGGTAGGGTCTCTCTGAATCGGGAGATGGTACAAAAATGTACAAAATATGGTACCCACCGATGCCACTGATGGTCTTTTCCAATACTCCAGCATCCATGTTCGGGGATAAGCCCTTGGTAATCTTATAAAATCGACTTGGGTACCAAAATGCTGAGTCCAGGGAGTGCAGGGTCGAAGTGACTTCAAGGAGCCCCAGGGTGTGCCTTAAAACTGGTTAACTGGCTAACCCCCCAAATCATGTGCCCTACGAAAATTGCCATCAAGTGGCGCTAGATCCTCAAGTGTTCTTACACAACCCTAGATAATATAGTTGATTACCAGTAGTACCGCATAAGGCGGTGGCGGAAGTTTCAAAAATAGGAAACCTATAGGAGAGGTTGGTTGTTTTGAATCAGGGATGGCAGAGCGAAGCCACTGATGGACCAAAAGGTGCTTGAGGTCTCCTCTCTTTCTCTCTCTTTCTCTGACTATCTACCTACCTACCTACCTACCTATCTATCTATCTATGTATCTATTTATCTATCGATCTATCTCTCTCTCTTCCATCTAATTACCTATCTATCTATCTATCTATCTATCTATCTATCTATCTATCTATCTATCTATCTATCTCTCTCTCTCTCTTTCATCTGTCTATCTGTCTAGCTGTCTACCTGTCTATCTGCCTATCTGTCTATCTATCTATCTATCTATCTAGCTATCTATCTATCTGTCTATCTGTCTACTTGTCTATCTGTGGTGCAGTGTCATTCAGTTTAATGTAGTGTAGTGCAATGTAGCGTAGTGTAGTGGAGTGTAGTGGAGTGTCGTGTAATGTAGTGTAGTGTAGTGTAATTTAGTGTAGTGGAGTGTAGTGTGTAGTGTAGTTGTAGTTGTAGTTGTAGTTGTAGTGTAGTGGAGTGTAGTGTAATGTAGTGAAGTGTAGTGGAAGGTAGTGTAATGTAGTGTAGTGTAGTGGAGTGTAGTGTAGTGTAATGTAGCGTAGTGTAGTGTAATTTAGTGCAATGGAGTGTAGTAGTGTAGTTGTAGTTGTAGTGTAGCGGAGTGTAGTGTAGTGTAATGTAATGTAGTGAAGTGTAGCGGAAGGTAGTGTAGTGTCGTGTAATGTAGTGTAGTGGAGTGTAGTGTAATGTAGTGTAGTGTAGAGTAATTTAGTGTAGTGGAGTGTAGTGGAGTGTAGTGGAGTGTAGTTGTGTAGTTGTAGTGTAGTGGAGTGTAGTTGTGTAGTTGTGTAGTTGTAGTTGTAGTGTTGTGGAGTGTAGTGTAGTGTAGTGTAATGTAGCGTAGTGTAGTGTAGTGGAGTGTAGTGTAGTGCAATGTAGTGTAGTGTAGTGAAGCGAAACGAAGCGACATCTGAGCCTCCAAAAGTGGTCTGAACCCCTAGTGCTTTGAACATTTTGACTTCAAAATGTGCTTCGCGCCACAACAGCGTGCACTTTTTCGAGATCTGAACTTCCAAAAGTGCTCCGACCATGGTGTGTTTTGTACATTTTGACTTCGAAATGTGCTTCGCACCACAACGGCGTGCACTTTTTCGACATCTCAACTTCCAAAAGTGGTCCGAGAATGGTGTGTTTTGTGCATTTTGACTTGGAAATGTGCTTCGCGCCACAACGGCGTGCACTTTTTCGACATCTCAACTTCCAAAAGTGGTCCGAGAATGGTGTGTTTTGTGCATTTTGACTTGGAAATGTGCTTCGCGCCACAACGGCGTGCGACATCTCAACTTCCACAGCGGCGTGCACTTTTTCGATATCGCAACTTCTAAAAGTGGTCCGAGAATGGTGTGTTTTGTGCATTTTGACTTGGAAATGTGCTTCGCGCCACAGCGGCGTGCAATTTTTCATCTCTCATCTGGCCAGCTGGCTCCGCACCCGCCGCTTTAGCGAGCCTACTTTTCGACCCTCCGGAGCCCCAAATCATTGGAAAAACACAGTGTTTCGCGACTTTCCTACCTTTTCTCGCATCTGCATCTTCTTTCTTCTTACTCTTCTTTCTTCTAATATTTCTCTTCTCTCTGCCTCTTCCCTGCTCTGCTTTTCATCTGTCCATATTGTCGGAAGTTTGACTTCTAAATTTCCTTCGATAAGATATATATATATATATGTACTTATGCTGTCCTATTCTATCCAAATACTTTGTTGGTTTTAGCGTAGCCATTGTCAGATTACATCTCTCCAGTATGGCCACCGCACGGGATCCCCATGAAGACGGAGCGAAAAATGACCATCACTCATCAAGAATTCCTATGATGTCCGAATTATTCCCAAGATATTCCCAAGATATTCACCATTAAAATGCTTGGTTGTTTTTACCATAACTCCAGAGTTTAACCCCAACTCTTGAAGATTAGCAGACCACACCTTCCACAACGAAAACGAAAACTTCCTCGCTTCCCCACTCACGATTTAACCCACGATTTCACAACAAGTTGCCACAAATCCAGTATGATTATATATATAATATATATAATATATAGTTAACCATTATCATCCATTATACTGACAATATAGACATATATATATATCATCAAATGAATAACTCAATGATGTACTTGAACTATGATCTAGGCAACCCATCTAGTTACTAAACTATACATGAAATTAATGTTGATAGATGGTTTATTCCATTATTATGGTTAACTATATATTTTGCCAGTATAATGGATGATAATGGATGATAATGGATGATAATGGATGATAATGGATGATAATGGATGATAATGGATGATAATGGATGATAATGGATGATAATGGATGATAACGGATGGTATCGGATGATATCGGATGATAACGGATGATGATGGATGATGATGGATGATGATGGATGATGATGGATGATGATGGATGATGACGGATGATGATGGATGATGATGGATGATGATGGATGATAATGGACGATAATGGATGATAATATGATGATAATGGATGATAATGGATGATAATATGATGATAATGGATGACAATATGATGATAACGGATGATAATGGATGATAATGGATGATAATGGATGATGATGGGTGATGATGGATGATGATGGATGATGATGGATGATGATGGATGATGATGGATGATAATGGATGATAATGGATGATAATGGATGATAATGGATGATAATGGATGATAATATGATGATAATGGATGATAATATGATGATAATGTATGACAATGGATGATGATGGATGATAATGGATGATGATGGATGATGATGGATGATGATGGATGATGATGGATGATGATGGATGATAATGGATGATAATGGATGATAATGGATGATAATGTATGATAATGTATGATAATGGATGATGATGGATGATAATGGATGATAATGGATGATAATGGATGATAATGGATGATAATGGATGATAATGGATGATAATGGATGATAATGGATGATGATGGATGATGATGGATGATGATGGATGATGATGGATGATGATGGATGATGATGGATGATGATGGATGATAATGGATGATAATGGATGATAATGGATGATAATGTATGATAATGGATGATAATGGATGATAATGGATGATAACGGATGGTATCGGATGATATCGGATGATAACGGATGATGATGGATGATAATATGATGATAATGGATGATAGTGGATGATAATGGATGATAACGGATGATAATGGATGATAATGGATGATAATATGATGATGATGGATGATGATGGATGATGATGGATGATAATATGATGATGATGGATGATAATGGATGATAATGGATGATAATGGATGATAATATGATGATAATGGATGATAACGGATGATAATGGATGATAATGGTTGATAATGGATAATAATATGATGATAATGGATGATAATGGACGATAATGGATGATAATATGATGATAATGGATGATAATGGATGATAATGGATGATAATATGATGATAATGGATGATAATATGATGATAATGGATGATAATATGATGATAATGGATGATAATGGATGATAATGGATGATAATATGATGATAATGGATGATAATATGATGATAATGGATGATAATGGATGATAATGGATGATAATATGATGATAATGGATGATAATATGATGATAAAATGATGATAATATGATGACAATATGATGATAATATGATGATAAAATGATGATAATATGATGATAATATGATGATAAAATGATGATAATATGATGATAATATGATGATAATATGATGATAATATGATGATAATATGGTGATAAAATGATGATAATATGATGATAATATGATGATAATATGATGATTATTATGGTTGACTATTATAATCACCAATTTCTTGCTATCACCATGCGTGGAGCCCAGCGGCGGCCCAGTTCATTGCAGAAGCGCTTGCCCTCGGCGTTCAGGATCAGCCCACCCACGCCACGCAACGCCTGCTGTTTTTTAACGCGGCCCTCACGGGCCGGCCCTCACGGGCCGAGCGGGGCCCCCGCTGAAACCATACGGAAAATGGTGATTTCACCAAGAAGAATGGTGGTTTTAAGGAATTTGTAGCTGATTTATGGGAGCTCAGCTAGAAATTCATGGGCCCGATTGTACTGGGATAAAGAAAAAAACAATAAAAATATATATATATCGGTGAGTTCATGGGAATTCATGAGAATTCTTAAGGAGGCTTTTAGCTGATTACTGAATCCTCAAGACTCTCATCAAAACCTTATTTGATTCAGTATTATGACTGGTTGGTGGTATACCTACCCCTGAAAAATATGGTTGTTCGTCAGTTGGGATGATGACAGATGACATTCCCAATATGATGGAAAGTCATAAAAGCCATGTTCCAAACCACCAACCAGGATAGTTTGATATAGGTTTATTCCATATTGTGGCTTATGGCATTGGGTGAACCTGCTGACCCAACAGGGTCAGAAGTGATAGTAATTCACCAGTATCATCATGTTCATCCCCCACACCCAAAGCTAAAAAGTTGGGAAGTTGCTTGCTTTCCAGCAATGAAAACTCAACCCACAACCCAATTGAGTCCCTTTGTTAAAAGCTTGGCAAACTCGGAATGGACCCTCTGGATTTCGGCAATCAAACACGGCTTGCCGGAAAAATCCGCGAATTAGTTCCATGATTTTCCAATCAAAACCATTTATTAAAATCCTCTACACATGATTTGCAATTGCCATGCTTGATTCCCAGAGGGTATGCTTGGTAAATTACCGCGGTCTGTTTCTGGCTGGCACCTTTTGGTGACTATAGAATCTTGGAAGAACTAGGTTTTGTGGATGCTTTGGTATATAATTATATATATACACAGTATACATACATATATATATGTGTGTGTGTCTATCTACCTCTAGATGGCTAGTGCATAATTAAAACCCATGATTATAAAAACAAACAAGCAAAACCCATCTAAGGATAGTTCTTCAAAGCCATAAACATCCATAAACCAAATTGAGTTTTATATATATATATACATATAAGTTATATACCATAAACCCATCATGAAGCCATCTATGTGTCATTTACTTAAAACAACATCTCAACAGCACCGCGCCCTTTTTCCGTTTGCCACACCTCAGCCGCCAAAAACTTGATCTTCGCATCCGCATCATCGGGCTTCACCAAGCCTGTGGGATGCACCTGAACCCATTCCAGGTCGATGCACTTGGCGCCAATCGCCTCCTGGGAGGCCGTGACGAGGATTCAACCAGCAATGTTGAGCCAGCGGATCCACAGTTTTACCGTGGCCTGTTCCAAAACAACAAGAGGTAGTTCCTAGTGATACCTCCAAAACAACAAGATCAACCGCGGTTGTTGCGGTTGTTTTTGAAACCGGCACTTGCTGAACCATTGAGTTAAACTCCCGAAACCCAGCACCGATTTCGATGGCCAATCCTGAATACCAAGAATGAAACGAATCATGTGTAACTGCGTAGTCTCCCATGGTCCCCATCAAAATGACCAAAAGTGAAGCGCTTTGCCCGTTATTTGGCGAATTCGTTAAAACTTTTTTTAAGGGGAGTTCCCAACATCATTCGAGTTGGTTGAAAAAAAAGTATATCGAAATCCGGTTTGGGGGATCCCCATGATTGAAAAACTCGGTATTATCAAAATGGATATTTTCTGGATGTCTGTGGATACTTACGGTATCTTGAGCTAGAGTTGATGATTATAACTGCAGAATGCATTCCATTTTGACCATACCTGTCAGGCATTTTGACTTGCTGCAGATTTCACATTTGCCGATTTTCTGTAGCTGCTTTTTCTAACTCAAGCCGAGCACAACCCCGAGAAGGAAAAGTTGCAAGGTGCGAGGGAAACGGAAACAGAGGAGACCTGCGCAAAGCAGGTTATGAGCCCAAGGGCGAACCATGCAAATTCAGATGAGAAGAAAAGCGACTCCGAAAGAGATGCAACAAGGTCAAGAAGAGATGAGGTTAGCACAAGAAAAGTTTGAGAAAGAGGCGAATGAAGGAGGTGAACTGCCCTTAGAAGATGTTCAAGGTGATGGAAAGGTAGAGGAAGTAGAGAAGGTGAAGCTGGAAGGTGCCCCAAAAAGTCTCCCAACAAAAGAAAGAGATGAGGAAGGTAAGACCAGTCCTTTGCCACCACGAACTTCCCCTGCCGCCATCACACCCGCCGAGCCAGGGTCAGCATCCTCTCTCGCTGCTCAGCCTAGGAGCGCGAATCCTCAGAAAGAACGAAGTGAGTCAGCATCCTCTCTCGCTGCTCAGCCTAGGAGCGCGAATCCTCAGAAAGAACGAAGTGAGTCAGCATCCTCTCTCGCTGCTCAGCCTAGGAGCGCGAATCCTCAGAAAGAACGAAGTGAGAAGTCTTCTGCTGGTCTTACCGCGATGGCAATGACACCTGGAGTAGTTGACATGAACAAGAAAGTGGAGGAGATGACCCCGCATCAAAACTCAGCCGGGGTTCCAAATCAGGGATCAGCCACTCCGGATGTCATGCACACACCTTTGTTCACCGAAGAGCAAGTTAGAGACATGGTCATGCTGCAGAGTAGGACACCATGGTTGTACGGAGATCAACCAGCTCGGTCCTTTTTTCCAGCTTTTAGGAGACCTTCGTTTTTGGAAGCCGAAGAAGCCAGAATGTCGGCTGAATCTCATGAGATGTCCACCATGAGGGCATATATGAGGGAATTGATAAATCAGAATGAGGAATTGAAACACAGGATTCATGCGTTGGAAACAGGGTTTGCTGTTCCCGAAGTTGATTTGTCCTTTTCCACGCCAAATGGAAGTGATGGTTCAAAGGAGGCTGCAAGACCCCCAGAAAGCGTTCTGAAGGAGGCTGCAAGACCCCCAGAAAGCGTTCAGAAGGAGGCTGCAAGACCCCCAGAAAGCGTTCAGAAGGAGGCTGCAAGACCCCCAGAAAGTGTTCAGAAGGAGGCTGCAAGACCCCCAGCAAGTGCACCAAAGGAGGCCGCTAGACCCCCTGAAGGAATGTCTGGCGAAGCACAACAACCAGGAGGAGAACGTCCATCAGCCGAGACAGGAGCTGCTGGATTCACAGAAAAGTCACTTGAGTTTATGTGTCTGATGATGGAAAATATGAAAGAGCTGCAGCGCAAGTATCAAGAAGACCGAGAAGAAGGAGGATCAATCAGAGGGATTGAAGTAGTTCGATCTGGTGCTCAAGAATTACCTCCTTTGCCTGCTTGGTCGTCGAATCAATCGCCACTTCAATTGAGCGATTGGCTGCTGCTCATCGAACCGGTGGTTTCAGATTTGACTGCAACTGCTGAAACCTGGTGGAAGACCCTTCTCAAAGAGGCCGAGGGTTGGTATCAGTCTCATATGAAGATGTCACCTCTTGAACGTCTCCAACATGGACATGGAACTCCACCTTCTTTGACACAGGAAAAATGGCAGCGATTGGAGCGACGCATGTCCACGATGATGCTTCAAGCGATGCCTGAACAAGTTCGTGAAGAGCTTGTGTCCACCAGAAGGATGAGTGTGTTCTCCATCATCACACACCTCTATGTGATCTACTGTCCAGGTGGTATCTCCGAAAAACAGAACCTCCTGAAAAACCTTGAGGATCCTGCGGAAGTCCAAACATTGGGAGATGCTCCAATGGCTTTGAGAAAGTGGATCAGGTGGCGTCAGAGGGCCACCGAAATCGGAGCGATCACGCCTGATCCTGCTCTTCTTGTTCGTGGGCTTTTGAGGATGACAAAGAAGGTTTTGGAAACAAATCGAGAACTACAATTTCGAGTGTCGCTTGCACGTCATGGGTTAGGCATAGATACGGTGCCGACCTTGGAGAGTGTGACGCAGTTTGCAATGCACCTCCTCTCTGAGTGCGAGCAGTTGTCGCAAATGGAGAAGAAGACCGTCCCCAACAACGCCAAGGTTGAACCGAAAGTGAAGATGATGGAATATGAGAAGGAGGATACGAAAGGAAAAGGGAAAGGTAGAGAGAAGACAGCAGAAGAAGATAGAGGAGAACGTCAGAAGGTTGTCAAGTGCAAGTTCTACCTGACTCCAGAAGGCTGCAGAAAGGGCCGTGATTGCAAGTTCTCTCACACTGAAAAAGACGGAAAAAGGCGATGCTACGTCTGTGGTGCGGAAGAACACTTGGCTCCTGCATGTCCACGAAAGGGAACAGGTGAGGGATCGCCTCCGAAGCAGAAGGGCGCAAAAGTTGAAGAAGGAGTGAAGACAGGTGAAGTAAAGACAGGTGAGGAGACAAAGGAAGAGTCTGAGACGATGAAGGGGCTGATTGAAGAAGCCAACAAGATGCTCAGATCACTCACATCTCACTCGACTTCATCTCCCAATTCCTCTTCGGCATCAAACAGAGATGAAGACAGCCGAAGTGAAATGCTGGCACGCCTTCAGGCTCAGCTCAATTCCCTGAAGGTCTTCAAGCTTGGGCGCATTGGCGCTGGTCTGGGTCGAGGTCTCATTGACAGTGGGGCCACTCATGCGTTGCGTCCATCAAGAGAAGAAGAGGACACCCACAAGTTGAAAGAAGTTTCTGTCACTTTGGCAGATGGCAAGTCCATTCAGTTGCACATGTCCCCAGGTGGCTCCATGATCACCTCAGACCAGAACATTGAGCCGATTGTGCCTATGGGTTCTTTGATCGATGCCCTAGGCTGTGTGGTGTCGTGGTCGAAGGGAGCTCTTCAAGTCCAACATCCAATCCGAGGTCTTTTACCAGTTGAAGACTGTGGAGGTTGTCCACAGATTCCAAGGAAGTTGGCATTGGAGCTAATCTCTGAGATCGAAGACTGCAACAAAGGCGTCTCATTGAATCGCCTAGACATAGAAGAAGAGCTTGGATGGATGAGAAGGCTTCTACAAGCTCACCCAGTTTTGTCTCGTCTTCCTGACTGGCTCCAAAAGAAGCTTGTGGTCCAGCCGGGAGAATGGGAATCTTTGCCTTTGAATCGACGTCAGCGACGAACGTTGAAAACTGAGGGATTTGCACTGCACTTGTACTCTGGAGAGGACTCAGGTCACACACTTCAGCGATCTATGAGGTGTCAAGGCAGTAAGACAAGGAGGCTTTTGGAAGTGGATGTAAAGAAGGGGCAAGCGTATGACATGCTTGCTGACGAAGGGATCTATGCCACTCTCTTGCGAGCTGCGCTTTCAGGAAAGATTCTGGCTGTCTTGGGTGGCCCGAACTGCAGAAGTCGAAGTGTGCTCCGACATCGACCAATTGAAGGCCAACCATGGGCCCCCCGTCCAGTGCGTTGCTGGGAGGGAGGGGAATTTGGAGCACACTGGATCAACAAGAAAGAAGAAAAGATGATTCAAGAAGATGACACTCTTCTTTGGCGAATGATTTTCTTGTACATGATTTCAGAGTATGTCCGCAAGGCACAGTTGCGACCAGATCCTGTTCACTTTGCGTTGGAACAACCTGCATCTCCAAAGACTTATCAACCTGCAGCTGTGTCGTTTTGGGACACCACTGAGTGGCATGATTTGAGAAAGGAGTTTCAGTTGAAGGAGGTCACTTTCAATCAGGGATGTCTTGGAGGTATGGCAACAAAACCCACCACTTTGGGCACTACGTTTGATTTGTGCTTGGAGGATCACAAGATGGGTCCTCTTCTACCTGCGCAACCTGTGGAAAGCTCAAAACAGTTGGAAAGATGGGCACCTGGACTGATGAACGCTGTCAGCGAAGCGGTCATAACTCAGGTGTTCAAGGGGACACCGCAACTCAGGGCTCTCACCTATGAAGAGCATGTTGCTTTTGGTCATGTTCCATATCGCCGTGACTGTCCTGTTTGCCTGCAATCCTCCCAACAGATCTTTCCTCATCGACGAAACAAACATCCACAAACAGGAGTTCTTGCTCTTGACACATGTGGGCCTCTTTTACCATCAAGCGATGTTGGTGGCTGGAAGTGTCGATATTTTTTGGCTGGTGCTTACACATACATGGTTCCAAAGGGCACAGAAAAGATGATAGGTCAACCCGAAGAAGAAGGTGGTCTTGAAGAGGCACCAGTGCTTGATCTTTTTGCCGAGGAGCCTGAAGGTGATGACCAGGAAGCTGATGAACAGCCTCCTGATGGCCTCTTGCCAAGAGGTGCAGAACTTCCTGAGGAGTCCCGTCTTGAAGATTCAGGAGGAGAAGAAGAGAAAGAAAGAGGAGATAAAGATCAAGATGGTCAACAAGAAGCAGAAGATGGTCCTCAAAGCGAAGATAAAGACTATGAAATCAGAGTCTTCAAGATGGCGCTCCCTCTGAGGTCAAAGAAGGCGAGGGAAGTCACAAGAGTAGCGATGGAGATGGTTCTCAAACTGAAGATTGATGGATATCATGTGAATCGTATCCACAGCGACAGAGGCCACGAATTCCTTGGGTCATTTGAAACATGGATGAGGTCTCGAGGCATTCTTTTGACAAGAACATCGGGCGATGATCCAAAGGCCAACGGCCGTGCTGAGGTTACGGTCAAGTCAGTGAAAAACCAGCTGAGAAGGATTCTACTTCATGCAGGAGTAGACTCTTCATGGTGGCCTTGGGCACTTCGATACCTGAACGAGATCTACAGGTGCCAAAGGCTGGATAAGAAGCCAGAGTTCCCCCGCTTTCTTCAAGAAGTCTTGGTGAGGAGGAGGAGGTGGAAGAAACCGGCGTTTGAGCCTATGGTGGAAGTTGCAAGATACCTCGGACCTGCACCCGAGGACAATGGCCATTGGATCAAGGTGAACGATGAAGCACCGAGAGTCACTCGATGCTACATGCAGAAAGCCATAGAACGACCTGAAGAAGGAGTGTGGCTAGCCATCGAAAGGGAGGTCTTGGATGCTCTCACAAAAAGACGAAGGCTTCGAGAAAAGACTACAGTGCGTAGGTTGAAAATGGAGGAGAAAGAAGAAGGTGAGGATGAGGCTGTGAGATTGGCAAAGATGAGGAACAGGTTTACAAGAATGGTCGAGGAGGAGACTAAGGCGATGTTGGATGATTCTCCTGAAATGATCACAGAAGAGATTGACATCTTGGCCAAGCTCAAAAAGATGCTTGACTCTCATGAGAAGGGCGAAGATGATGAAGTCCTCCAAACGAAAATCATCTCCCTTCTTGAGGTCTCAAAGAACTGGAATGATTGGCTTCCGGCAGTGGATGCTGAAGTCACGTCACTGTTAGAAGAGAAGGAAGCCTTCGAGGAGGTGAGTGGAGAAAAGTTGGAGGAGCTCTTGAAGGATGCAGAAAAAAGGGGCATACCAGTGGAGTTTCTCCCATCAAAGTTGGTCTGCACAAAGAAGCCAGGAAAAAGAGGTGGCCGCAACAAGATTCGATGGGTCATCTGTGGAAACTTCGAGCAGGTCAAAGAGGGAGAGAACACGTTTAGCTCTGGTGCAGATGCCTCTGCACTGCGCCTTCTGATCGTTGCGGCATCAAAATTCCAATGGGAGGCTGGGACCATTGACATCAAAACAGCCTTCCTGAATGCCACCATGTGCCCTGAAGACCAGCCAAGCTTGTTGCTGGTCAAACCTCCTATGCTGCTTTTGGAAAAGAAGTACATGAAGCCAGGAACATACTACATGCCCAAGCGCGCGGTCTATGGACTTCGCCGATCACCAAAGCTCTGGGGTGATTGCAGAGATGATGAATTGGAAGTCATGAAACTGGAAGTGGAGGAGGAAGAAGGTCAGATGACATCACTCCGACTCTGCCCTTTGGCATCAGAGCCAAACTTGTGGAGGATTGAAGCTGAGGAGAGTGAAGCTGAGTCTGACACTCAGTCGAACTTTGCTCCGCTGCCATTGAAAGGGCTCTTGATGACATATGTCGATGACATCTTGGTCACTGGAAGTCGAAAGGTGGTAGATGCCGTCATGGAAAAGATCAGAACTATCTGGACCACCTCAGAACCAGATCAAGTAGGAGAAAAGCCTATACGATTCCTAGGCGTCGAGATCTCAAAGACCTTTGATGTCACCAAGAATCGCGACGTTTGGTATGTCAACCAACAGTCCTACATCAAGGACCTTCTTGCGCAAGATCAAGAAGCTCCAGACAGAAAGATCCCAATCACAAAAGATCAGAGTCAACTTCCAGAGGAAGAAGGAAGAACACCAGAGCTGATTCGTTCAGCTCAGAAAGCCACCGGTGAGATGCTCTGGCTGGTGACACGCACCCGCTTGGACCTCATGTATGCTGTTTCAAAGATGGGCTCTTGCGTCACGAAGGCCCCTCAGAAGGTCCTCCAGATCTACCAGCAGATCAAGGGGTATCTCAAAAGTACTATGGATGAAGGCATCTGCTTTGATGCTGCTGGAGCAGAGACCTTGATGATTGAGGCCATGTCAGATGCCAGTTTTGCACCTGAAGGAGATGTCAGCCACGGAGCCTTCATCATCATGGTAGCTTCTTGCCCTGTTTTTTGGCGAAGTGGTCGTCAAAGTTTTGTGACGCTCAGCACAGCAGAAGCGGAGATGATGGAGATTGTGGAGAGCATGGTGGCTGGAGAATCAATTGGTGCCATAGCTGATGAGCTGTTTGGCCCTCTGCAGCGAAAATCTTGGACAGATTCTCAGTCTGCCCAATCAATTTTGACCACTGACGGAGGATCATGGCGCACACGTCATTTGCGACTGAGAGCATCAGCTGCCAGGAGTTCAATCTTGCAGGGCACCTGGTTTCTTCAACATGTCGCAGGAAATCAAATGATCGCTGACATTGGCACCAAACCATTAGCTTCAGAAAGAATCAGGTACTTGAAGAAGGAGATGAACCTGGTTCAAGTACCACAACCGAAAGAGCATGAGAAGAAAGAAGAGAAGGTTTTTGAAGAAAAAGGAGAAGGCGTAGGCATTCAGAAAGCAGCAGCAGCATTGAAGCTGCTCACATTGGCTGCTGCGATCTCAGCTGCCAAAGGAGAACATGAAGAAACAGAAAAAGAAGATCAGGAAAATTCAACCCTCGAGCTCAAAGTCATGATGGTCGTTTTTGCGTTGATCATCGTGCTTCTCACGATCGTGAGCCAGCATTTGTGGAAGGTAGGAGTAAGGAGGCTGGAAATGTCTTGGTCAAACCAAGCTGGATCGTCTTCCCGAAGTCTCCCTGCAGGTGCTGCTGCTCAAAGAGAAGAAGAAGAAAAGGAAAATGGTGGTGAAGGGATGGCCGCTGTGGCAGGACAACTGTCACAGCGACCCACGTACCTCCCACCGGGTGGTGAAGGGATGGCCGCTGTGGCAGATCACACGCCGCAGCGACCCACGTACCTCCCACCAGGCGAAGGGTCTTCTTCGCCACTTGAAGATTCAACCTCTTCATCAGAGGACACTCCGTATCGTCCATTAGATGAGCGCCACATCCCTGGGTTCGACTTGGATCGAGTCATGCAGGAGATAGCAGATGAAGAAACCAACCTCTACGAGGAAGCACAGAGAAATCCAGAAAGATTCCAGAACTATGAGAACAGCGAGGAAAGAGCTAGAGCAGCTTTCCAAGTTTTGACCACTCGGTATGGCCGAGTTTATCACTATCAGAGCCAGTGCAGGTACCTGTCGTCTGTCCAGACAGGAGCCAATCGAGAATCTGCCTGGTGTCGCATTTGCTGGGCCATTACCGCTCAAACGCGTGGACCCCCACCACCAGGAGTTCCACTTTGGATTGATCACTGGGGTGGAGATTATCATGTGGATTCAAGATGCCCACGCTGCGATCCAGAAAAGATGTTTCCAGCATGCCAAGGATGTGGTGAGAGCGCAGGTTAGATCTTTTTCCTTTTATTTGCACAATAGAAGCAGCTTGAGCCTGAATCTTGGGATGACCTCACGATATCCCAAGGGAGGAGTGCAGAATGCATTCCATTTTGACCATACCTGTCAGGCATTTTGACTTGCTGCAGATTTCACATTTGCCGATTTTCTGTAGCTACTTTTTCTAACTCAAGCCGAGCACAACCCCGAGAAGGAAAAGTTGCAAGGTGCGAGGGAAACGGAAACAGAGGAGACCTGCGCAAAGCAATAACCATCAACATGGCCAAGAAAAGAAGATTTACCCAGGCTGGAAACGTTTCACCCATTGTGTCTATGGATATGTCATGATATTCCCATATATATATATTCCCATCATACCATTCCCGTACATATATATATATATATATCCAAACATTATCAAACATTACTGTTGCTTCTCGATGTTATTCCCATCTCTATTCCCATGGATTTCTTGAAGGTCTTTTCGGCATCAACGGCTATTTTCCCATGCCAAGGCTCACCCATCTTGATGCCATCGCCGGTACAATGTTCTCCGTTGGTGGTCGGCAAATGTAGCAGATCCGGGCGGTACTGCGCCAACAGCGAGTTGCTGGTGAAGTCAGCGCCGAAGCCGCCTTTTGGCGTTTTTTTTGGGACCGGAGGAGCCGGGAGCCGGTGGAAAAAAATTAAGAAAATAAGACACATAGGTCATAGGGATATGAAGTTCAAGCATGATTTACAGTTATTTGCTACATAATTCTATATACATTTCATGGATTGACGGGATTCTTGTTGGCGGGCATTGATTTGACCACCAAATCTAGAGTCATCAATAGTAGAGGTTTCCTGTAGATGTTCCTTTAAACCAATTCAGAGAATTAGGGATAGGGAATATTCCAACATCTATGATGTGCCAATTTCTAAAGGGTACATGAGCCATCTATGATTCACAGATTCTGCTTTTTGCGGCAGTTTCGGGATTCATACCAGCACCTTCCCTATTTGGACGAAATCGCATACCCTCTGGTAAACTAACATAGCGGTCAATGTTCAAAGCCCCATCCGATGGTGACACGTTGGATACACATGTGACATCATGTGACAATAAAGGGGAATGCTAGGACATCCCAGCATTGTTGCCTATGGTTTTTATGGTTTTCTTCAATGTTTGTTCCTTACCTTTGTTTTATGTGGTGGGGATTGTGGGACAATTTTGCCCCGAACTTTCACTTCATTGTTTGGTTTCAGATGAGGGGAATCATCGTTTAGTCTGCTAGGCTTTTATGTGAGGTGGGTGATTACTGTACTTCATAATATATTTTGTTAAGATATTATGAATTAATCATTTATGTTTCCCAATTTCCTATTCCATCCCACCAGTGTTCAATCACTCTTATTTGTGTTAAGCACGGCTTGTTTGCATCATTCATTTCATCCACTGCTATTGACAAAAGCGTTAGGTTAATAATCATAGCGTTGAATTCTCCGTCACAATTGAGTTCTTTACCACAATCAATGATGATGTTTTTAATCAGTGGGGTTTTCATACATCTTTTTCATAATGTCAAATCTTACAAACAAGCATATTATCATACCATTAACTCCTTCTGTTTCTTTCATAAACCAATTACTTTCTTCCAAAATTTGTCTCCTTCCTCATCATCTGCTGAAGGCATAGGATGACACTTTACAAAGTCTCTAATCTCTTCATCTTCTTTTTCTATGTGTTTTCTTTCCCAGTCATCGTCCTCATTATCACTACCAAAGTCAGCATATATACCAATATTCCCTGTGTCTATAACCTCAATTTTTGCTCTACACATTTTCCTTTACTATATATATATAGGTAGTTTTTCTTTAAGTATTCATCACTTTTTGTAGGTGCTCTTGTATTTCTGTTAGATTACAGTATTGTTCATGACCATTGAACAGTTCTTCGGTGTATTCACGCAAGAATATTTCCAAAATGTTTTTTATCTTGAATTCCCTATGTCTAAATGTAAAAGTCCACTCATTTTGAGGAAACCACCACTCACGCATTTCCTTACAACACTTCATATATGTAAGGTCGTGAAAGTTTTCAAGGAAGTGATGGGTAGTTTTCCACTCCCTTTTTACAAAAGACTTAATCGCCATTAAGAACAGTTTGTCGTGTTTGAATTCTTGCTTGAGTTTGAATGTATCCATCAAGACATCTATTTCTCCTTTCATTTGACGAACGTTTGTTCGGTTGGTGTTGGATAAAAAGATTGGTGTTGGCATTTCAGTATTGAAGAAAAGTATTTGTTTTTCTGATGTTGTTAGATGTTTGCCTTTACGGAGTTCTTTTTGAATTTCATTCTCCTTTAGGTTCAGGTTTTTACATTTAAAACAGTAAAGGTTGTAATTACATATCTCATCGCAAATTCCAGCAGGAAAAATGTTGTTCAATAAAACCTTAATGTCAGCCATTTCTTTTTTACAACATCCACAGTTTTTATAAGTAAATAGCATCCTCTTACTATATATATATGTATATCTAAGAAATTTCTCTTTAAGTAGTTTTTGGGGCTTCGTTCAGTTTTCGGGTTCAGGTTGGTTTTATTCTCCAGTTCCTCCTTTTCCAGTTCTTTTATAACCATATCAATTTCACTCATTCCTTCATTGGGGTCTTGTCCATTGGCGAGGTTTCTTAACCTCTCAAAATCCTTCACTTTGTGTCTTTCATTAGGTGGGGGGGTTTTGAGATGTTCCTTCAATTCTATCAGGTCAAAGTATGTGTCTTGTTTTTCATCCTCATTTTCCAAAAACATTTCCATTTTTTGCTTTTCCATCTCCATAAATTTATGTTCCATATATTGGAATTTCATTTGCTTCCTGTAGCACTTGTCACACACATTCACGAAGGTTATGAGCAAGTAGTTCCACATAGGTTGGTTTCTGCCGTTCAGGGTTATAACATCTGTCATTATACGACATCCACAGTCAGATTTAGTCATCTTATTTACTCTTACTATACATAGGTATTTTTTCTTTAAGCATATTTTTGTTTATTCTTCTGTTTCACTTGCGGTTTCTAGTTCTATGCCATGCCTTAAAACAACCCTGTTCCTATCTCTCCACACATCATCAGTGTCATCATCATTACCGTATCTCATTATAAATCGGTTATTTTCCCAGTCAATTATCGTGCTCAATTTCGTATATGCGTGATACTCATAAAGCGGAAGTGTCCTCAACCTTCCATACCACTGAACCCATCTCTTGAAACGGCGCACTGCCTTTCTAAACCGTGTCATACCTGTTATTCTCATCATCAACGGGTCTCCCATTGGAAAATACAAAATGTTTGCTTGTATGCCAACGGGCAGTTCTTTGATTTTATCGATCTCTTACTATCATAAGTCTCTACTTCTTTGAGTATATATTTTTGTTGATAATTTTAAAAATCTAATATTATACAGTAATATATGGCAAGGAGACTATAAAGAGATGACATCATAAGCAATGTCTATTACAATCTTGAAACAGGCTTCGGTTCAATCAATGAGACCCTCAAGAAAGCGAAGGAACAAGACCCGACCATCAACAGGGTGGATGTGGAAAACTTTATGAGGAAACAGCCCAACAAACAGATTAGAAAATACAGGGGGTCAAACTCTTACACCGCACCCTTCGCAATGTTTGAATATCAAATTGACATAATGGATATGAAACCCCTTACCAAAGTTCCAGAGGTGAAAGTTCCCGTCAAGAACGGTGAGCCGAGATACGCAATGGTTGTCATTGACATCTTCAGTGCAAGTTGGCTAATGTCATCCATATGAAGGAAAAAACCGGACCAAACGCTTTGTCAGCACTAAAAGAAACTTTCAAGATGGGATTTCCAATGTCTATTTACAGGGATAATGACCGTGCTTTCCAAGCAGGAGCAAAAGAGTTCTTCCAGAAGGAAGGCATCACTCATGCCGTCACCCTAACTCACGCCAATGTTGTGGAGCGTTTCATCAGAACGATGAAAAATATGATGCACGATAGGGTCAGGTTTGATCCTGGTAGTTGGACTGCTATGTTGTCCAAAGCGTTGGATAAATACAATGATGCAGTCCATTCATCTACAATGAATCTACAAAAATGAAACCAAAAGACGCCCACGATGACAAGAAACCATTAAATGGTGAATTTGGATGTCAGGGTGAATTTGACAAGAAGGGAAAAGAACACTGGCAAATACCCAGAGGTGAATGTGAATGATATGGTCAAGGTCTTTGAGAAAAAAGACACCTACACGGAGAGGAAGGAGTATAACTCAAAATGGAGCAAACAATCCTCATCAAGATAGAATACGACCCTGTCGGAAACAGAACCATCAAACTGGAGGGTCTGAAAAAACCTTATTTGAGGCACGAGATTTTGAAAGTATAAAAAATGATCTATAATATAAATATATGACAGAGGTAGTCGTAAAAGAGATTGATAATGAAGAACCGAAGGAAGAAACAATACCAGAACCAATACAGGAGGAAGCACCGAAGGAAGAGGAGAAACCAGAGGAAGTCATTGAACAACCAGTTCAAGAGAACCACAACCAGCACCAAAGCCCAAAAGGGTAAGACCATCAAGAGCAAAACCACCTTTTGACCCAGAAGCATTGAAAAACGACCTTGTAAAACAACTGAAGGAAGAACTACAAAGCGCGATGTCCGCCAGAGACGCCTACAACAAAGCCAAAGAGGAGAAGAACAAAGCGACGAGAGAGAAATTGAAATCTTTAGCATCAAATGTTTTTTAATAAAGTACTATATATAAAAATGAACACCAAGGAACAGAAAACGGAACTCAACAAAAAAGACATCTACAAAAATGTCCGCGAGGACATCAACAGAAGACAAACCGTCCATTCAAACAAAAGCACCAACTACAGGAGCGGAACGCCCGAAATGCCAGACAGAAGAAAAAAAGCGTATAGCAGTTATGAACTACCACAACGACAACAACACGGCAAGGATGCCTACTCACAACCATCATCTTTATCTAAAGCGCCTTCTTGAATTTCACAACACCGAGCACGACTACACGGTCTTACAGGTAAAGCAGAGGATGAAGGAAGAGAATGAGATGCTACAGAACGAAATGACAAGGTTGAGGGAGGTGAGAAAAATCACAGATTGGAAGATTACGGAGCGAATGTCCAGAATATGAAACAGAGAATTGATGAATACACAAAGTGGTTGAGAGGTGATACAGAAGATGATTACAAAAAATCTAAAGTATTAATATATATAGCAATGACAGCAGAAGTAATCAATGCAAAAAAGGGATTGACACGAATACCCACTTATGCGGAACTCATCAAGGGAAATAGACGGGGGAAAAAACAAAACCAATGACATCAGAAAAATCTTTGATACGAACGCTTGGTACTTTCACGAAAGTCCGCAGGGTCAAGCACTGAACACAAACAACATCCACCCAGCAGACTTACAGCAAATGAGCTTGAAAAAGATGGCAGAGGAAGCGACCGCAAGGAAGGAAGAAAAAACACCCAACCTTGACTTTGAAGATATGACTGCCTTGAGGGACGACACCATCAGCGACTTTGAGATATCCTTTGACAGAGAGGCAGAGTTGAGGGAAGAGAACGAAAGGAGAGTAGCAGAACAGGCAAGCTTAAGTCATTCACAAGACCACTATATGGCAAACAAACGAGCATACGACGCCGTTGGAGCAACAGCATCGGCAGGGATACAAGAAGACGAAGAACTGCCTTCAAGCAGTAGAAGCGTTTTAAAGCAATTCCTTAAATCATCCAAACCAGTCGTCAAAGCAGTCGCCACCTCAGGAGGAACAAACAGCAAAGGGAGGGTCAATAGGAGGACTAAAAGCATCAAAACTCACAGATGCCATCATACCCGACGAAGACGAGGAAGAGAAACCGTCCAAGATAAAAACCAACGCAAAAAAATAATCAATAAGCAAGTCAAAAAAGTAAATCACCAAAAGAAACTAAAGGAGGAAACATCAAAAATGAACGTAGATGTAGTAGTGCCCGACACCACCGAAGCAATGGAGACAACAGCAATACCAACAACAGAAAAGAGGAAACCCATAAGCGTGAGACAGTCCAAAGCAAAGAGACAAAGACCAAACCCACCAACGCAGGAGAAGAGAGAATTTCAGGAAGACCCATCCACAACCACCAAACCATCCAAAGCAGAGTAAGAGGAAAACAACCACAATTCCCCCCACCTGAGGCCAAAATCACTGGGCCGAACTCCTGGAAATTCTGGCCGCCCTTTTCGTAGACGCAGCCCACCTTAAAAAACGTGCACGAACGGACTGGAAACGACATGGAGGTTGGAGGCAGCCAATACCTAGCCAGTCAGCGAAACGGACCTTTGATAGTTGGTTATAGAATATTGTAGGTTCTTTTTAAATCAACTACAACTATGGTCCCGAAAATAAATATCATCAACTATACATGTTCGTTATAAATCAACTATAGAATGTTATAAATGTTCAATGAATTCAGTACTTGATTTGCCATCAATTGAAGTGGTGAAAATCTCAGCGTCCCATTGGGCAGACAGGTCCGAACCTGGAAGCTATGACAGAAAATGAGGTTTCTGTTGAAAGGTCAGGACATCTGGAAATACCAGGATTCGACCGTCAACTCTTTGAAGTCTTTTTGGAAGGTCAGGAAATACCCGAATTCTGGAAATACGTCAGGATTGTACTTGCAAAATGTGGAAAAAAAAGATATCTTTTGATCAAAAACCGCTGATAAAATGCATCAAAAAGGGGGATTTCACCAGCAAACAAGGAGTCAGTGCTTTCGCCACATGGCAACGTGACCCTCAACTTTTGAAACCAAGCAATGTCCCACTGGTAGTGGTCGGTGAAGAACTGTATTCCCATGATGAATCATCCCCCAATAAATTGGATAGTATTCAGTGTACTTCAAAATAATCATCAACCAGCCATCACTAATCAATTGAAGTTTGATGGTTAAAAGATGTTAAAAACTCTGTTTAAAAGAATGACTATAATCAAATAATCCCTAGTAAATAGCGATATACTCACCAACCAACTGACTTTTTATAATTCTACGAGTTCCCCAACAACTAATCAACACCGTTGGGTGTTTGTTGTTGAAGTCCTTCATCACGGGCCATGCCACGCAGACGTTACCCTCGGTGACAAGCTTGAAGACCTTGGCCTGCGAGACGTCAGCTGCCCTCGTTGGATGAACATTGAAAGGTCATGGCTTATGGTCGTCTCGTACTGGGAATCCAAACATATATCACAGGTGCAGACAGATATCTGGTTGGTGGTTTCAACCCTATGAGTTCGTCAGTTGTGATGATGACATTCCCAACATATGGGAAAAAAAATGTTCCAAACCACCAACTAAATATAAATCACTAGATATTATAAAGCATCATGAAAAAAATAAGAATAAACTATTGCTGGATTGATGGCCAATCCGTTCAATGGGGAAAAAACAACGTATGTTTTGATCATGGCACATGTGGTGAAACGGCAAAACAAGACAAAAACAACCACTAAAAATGGAAATGTTCATGAAGATCTAAGATGCCCTTTTCAGTTAAAAAAATTGGGGCTGAACAACCAATGTTGGTGTTATGAAAATTTGTCTCGAAATGGAGGAATTACCCCGAATTGAATGTATGAGATGGCAAACATCTATGGTTTGAAGTATCAAGTGGTAAACTTTGAGCAGGATCTGGTTTATGATTGGGTTCAACACATCAGTTATCATCAATTCGGCATGTCAAGAAATGCTGGTGTATACCCCCGTGAATTTGGGCATCAATTCATATGGAGATCCATGGAAGCGATGAAGGGGTCCGTGGTCGGCTGGCCATAGAGATGGGAGTTATTTTACCATATAAGTAATTCATGGTATAGATGGTGTCTAGATGAAGTACTTCAACAATGCTAGAATTTTCCCATAGCGACGTCAAATTGCCACTCTAGGCATCGGGTGCCGTCTGCGCCACCTTCGTTCATCGGTCATTCGTAGGATCTGCTGGCAATGGAAAATTGGCCGACGACCGATCTATAGATGAGTTGCACATTAAAACCTCCATGATTAGCGGATTTCCCATTGCCACGTTTGATTAACGGGAGGGTAATATCTTTGGACTGGAACCCCATATTTTTTTTCGGAAATCTTCCGGGTATAGGTCGAAAACCTGTGGTTCACTGGGCCAAACCGATTTTTTACCCAGCCCCTTGTACCACTATCATATTTTGGGTGGAATTTTAATTAGTTCGATGTTTAAATGACTGAGTGAACACCCATTTTTCCTTGAAATATGACATCCCCATGAATGTCAACCCTGGATTCTTCATCTTCTTGGTTTAATTCGAAAAATGCGGATTATTAGAGGAATAGAAACCATTTTTCCAATTCACCCATGGTATTTACGACTAATTCCTGTAATTTTTAAACCATGGCTTAATAATCACCATGAATACCATCATTAATCATTAATAACCATCATTAATCATTAATAACCATCATTAATCATTAATACCATTAGCTAATAATCACCAATCAGTAATCATCATCATTAAATACCATCATAATACCATCATCAATCACTAAATACCATCTTAATACCATGGTTAAACTATTAAACACTATCCAAGATTGAGAAAACTCTCCCCAATGATGTTGAGTTAGAAAATACCATGGTATAATCTAATATGGTTTAACCATGGTTTAATTAAATACCATGGTTTAGTTAGAGAAAACTCTCCCCAATGATGTCATCTACTGGCTGATACCTCCACGCCTTGGTGACGATCCTGGCAAGGTCCGTCTTTTCGGCCACCTGTGACCGCAACGGTGCCCCTAGAAGTGGTACCGGTGATAGCCTGTAGAAGTTGGGATCTGGGATCTCCTAGACTATGGCTATATTAGTTTTATATTACATATATATATATATATACTCAAAAGTTGGTTTATAACCACCATTGGCGAGGGCCTTATATATATATATATATTATGTCCACTTAAAATGTTGGTTTATAGCCACCATCAACGAGTGCGATATATCTACCATTAACCTTATACTTGTAGTTATTGGAGTTATACCAGCAAAAACTGTGTTTGTTAGTTTATGAAACCCATCTAACAAACAAGTTAAGTTGGAATACATGAAAGCCAACAAAAGTTAGTTCTTTCATCAGCATAATTGCAGCATTCTAGTGAAAATTCCACCAAGTAGCTCAAGTTTTGGCCCCCCCTTTAGTCCCTTCTTCCTTAGAAGGGACCCCAAGTCAGGATCTTAAAAAAGCCATAGATCCAGTAGAAAAAACCACCAGGCTTGATCATCAAATTATCCTCCCCAGTGGCAAGAACCAAGCCAACTACCCATCCAACCATATCCAACCATATCCAAGCATATATCCAAGCATATCCAACAACAACAACTTGGATCTTCAGACTCTTCTCCAGAAAAAAAAGGAAACAAACCAACTTTCTGCAACAAAAAAACTTCCGAGATATATGTGTGTCCAAGAATACAAAAAACAACTCCAACCATCCATCATCCAACAAGCCTCATCTTCACATCATATCTACCTTGGATAATGATCACATAACACATTATTCACATCAATGACAACTATCACACGGATTCATACAGTTTTTGAAGCTGGCAACGTCCAAATTAAAAATAGTGATGTTCTAAAAACTTGTAAAATAAACTATCACCCATCATAAACCCATCATAATCATAAACCCAACATCAAATTAACTATCACCCATCATAACCCATCTTTCAAAGAGCCTTCTTTGAAACCATTAACTATCACCCATCAACACCATCCTAAGGCCATCCTCGAAGTCACCCCCAAAAAAAGCGTCGCAGAGATCCCTAGCATTTTATGGCCATTAATAGTGGTGTTTACCAAGTGGTCATCTATGTTCAAAATCTAAATCTTCATCCATCAACCTCAACCATCTTAACATATATATATATATACATACATATACATATATACATATACATATATATATATATCCTACCCATGCTCACTCTAAGTTTTTCAACCCCATTTCATTTTGATGGCCTTCTCCAACATCTGGATCAAGGCGTAGGTGATGGTCATCCCTGGGAATCGCTCCTTTCCTCGGTGCGTTCTGGGCTGCGAGTGTCCTCCCAGACGCGCCACCAACGACAGGTCCAAATTGAACTTCTCCACCAGCCAGTCCTGGAAACACCGGGAACACGTTAAGGGAACACGTTAAGGGAACACCGGGAAACAAGGGGAAAAATATGTATAAACATGGCGAAGTTTGCAAAGAGTGAGGGTTTATGATGGGTTGATGATAGGTTTATGTGGTTTCTTGACCGAAATTGTGACTTAGACGTCACAAGTTTGAAAGTTTTAACCCTCTGGTACTCTAACTTAGCGATGGAAAGTGACCATTTGTAGATGATTTACCTATTAAACGTAGTGTTTTTATAATAGCTATGTTGAATTACCAGGGTGCAAAAACAAAAAAACGGATGTAACAGTGAGGGAATTCACCGGCAAACATGGGGAAGGAACACCGATTTTTCACCGCAAAAGTTGGGAAGTGAACAGCAAACTGGCTGAATCAAAGATCCACAACTGGCTGGTGGATCCACAACATGTAACAACCAGCTCAAACTTGGGATGAAACTGAGGACATAACATAACATGGATAAAGATAGAAACCAACCCGAAAATGCAGAGGATAAACATGGATAAACTACAATTCTTCACTCCTCCGAGATTCTTAAAATAAGATTTGAGGCTCCAGACTAGTCACCCTTCTGGAAGCTAGCTATGGTGTAGATGGCCCAGTGGCCCAGCTTCTGCGTTCGATATACTTCGATGATGTACTGTACCTGTGATTAAAAAATGGTGAGCTTCCAGTCTGCAAACTGGTTCACGAATTACCAGACATTAACCATCATGTGTCGCACTGACTTTTTTAGGAAAAAAAACATCAATATCCCATGAATATCCTATAAATTATAAATATATAGTCGCCGACAGCCGGTCAGAAAAATGAAAATTCTATAGTAAATAAACACACAAAAAAAAAACTGAGAAAAATTGCGTACACTTAGGAAGAACCAATTCCCCGAGTAAATGCTCACCGTTTCGTGTATTTTTGAAGTCGGAGTGTTTCACAGGGTCAAAAAAAAACAATGATGATGCTGGTGATCCAGTGCAAAATAATATCAAAATCTTCCCCGTTTCGTGTATATATATATACATATATTATAGATGCTAGAGTTTGCTATACATTCATTGCACAGTCTCATATTAATATAATCATATATATATACTTTTTTAGATACATGCAAAACGTCAGAAGTGTCTCAGGAGCTCAAATCTACATCCCACTTAGGGTAGACTCTGGGAATCCCGCCGTGATTTGGAGCCAGTTTTTGTTCCGTTGGTTTCTTGGCTGGTCAATGTCCGAAGAGAAACGTCCCAAAGATATCTGGTTAATGGTGATTAATGGTGATTAATGGTGGTTAATGATGGTAAATGATGATTAATTATCTGGTTGGTGGTTGACCTACCCCTCTGATAAATAGGAAAGTCAGTTGGGATGATGACATTCCCAATAGATGGAAAGTCATAAAATTCCATGGTTCCAGTCACCACCAACCAGACAGTCGATGATCTTGGAGATGTCCATTCCGAATATAACGGGCACCTAAGGAAGGAAATCAATCCGAATCCCTTCCTGCCATTGCCATGTCAAATGCTCCATGTCGACACCTGTGGTTTAGTCGATTGGATCCATTAAGACACCTGCGCTTGCGTGGGCCAGAAAAAATACAATCGTACACATTCATGGGATGGGACCGGATGGGAGTCATACCATTTGCTAAATTATACCATTTGCACAGCCACCACGCTACTATTGGTACCTCCTGTTCTTAATATCTTTCATTGGATTGTTTTTTTTCGGGAAAAGCTTAACCGGAAACCATGGTTTTTACCATATTTATATGGGGGTTTCCGGTTTCAATTTTCCCCTAAACCAATCCAATGAATCTTCCCGTATGTTTTCCACAAAAACGACGTTTACGCCTCGTCCCCGAGCCAAGATTCCACGTCGTCAGCGCTGTTGTCGCACAAGAGCCTTGTGATGTTGATCCAGCTGAGGAGAAGCGTGGCTTTTCGAGCCGTTTTTCAATGGTAGATATCACGAAGAAAATGGGATAACTGGTTGGTGGTTGAGCCCAACCCCTCTGAAAAATATGAGTCAAATGGGATTATTGTTCCCAATATATGGAAAAATAATCCAAATGTTCCAAACCACCAACCAGGATAAACATGGATAAACATGGGATGGCATCGTTAACAAAAAAATAGATAAAAATGGGATACCCTCTGGTAAACTAACATAGCTATGGAAAATCACCATTTTTAATGGGAAAATCCACTATAAATGGCCATTTTCAATAGCTATGTTAGTTTACCAGAGGGTAAACATCAGAGGAATGGAATTTGAAAAGAACAGGTTTTACTCCAAAAAAAGGGGATGAAACCGTGTCTAAAACCGCCATCTTGTCCCGGTATCGAGATGATCTTGGGTTTTTTTAATTGACTTGGCTGGGTGATTCAAGTTGAATGTAAGTTGGATGTGTCAGTTGGTTGGTGCCCTTACAAAAATTATATTCTTACCAACTGACTATAGTTGATAATCACCAACTGACTACCCTCTGGTAATTTTTACATAGCTATGGAAAATCACCATTTTCAATGGGTAAATCCACTATAAATCACCATTTTCAATAGCTATGTTAGTTTACCAGATGGTATATTACCTCACTAGACCAGTTTAGAGCCCATTCTTCATGGGATGATACACCAAGGTGTTGCTGACACACCAAGGGGCTTTCCTCGGCTTTCCATGGTAAACGTTAACAAAAACTATGGAAAATGGCCCATTGAAATAGTGAGTTTTCCCATGAAAAATGGTGATTTTCCATAGTTACCCGGCCTGGTTTTTACGTTAACAAAAAACTTTGGAAAGATCCACCATTTTTTGGGTAAATCCACTATTTCGGGCCATGTTCAATAGCTTTAACTGTATGTTTACCAGGCCGGGTAGATTGAGAAGAAACACCAAGAAGCCACCCTCATTGGGTTCGAAGGGGGAAAATGCCCGGGACACGAGCTACGATTCTATCATTGACATGGCAGTTTCATGTATGTGTTTCATCAAACAGCCTTAAAGCCAGTCAAAGGAAATGATGTATTCAATGATATTCAATGATATTCAATGTATTTCTGGATATGATGTGTTTTTCAAGTGGTTCTCATATTCATCATACTCTCAAAAAGGCCAGCCAAATTAATGACCGATTCAATGGGGAAATCCTCGAAAATCTCATGGAAGTGACAAGCCGGATCGATTTTCCTCACCCGGGGCCCCTTGTGTTGAAAAAACAATCAGCGAATAAAAACCAGGATTTCAAGTGTCTATTCTTGTGAATATGACGATTCATGTTGAAACAATACTACCCTCTGGTAATTTAACATAGCTATGGAAAATCACCATTTATAGTGGATTTTCCCATTAAAAATGGTGATTTTCCATAGCTATGTTAGTTTAACAGAGGGTATAAGCTGTTTCTTTCACTGTCCCGGCACCGATTCCGGCTAGCCATGCAGCTTCGCCAATTCCGGCTTCTTAGCACCGCCCTTCAGGGTGTCCTTGACGTCACAAGACGCAGAAACCAACAGCAGCAAACATGAAATTACCGTAAGTGTTCATTTTATAACTTGTGGTGAAATGATGTTGAACTGATTTACATTAAATATCATAAAATCCAAATAGATTAAGTCACTTCAACATCATTCACCACAGCTTGCGAAGTTACGACCCCGCAAAACAAACCTCTTTGCCAATGACAAACGAACTAAGACAGCTATTTCAGGTCATTGGGGAAAGGCCGAGCTGACAAAATCTAGAAATTTATTGGTCAGTATTCTTCAATTCTCATGGGACATCATGAAAATATGGAGGTGTCCAAAGTCATGGGGGTACATCTTCCTCCATCAAAATGCCTAAGCCCACCACCGGATGAAGCCAAAAAAGGCTGATCTTGTTGTGGATGCAGATCACTACCCAAGCCTCTCTTTGTTGTTGGTTACTCTCCAACGTTTACATGTGAAACACCCACCACTTCTATGTAGATCATTGAACCCGGTCCACATCTTTTTGCATGTTTACCCTAGGGCTAATGTCCCGTTGTTTATCCATGTAGAAGTAAGTCACATTTGAAGGTTGGCCCACGCCTTATGACACCATTTTCTGGCTCCTGATTTCAACGAAACTCCGCCCTGCAAACGGTGCTTCGCCCTTGTGTTTGTTGGCCAAAATCCACATAGTGTTCTTCCATCACCAAACCAACAACCAGAATATATATATCGGTTGGTTGCATACCCATATCTTGCTAGAGTTATACCACCCTTTTAATGGGCTGACATTCGTTTCATTTCGTTTCACTAGTAGCAGCAACCCACCAACCGAAGCGACGAAACCGGAAAGCGCTGGAAGTCCTGTGTAAAGATCTCAGCGTTGTCGGGGATCCCCTTGGCCTTTTGCGTCTTGGTGCCTGGTCGAGGCGAGGCGAGGCTGGCTTGCTGGCTTCTCGTGGACCGGCGAAGAAAAAACTCCATGGTCATAGTCATCGTTTTTGTGCGGCAAAATTGATTGAAGGTTCATTGAAATGGTACCCTTTGGTAATTTAACATAGCTATTGAAAATGGTCATTTATAGTGTTTTTTCCCATCAAAAATGGTGATTTTCTATAGCTATGTTAAATTACCAGAGGGTATAAGTTGGGGCAAGGAAGCGACTCGGAACCGACCTTCAATTGAAATTGCTTCTGGCATTGTCCTCAAATCTTCACCCCGCACATGCGGCCATCTGCATAGTGATGGGTCAAGGGGGTGCCTTGAAACTGGACCAGTCCTGCTCTGAAACCTCTTCTTGGGGGCTTGCAGGGCTCATGTTGGTTTTGTTGGCGATATCATGCCATATCCCTATGATTGTTCCTTACATCTACATTATTCTTATAGTTATAGTTATATCCCTATTATTGTTACTTATATCATATACCCTCTGGTAAACTAACATAGCTATTGAAAATGATCATTTATAGTGAGTTTTCCCATTGAAAATGGTGATTTTCCATAGTTATGTTAGTTTACCAGAGGGTATCATTCTTGGCTCGTGATTTCCTTCCAAAATCGCTCCAAGCTGTTCCAACCAGGCCCTTCATCGCCTGCACCGTTGATTCCACTGGTCGCTTTGGTGCTGTTGCCACCGCAGAAGGAACTCTTATCCTGCGGTCACTCAAAAAAGGTCCCGTGGATAGAACATAAATGGATATAAATGGCTATCCAGTGCATAGAATTTTTATCCAATTATGAAATAGATTTATGGCTATCCAATGTTTATCTTAAAACTGAGAATCCAATTTAATCCAAGTTTTATGAAATGTAATGAATATTAGTGAATCCCAGTGAAAATGGGGATCACCATATGGCTTTGATTAGCGAATTGATGTCAACACACCAATCTGAGAAGTAACACCTCAGGTGATGTCGCGAGTTGAGTGGATTGTTGGTGAAAAATGTTGGGCAGTCTGGCCTTTTTGGTGATCAAGCAAAAATAGAAGAGTCATTTGTCATGATTTTAGGGGATCTAGATCAAACTATAAATATGATTGGCATCAAAAAAATACTTTTAGGATCAAAAACAAATCATTACTAAGATAAAACAATATTGGAATCGAAAGAAAAACAGAAACAAAAGAAAGAAAGAAGGAAAGAAGAAAGAAAGCTTTAGGCGGGTCGCTGGGAAATCCCCGAACACTGACAAAATTCACAGCGACGCATAGAAAAAAAAAACAATTTTCAAAACTTCACTAGTGAGTTTATTCCCATTGATGTTTATTGAAGTTGTTTCCATTGTACAGTAAATCCCCCAATCTTTCATGAGGGATTTTCCAGCACTTTCCAGCGACATCCCCCTTTTGGCTCCAGCAAAACCACTCGGCCACCATGCTCCACCACGGTGTTGGCCGCGGACATTCCTGCCACGACTCGTGGCTACGGAACGGCGGAACGGCGGAACGGCTATGGATGATCCTGGTAGGAAAGATGGATGATCCCCAGAAATTTTGTTGACATGTCACGTCTTGATAGATGTTGATCCAATGATGATGTGGGATGTTTATCAGTTTATCCCCAGAAATACTGTCATGTACGTTTTGACACATCCCCATGACGAGGACATGGCTGTAGTTGTGAGTCAAAAAACGAACGATTCAAGGCCATGGGCGTGCGGTTCAGAGACTTGATCCTGAAGATGTCCGCTGTTTGCAAAAGTTGCGATGTCTTTTTAGGATACCCATCTATTCACTAGAAAGATCAAAATAGATGGGTTAACTAACAATATTTGGGCGATCAAAATGAACCCATCTATTCACTGACCACTCGCTTTTCGTCTTGGCCACATGAAGCTTCCCAATACTTGGCCGGCTTTGCTCAAGGTGTCGTTCCCAAAAGTGTCGATTTCCAAAGGCTGTTTCCCATCAAACGCAAGACTATCATCAAAACACATCTTAAACAACTTTAACAAAGAAAAAAATCAAACAGTCAAACCAAAACAAAAACTCGACCCTCTTGTAATTTAACATAGCCATGAAAAATCCACCATTTTAAAGTTCGGTAAACCATCTATTTCTATGGGCCATCTATACCATGGCTATGTTAGTCATAACCAGAGGGTATATCCCAAAATATCCCAAAAACGATTGAAGAAAATCAACGATTCCCACCTCCAAGGCCTTAATTGTCCCAGCATTTTTTCACCATGCCACCTCCAAGGCCGCCGCCCACCACAATGGCTTGACTGGTGGGAAAACACGCCATGACCCGATGAGGCCACAACGACCTCGCAGTGAAGGTCAGTTGTTTGCCCCCAAAAAAAGTGGGGAAAAATGGATGTAGATCTATGAAATAGACCTGGAAAAAGATAGAAACATCCTCTTTCAGGATGGAGGGATTTCAGTATTAAATGGTGATTTTTCAGGGCATAGATTTCTTCGTTTTTCTGATGTCAGACCGAAAAAAAAAAAACATCGCTAAAACCCACAGGGAATTCTTTGGATCCACGAAAAACAGGAGGAGAAAAGAGACCACAGCGAAACAAAAACCTGGCAGCTGACGGTATGGCTCCTTTTTCACTTCACCATCCAAAGTTTCAGATGTATGCTGGTTGGTGGTGCAATAACCACCTTGAAAAATATGAGTTCGTCAATGGGAAGGATGACATCCCATATATGAAATGGAAAATAAAAAATGTTTGAAACCACCAACCAGTATGTGTTGATGTAAAGCAATAGGATCCACCATCGCGGAAAATAGTACCATTTGATGGATGGTACAATTATTAACCATCAAAATATGGTGGGTTTATGGCCTTGCTTTACCAACATTATGTGATGTAGAAACCTAGTGAAGTCCTCCGGTCACCCTTGGCTCGAAAAATCGCCCTGGCCCCACCCCCTGGCCCGGCCCTGGCCAGAGAGTTGTTGCCCGTTGAGCTGAACAAAATGGCTGCCGTGGTCCAAGTGACGGCCCTGGTACCCTGGTCTTGTGGGAAAAGTGGTGACAGCCTGTTACAACTGCTGAACCCCAAATACACAGCCTGTGGGTAAAACAATTTCATAAACGCACCATCCCCCAGTCATCAGCATTTTTTGCTTGGTGGTATAAAAACCATTCCCAAATGGGTGGTCTATTATTGTTTCACCCACATGACCGTATCCAATGTATCCAACATGTTTTTTTGAGTTCGAGATGCCCAATCCTGGATGGACTTTGGGTTGAAGAGCTTCTAAACTGAGGATCATGCCGTGTCAAGGCAACACAACTTGACATCCCTTGGGGTGTCTCGACGTCGCAGGTCGTGCGAGAAGATGGGAGTCTTCCCTGTTGCATCTGATTGGGGATCACACCACTTCCTTCCCCGCGTGGTAAACCCCATGTTTTTTTTAACCAACACGAAACCCAAGTATAGTATGATTGAGAACAAACCCCTCAATGGTTGAAGTTTGGAGTGGTTGCTGGCTTTAGCTTTATATAACCCTTGAAATGACTCAAAATCCAAGACCAGGCGGCGACTTCCCTCCTTTTTTTCCCCGGGGCCCAGCTGCTGTACAGCGTCGCCAAACGATGGGTTCCACATATTCCCACGATAAGAAAATTCCAACAGACCCCATTTGGGTGGGGTTTAGGGTTCCTTTCATTTGGGGCGTTGGAGGACTTGGAGATACTGGTCCAGTGCCTTGTTCAAATATGGTCAAATCCTCTTGGACTGACAGATATGCTTCGTCTAAAATCAATGACGTCCCTTGGGCAAAAATCATGGGGCACATTTGGCGCTAAAAGGACCTGTTTTCAAACCAGGTTCTTCTCTGAAGCATCAGACACAAAAAAATCCGGATCCGGGTGGATTTTCCAATTCGAACCATCCACAAACAATGATAACTGGTTGGTGGTTGAGCCCAACCCCTCTGAAAAATGATGGAGTTCGTCAGTTGGGAGTATGACATTCCCAATATGATGGGAAAGTCATTCAAAATTCCATGGTTCCAGTCACCACCAAGCAGATGATCAAGATTCCCCCCATCTCATTCACCCATCCCCCAAAAAAAATATCCAGCTTTGACCAGATTTTTGTTTGGTCCAAAAAAGATCCACAGCATCTTGATCCCCAAAAATCCCAAAACTGCCATATTTTGTTTCGGAGATTTTAGGTTGGTATACCACAATTTCTGAATACTAACCATTTTTGGGGGGTCATTTTTTTGCAAGAGATCTCCTCTTTCCGATTCTTTGTGCGATTTCGCTGGTTTTACACCCGCCATGTTGACCCATCAGTCGCGACCGGTCGTTGGGAAACACCCGGCGTGCTGTGGCAGTTTTCGGTGGGTTGGGTACACCGAACAAAAGGAACTTGCTACTTCGAAGATTACGTTGAGGTTTATTGAGTTTGTCGAATAGATTAATATGTGTGCATTATATTATATGTGTGTGTGTGTGTGTTTGTAGTATTGCGTAAAAGCTTCTACAATGATATGAACTTGTGTATATATATATATATATTATATATATACAATTCATGACATCTATTTTCCACTTCAAATTCGACAATTCGACATGTCTTGCAATGCGCTGCAGTTGAAGGTGATTGTTTTCAGGTGCTTAAGCGACCACTTTGGGGATGAAGGGGCCACAGTGAACAATGTCAACCCTGTTAGAGGGATCCTCGCGAAATAGTGATAATCATTGATAATCTGATACTTCAATGGTACCCCCTAATGAAGTTGATTAATTCATATTAATTCAAGGTCGACATGAAATAGCCAATCAATCAGGTGTATGTCCTGCAGGACTTGTAGGATCTTCATGGACCATTCATTTGGTATGCGCAACCACAGAGGGTACCCTCTGGTAAACGTTAACAAAAAACAAAAATCACCATTTTTAATGGGTAAATCAACTATAAATGGCAATTTTCAATAGCTATGTTAATTTACCAGAGGGTAATAATGGTCGAAATCATCCATTTAGAAAGTCACTGATGCTAAGCCATTGTGATAAGCCACGGAAGATCTCCGATATCGGAGAGTCCTATGATAAAATTGACCCCCAAAGTGCGAGTGCGACACCATGCTTTCAAAGGTTGCGCCAACCTAAAGATGGAGTTCTTGTTCCCTTGGAAAAAATCATCCAACTATTGCAACAGGCCTTGGAATCTTGGCTTTGGGTATATAGTTCCATGATATTCCCATTGATTTATATGGATTTCCCGCATGATTTTGAGTCGATTCTGTACCTAGCCCACGTTGCCGCCACAACCGAAACCTGGTCCACGGACCAGGAGAAATTATGGGACCACCATGAGCAGAATGCTCCTCAGGGAGAGGTTTTTCTGCATGGCGCCCCCAGAAAAGGCACACAGCCCATTTTTTTGCACATGGATTGCTGGTCAGTGACATCCTCAGACTGCAAGTTTCAACTTCTTCGAACTGTTCTGAGAGATTTCCCATGACCATAAAACACCCTGCTGGCGACACAGATGGCCGAAGTGGGGATCCCAGAAAACCTCTCGAACCCCAGGGGATGATAAAAAATAAAGTCTTCACTGGCTTGATTTGCGACAATGACTATCCAAACCTCAATAATTAAAGCAAAACCCGCTTAAAAGCGGAATGGCTTAGCAACATGGTTCCACAACACACCTGGGTATTGGGGATAGTTAACCATAGTTAACCATAGGCAACCACCGTTGTATAACTATAGAATCATAGTTATATAACCATAGTTAACCACAGTTGTATAACTATAGTTAACCATAGGCAACCACAGTTGTATAACCACAATTAATCATAGTCAACCATAGGTAACCACAGTTGTATAACCATAGCTAACCATAGGCAACCACAGTTGTATAACCATAGTAAATCATAGTCAACCATAGGTAACCACAGTTGTATAACCGTAGTTAACCATAGGCAATCACAGTTGTATAACCATAGTTAATCATTGTCAACCATAGGTAACCACAGTTGTATAACCATAGTTAACCATAGGCAACCACAGTTGTATAACCATAGTTAATCATTGTCAACCATAGGTAACCACAGTTGTATAACCATAGCTAACCATAGGCAACCACAGTTGTATAACCATAGTTAATCATAGTCAACCATAGTTAACCACAGTTGTATAACCATAGTTAACCATAGGCAACCACAGTTGTATAACCATAGTTAATCAAAGTCAACCATAGGTAACCACAGTTGTATAACCATAGTTAACCATAGGCAACCACAGTTGTATAACCATAGTTAATCATAGTCAACCATAGGTAACCGCAGTTGTATAACCATAGTTAACCATAGCTAACCATGTTTGGGGAATCTCAAAATTGATTGGTCCACGACCGCAGATCACTTACTCGCTGGTACCCGGGCAGGACCCGAGCAGGACCCAGGACCCCTTGACGGTGGCGCGTCAGCTGACAGCAACTCAGAACATCTACAGTTGAAACATGTTAAAACCATGGGTTTTTTACCCAAAAGATTAGGGTAAAACCTGCAAATTGACCCTTTCATCCAACTAGATGAGACTTGGATTTGCTAGTCTGAAATCGAAACAAAGCGATAGTTTGTGGACCCCAAATGGCCCCGGGGAAAATTGAGGAGACCTTGGTGCGAGAAGCGGATCTCAAATTTAAGCGAAGCTTTTTTGCCCGTCATATAGCCATTACATTCGTTACATGCCAAAGCCGATGGTTTTCACGATGGTTTTCAAGCATCAAAAGCCCATTTAAGTCACTGTTTTACCAGATGTCACTTTTCTTATAATTTTTTTAGTGGTTTCTATGAGAAATGCCTAGAAGCCCTGGCTGGTTTCCCTAACCCATCAACGAGGTCCCTACGGGCGACGCAGTGAGTCCTCACCAAAAGGTGTGTGGAAAATCAGGGACAATCCACAGGAAATCCATGGTAAAAATCCCATCAGATGTGGAGTTTTTCAAATGTTCCCTTGGCGCCTTTGTCTTTTGGGAAAGATGGGAAAGCGTGTTTGAAAAAAAATTGACCCAAGTCGTTATCACATTTAGACATGTCCCTTCTTTTTGACAGGAAAAAAAAGCCGAGGTTCCTTGTTTGTTTTCATTTGATTCCGTACGAGCCCCAGATTTTGCAAGTTGAATGTCGAAAAATGAGGTTCTACAGCACATTGAGGGTACAGTACGGTACAGTAATCTGTTTTGAGCGAGGCCCCCATGTCATCAACCTGTCATCTGCCATATCTCTGGTGACGATCTAGCACCTCTAGCACCTGCCACCCAAGGTGCTTCCCGGTTTCAATCACAATAAAGGAACATCCCAACATTGAACCATCAGTTCCCCCCTGAAAAAGAAAAAAAAAACCTATGAATTGTCGTCAGCAACGGCGTTCCACGGCAGTGCTGGGGGTCGAGAAGTCACGGGCGGCCGCTATGGCACCAGTTTCCACTGCAGGCCCTCACGCTGAAAGAGATCCGCGTGTTTTTTCAAAGTTGCTTCCATCGCATCCTGACGCTTTGCTCGGCAACACGGTGAGATGTTTTGTTCGGAACACTGACGGTTTTCAAGGGACTGGTTCACAGTTGCAGCACCCAGATGGTTGACTTTTGTTCAAAACAACAACAGGTTAGGATGATCCAGTGCAGAGAGATGTTAAACATGGGTCTCAACAAAAAAAAATCGAGGAAAAATTCACAACATCCCATGGTATTTCTGAAGTATTTCATCCTCAATTTCCATATGAATCTGTTGGTCAAGACTCTTTATGGTATCCTTCGACGTGGACGCTGCTGTTCATGGAGCTAGACCCCTCCCAATTTTACCCAATAAAACCCATAGGGCTGTCGAAAAAAATCCCCGATCAGCCAGACGAACTTGAAATACGAAAAGGCCATAGGGCTTATCTGATTATGGTGGTGCAATACCCATCTTGAAAAATATATAAAAATTATGAGTTGTTCGTCACTTGGGATGATTATCCCATATATGAAATGGAAAAACTATCCACATCTTTGAAACCAACCAGTTATACTTACACCATAGATTCGTCATAGATCCAGATCAATTGGCAGATCAATTGGGACCAAAAATCTCCAAAAAAAAACGACCTGGGTTGACAACCAAAAATCCCAAGGGATTTAGAAGATTTCGATTGGCAGAATTCGAGAAATACATCAAATCCCATGTTATTTTAAAGAAATGTTCTTGGTTTAATGTGCATAAAGCAATGTTAAACCAAGTACCCATGATTGGGAATGGTTTCTATATACCACCTATAAAGATGGTGACTGGGGGATGGTTTATGGCATTGTTTTAAGCACTTGAATGTGATTGAATGCTTTTAACAAACAGCCACCATCTCTATGCAGTTCGGGATCCGTTTTGGTGATTTCTGCCACCAAAGTCATCCGTTTGTTTTGACAATGTAAATAGCTTATTTTGGTGGCAGAAACCATACTTATCTATAGCTATAGTAAATGTATATAAATGTTATCCCAGGGATTTCTGACACTTACCCTCTTGAAAATCAAGTATAGAACGTAGACATGAAATATCATTGATCATTTTTCCTAGAACAACACAGGTTCTTTCCATCTCTTTTTCCACGTATATCTACCGGAGGGTAAATTGCCCAATAGCCCTTTTTGAAGTCGATGAAATGTGCCAAAAAATTGTGAACTTCAAACCCACCACCATGTTGTCATGGTTCAATCACCACAAAAAAAACATCAAAATGCCATGTGTTTTGCCATCTCCGTGGCCGCGCCTCGGTTTTGCCGCACCAAAGCAGTTCTCGGCGTAGCTTCTTCCAAATGACCTCGCCAGGCGCTTCGCCAGGTTCCAGGCAGACCTACGGTACTCTTCGAGCCTTCAAGTCATAGCCCCCATGGAAGAATCCTAGTTTTATATACGTAGTTTTATAATGTTTTGTATCATAAATGGATTACGAATCCTGCATTTATACCCCATTAACCCATACATCTTGATATACTGGCAAATCTACACTGTAGGAGATGTGATTCATTAGCAATTTATTGGATTAATCAATTTATCCCCATTGATCATTTACCGCAAAAAAAATCCTGCTAAAATACCCATCCAGTCCGTTTCCCCAGTGCACCACCCAACAACAATGTATTTTTTCAGAAAAATATCGCGGCCGGTCTGGCATATCATGTATCACCACTGACCGGTTGTAAAGGGGGCTTGGCCCCTCAACTATCCAACTACCCTTCGGTAGTCAAACGTGGCTAGCTGGGAAAAAAAAGGGATCAAAAATCAGCAAACCATCTTGGATGCCCGGAGGGAATTCAATGGAATTCACGTATTTTAAGCCATAATTAAGCCATAATCAAATCCCCAATGACTCATTTTCAGTCATTTTCCCCCTGGCCCGGTGGAATGTGATTTTTCTAGACATCGTTTCTTGGGACATCCCAGCACCCAGCACCCAGCACCCGGCACGGCCTTGGACTGGGTCTTGCGCTGATCTTGCAACAGGATACGAAGGGTGCTCTGTAGCACCTCCACATCGCGATCCTTCCTGGCGACGACTTCGCCAAAACAGGTGCCAAAATCCAGACTTTTAGCAGCGTGAAACTTGGACCTTCAATGACCTTCACCACCAAAATCACTGGAATTGACGTGACTCCGAGACTTCACCACCCAAAACCAGAGATTTCAGGAACAGAATCCGGGAGGTCCGGGGCCCCCGGGGCCCCCAGGGCTGCCTCTCAGGGATCAACGGCTCCACTGGACCCGTGGAAGGTTGGATCCAGACACCGCCAGCTCGCAGTTTGTTTGGGCCTGGGAGGAGATGGGAATTTCATCCAAAGAAATAACAAATATATGGGTATCTTAATAGGATAATATCATAATGTTTGGGTAATATATGGGTATCTTAATATAGCTCCTATTATGATATTAAGAAATTGCAATGGCAATATATGCCTAATATCATAATAGGACGTTTGGGTATGGAATAATAACCTATTTAATGATAGTTCATTGTACCTATGAACGGAAATTCAGGATCCTAAAATGGAGGCACTGTACCATATAAGACCATATTTTCTGGTGATATTTAGGTTCCTGAAAGGGCAATTGAAAATAGCAACTGAAGTTCTCTAGAGGTCTCTAGAGTTTTCCCAAAGCCGAGATGAAGAAATCAATTTGTTGCCATGTTGTTTTAGAACTGACAAGACTTGGGAATTTAAGCAACAGGAATGGAAATGTTCGTTGGGTGTAGTATACATATGTATGTATGTATGTATGCATGCATGCATGCATGCATGTATGTATGTATGTATGTGTGTATGCATGGATGTATGTATGCATGCATGCATACATGCATGTATGTGTAGATTGATGGATTGATAGATTGATTAGTTGATTAGTTGATTAGTTGATTAGTTGATTAGTTGATTAGTTAGATAGATAGATAGATAGATAGGTAGATAGGTAGATAGGTAGATAGTTAGATATATAGATAGACACATAGACAGATAGACAGATAGACAGATAGACAGATAGACAGACAGACAGATAGACAGACAGACAGACAGATAGACAGACAGATAGATAGATAGACAGATAGACAGATAGACAGATAGACAGATAGACAGATAGACAGATAGACAGACAGACAGATAGACAGACAGACAGACAGATAGACAGACAGATAGATAGATAGACTTGAAATATGCATCATATATATATATATATACATACATACATATACAATCAATCTTACAATAGTATATACCCATAAAAATAGGAAGGCGAACCAATCTGAAGCAGTACTCCAACTGGTGATTTCAACCCAGCCCGTTCATGGAAGATGGTCATCATCTGTAGCGGTCTGCGGGATGTTTGTCTTGCTTTTAAGATGTTCGGCCGGAAACTGTGCAGAGTTTTTCGGATTGAAAAATCGTCTGCTGGATCTGGGCGATTTATAAAGTGGTCAGGAAAATGGGACAGAAAGTGACAGCAATGTTACTCAAACATGGCTGGAAAATGCACCAACTATACAGTAGATGATTTTCCCATGGAAGTCTCTATTTTGGGGAATGTGATTTTGGAAGGGGAACTGCTGCTGGCTTTGAAAAACGTGTCCCATCATTCATGGCAAAACATGTCAGAAAACACGAAGACATCTACCATTCGATGTTCAAGTAGTGCTGGTAATTGATGATTTCCCAATATAGCATGGCTTTTTTTTTGGTTTTAACTTTTAACCATCTTGAAAAATATGAAAGTCAATGGGAAGGATTATCCCATATATATATAGTGGAAAATAAAAAATGTTTGAAACCACCAACCAGATGGGGATTGTCTATAATTACCCGGGTTTGATTTCCAGCCCATCCACAAATATGGCAAAGTGCCGAGGAATTGGGAACCCAAAATCCGATTCTTGTGTATCACAATATAGCCAGTTCTCTCTTAAAGTAGCCAGAAGTAGGGGTCAAAACAAACCAAACGATGATTTACAGGAATACTTTGACTTGATACTTCAAAGATCTTCAAAGTGACTAAAAAAAATCCACTGGTGCCCCAAGGTTGAAGCCATTCCCATCTCCAAGAGCACGGGCCTTGCTTCTGTGTAGGCCCTGTCTTCCCGTTCGTCTTGACGTTCTCGGGAGCCTGTTCCTCCTGACCTGGAAGAGGATTTCTGGGAGTTCACCCAACAGGAATGAGGGAAAAACAGGCGGAACAAAAAACACAGCAGAAACAAAAAATCCAGACCTGACAGGCAGAACTTGCGGAGTTTGTCGATCACGGGACTTTCGCAGAAGCTGGAGCCATCTTTCAGGGAGTCTCGCCTTAGAGCAAATTTGGGGCAAGTCCCTGGGGTTGGTTGGTGAAACAACTAGTTATCTAACGTCATTTCACATGTAAGATGTAAGATGTTTGTCCATCTATAGATGATGTTTTAGTAACAAGCGTGGTTTGCCATCGCAAACTCATGAATTACGAGAGGGTAATGGTTCAATTTTTTGGAATCATGAGAAAATGATGGCTGAACAATGGTCAAGTAATTCAGTGAGGCGTGCGCGTTTTTAGTTTCATATCCTTAGCAACAATAGACAATGTTTGAATTCCATGTGGTTAAACCTTAGATGAATAAATGATCAAATGATCAAATAACTTGTAATATATACATATGACTAATGGAGTGGGAATATATACTGATATAATTGCTGCTAGCTCCATCAGTTTCTATATTGGTGGTTTTTCTGGCTTGTGTTATGGCCTGTTATGGCTCGTTCAGAAAATGGCCCGCACTAAGTTGAATGATGCTTTATTGTGGTGTGTACAAATTCTGTGTGTATCACGTTGTTGTTGTTGTTGTCGTCGTCGTCGTCGTCGTCGTCGTTGTCGTCGTCGTCGTTGTTGTTGTTGGTGTTGGTGTTGGTGTTGGTGTTGGTGTTGTTGTTGTTGTTGTTTATCAAGCATCAAGCGTTTGAGGGCTAGTATAAATCAATATAAATCATCCCAAATAGAGGATTGTCCAACAATAAATCCAACAATAAACTACAAAGTGACAACTGCTCCAGAATTGCCGTTTCAATGGGGAAAGAAACCGGTTGAATCCTTCGGAAGTGGGGAAATCTCATGATAACTCAGGGATGTTTGGCTTTGTGGCCACGTGTACTCTAAACATTTAAAAAAAACATGTGATATTCTGAATTTCACAGTTCTTTTTTTCAGTTTCAACATCGGACCCCAGTTCCATCGGACCCATGTCATGTCCGCCGATCTTTCTGAAAATGTCCACGTGTTGTGCTTGAAGTCGGTGAATCCAATTGGTTCTCACATTCCATGATGGGTAAATCATATATAAATCCTGCTTTGTTGGGACTAGACTCTAAGAATCACCAAGGGAAAGTGGTCGTCCAACTTGGCAGGGTCTAGTTGCAGAAATGTGTTTTATTCTCAAGTCCCGGAAATGTAGGAAGTTTCAACCAAGTTTCATAATTAAAGGAAGTCTCAACTCAATAGTTTCAAGAAGATTAAAGGCCTACATCGTTTTTCACATCTGCATCCCAGCACCGAGTTGTAGGTTCCGTCATGGTGGATGTTTTCCAGTGGGGAAACATGAAAAATCACATTCAGCAAACTCAGGGGGAAACAAAAAAAAAGTTTCAACTTCAAAATCCATGGGAAATTCAGGATCCTAAAATGGAGGTACGTTAGTACACATATAGCCATCTTTTGTGGGGATATCCCCTTACATAGACCTCAAAAATAGGCCTTACCATCTGGTTATGACTAACATAGCCATGGAAAATCCACCCATTTTTAAGTTCGGTAAACCATCTATTTCTATGGGCCATGGCTTAATCCCATGGCGAACTGTTAGTCATAACCAGAGGGTATATCCCATTATCACCCCATTCTTCACCATTGTTAACCCATTGCTAAACCATGAAAAATCACCGTTTATAGTGGTTAAATATCCATTAGATCCCATGTAAATCCATGAAAAATCACCATTTATAGTTGTTTAAATCATGTTAAATAACCATGTTCCAACCCATTTTCCAACCATTGTTCCTTATGTTTGGTAGGTACCTGGCTACCTCCATATTTTTCACATTCGCAAACCGTCAGATAAAAAATCCTCTCCAGGGCACAACTTCTCGCGAAACTCGTCCACCACCTTCATCTCCTCCGCACTGACCTCCATGGGAATCTCCTGAATCTCGGAAGGTCGACCGTTCGTTCGGAGTCACCATTTCACGAGGAAAAAACGTGTCACTTTCTATGTAAAAATGGTGTTTTTTTGTTGATTGAAAAGTGATGAATGTGTTTTTTTGATTAAAAAGTGATGCTATGTAAAAATGATGTGTTTTTTTGATTAAAAAGTGATGCGCCTGCCGAGTTTTGTATGTTTTTGACCAAAAAAAACAGATGGTAATTGTTAACTAGATATGTTGGTTGATGATTGGGGATTATACTAATATACTATTTCAATAAAAATCATAAGAATGGGTAATAATACTAGTTGTGTTGCTTGATAATCATGATATACTATATATGACAATAATGGGTACCCTCTGGTAATTTAAAATAGCAATTGAAAATTTCCCATTTATATGTAGTTGATTTACCTAGTAAAAATGGGTGGATTTTCCGTGTTTTGTACGTTTACCAGAAGGTATATCATAATCTTACAACAAGAAGTATTATTGACTATATTGGTACTATAGTAACTATAATATAATATATTAACTATATATATATATCAATACTATCATCATTACTATCATTGCCAGATTATATGTCACTCGTATTCACCAATTAAACATGGTGATTTTCCATAGTTATAGTGGATTTACCCATTAAACATGGTAGTTGATTTACCTAGTAAAAATGGGTGGATGTTCCACCGTTGAAACAACGTTCGCAACCGCACCTTCCGATGGATCCTCACGGCCTGGAGCCCCAAGGCATCGTTCAGACGCAGCGCCAGATTCGTCTGCTGCGGATCCGCCTCGAAACGAAACGCCGGGGCCGGGGGGGGTCCTAAGTCATGGAACCCCAAAATGGATCAATGGATGGTTTCCAAAGTATTTAGTGGAAAAATACGGTGAAAAATGGATGAAATATATGAAATCACCATCCGACAAAATGGGAAGTGTCCATGAAATTCACCCAAAACTTGGAAAATTCTCAGGTTTTCAGTGGCACATTTCGGCAGAGATGTGAAACTGATGAGCCCCAGTTACATCCACTTCCAATATAGCTGCTATAGCTGGTGTCGGGACTACCAGAATCAGGGTGGCCATCCCCCACACTCTGGTGATGCTCAGTGATGGTGGGGAAAAACACCGAGGTGCCACATCTTCTCACCACTCTCCCCAGGAAAAAGGTCATAAAGCGAGCTAGTTGGTTGATAGCTTTCCCTATGGGTTAGTTCATACTCGCCATAAAACCAGCTAGTATAAGTCCCCAGATTCACCAATCAACTAGAGTGTTTCATGGCTTACCCTCTGGTAAACGTTTACATAACTATGGAAAATCACCATTTTTAATGGGTAAATCCACTATTTCTATGGCCATTTTCAATAGCTATGTTTGTTTACCAGAGGATAAATGTTTAAGCGAATGGCTGGGAACGGAGCCCATCAAATTCAGAAGGTGCCCCCGGCAAAGTGGCCACCGTGGCAGACTTTCCTACAGAGAACTATGCCTTGCAAGAAACGGTGGGTCAAAACCCTGGTACCTGGATGATATCTTAAACTCTCCTCTGGTAATTTAACGTAGCTATTGAACATAGCCATAGGAATAGTTGATTTGCCCATTAAAAAGGGTGATTTTCCATAGTTATGTAAACGTTTACCAGAGGGTAGCTGGTGAATGGATCGCTATTCCCCCCAATAGGGTAATGATAGGTTTTGACCCATCCCCAAATGACCTGGAGCATAGGAAGAACCGGATCTTTTCTCTGCATTCATGGATTAATTCAAAGGCGAAACCACAAAAAAATCCGCAGTCCTAAAACCTGAAAAGGTCACTTCGCATCCCGAGAAAGGATCAAGTCGACGTCTCTGATCACTGCTGGGTCCAAGTATCATGTCGACTTTGCGACTAACATGGGGTTGGTACAGACTACTGAAGCCAACTGTCAATAGTGGGCGATTCTCAGCGTCAATCTGGTTTGGAATCAAAAAAAACTCTATATCATGATATCCCCATTATATCCCCATTATATTCTCATTATATTCCCATTATATCTCCATTATATCCCCATTATATCCCCATGTTATAGATAGAACATATCCCACTATATCCCCATGATGTCCTGCTTTCAGCATCTTCGTAGCCGCCCCGTTGGTGCCCAACCCCCAGGTGTTTTTTCGCAGGTGAAGCCGCAGTAAGCAGCAAGAACTTGAGATGCTTCGGGTGAAGAACGGTCAAACCTCTCCGCAGGCGCTGGGTTTCGAGCCGTTGAAGGTCATGGCGCATCTATCTATATAATCGATAATCATATAAGATTGAATTAAAATGATCTGACATATGATATTATATATATATATGCATATGTCATGTCATGCCGTATGATATGTTCTGTCATATCATTGTTCGACTTATTCCAAGTGCTAGTGGTCCCAGACCTGTCTTTTTCACTGGTCAACTTGGGTCAAGATCCAGAAACACCCAAATGTCTATGGCTCAAACGTGGTGCGCCAATGCATCCGCAAATGTCGTCTTATTTAGTACCGCATAAACCACTCTCTGTCAATCTAACGCCACAAACAAAGGCCGAGCTTAATATATAGGTATCATCTGCAAGCTGCTAATTTTTGGCTGTGCTGAATTCCCAGAAGGTATACCAAAATTTGGGAAGGTAGCCATGGGCAGCCCAAACCATCCAAGTCATTGGACCATTTGAAGCCCAAAGGTCTTGCAAGCCGATTCAAACATCCACCCTGAGTGGTTGGATGCTTTTTGGGGTGCCGGAAAAAACAGCAAAACAGGATTCCCTCTATGGTCGCACGAAATCCCGGTAATATCTTTCACCTCCCAAAAATCATCAGAATATTGCATGATAGCAGCCCCAAAACAGATCCAACATGATCTAACACTTAAAAACCTGGAAATCATGGACAAAACAAATAGCTCCAAAAGACCTCCTGGAAAAAAAAGAAAGGTCCGTTTCGGCATCACAATTTCTCGCCTGAGAGGAAGCAGATGTTGCTCTGCGTGTAGGTCAAATGGCAACAGCAGCCATACCAAGGTTGATCCAGTTCCAGAATTGCTTTCTCCAGCTCCAGCGCGAACTCCTCGACACTTGGCCGCTTGGAAACCAAGGGAACGCCTTGATTCAGGAAAATCCAGAAGCTGCCTACCGAAACAACCAAGAAAATGGTCAAATTTCGAGTCTATCTCTTGGGTCTTGGGTGGTTCTACCCTCTGGTAGTCTAGTAGTCACCCGAGGTTTGCTGGAAAAAACTGTGTCGTCCCTTGCTGCGGTTGAGAGTGGGAGTCCCCGTTGGTTTGTTCATGGTTGGTTTTTTTCATCCCACGAATTCTCGTAGGCCATCAGGCCTCCGTAGAACACTGCATCCTGATGCTTGGAAAATGTTGGAAATCCAAGAAAATCCCATGGCCTTTGAAGACGACTCTCGGGTTTGATCTTTCTTCGCTTCGACTTTTGGCACGTGGCAGATGAACCCAATGAGACTATGCGCGTCTGGAATGCCTCTCCTGGAAACAAACGGAGCTCCGAATGTGTCTTTTTTTTGGCCATAAATAGCCCATTCTTGTGGGGAAAATAAAACATGTTGCGGGTGAAAAGTGATGATCCATCATCAAATTTGGGCTGGAAGCTGAAGGCCATAGACGGAAAAGGAAGAAGACTCCGAGATTCAGCGGAACATCGTGGGATTCTTGCTCGATCTTAGATACTCTGCAAAAAACCGTAAATGTTTCATTGATTAGTCACTTATACGTCTCCATCTACATGATTAAAGTATATTAAAGTACTGAACTCATTCATTCGATTTCTGTGGGATTCCCCTCAGACTGGTGCCAAAACCCGAGGAGATGTGGGGTGTCTCACCCTCACAACGGGGTCACCGGGTCCGTGTTTGGGCCATGGGGAGTTGCCTTGGAACACAAAAAATATCTGCGAAGACCAATACTACAAAACAACGGCCAAAAAAATCTAGTCCATCATCAAAAGACATTCTTTGTGTACGTCAATTATTTATTCATATATATATATATGTATACACATTATATTTATAATGTGTATATATAATGTGTATATATATAAAGTGTATATATAATGTGTATATATAATGTGTATATATATATATATATGTATAATGTATATGTAATGTATATATAATGTATATGTAATGTATATGTAATGTATATGTAATGTATATGTATAATGTATATATATAATGTTTATATATAATGTATATAAAATGCATATAAAATGTACTATATATATAATGTATATAAAATGTCTATAAAATTTATTATATATAATGTATATATATAATAAACATATATAATGTATTATATATAATGTATTGTATATAATGTATTATATATAATGTGTATATATACAATGTTTTATATATAATGTGTATATATATATATATGTATAGTATATATAATGTATCTATATATATATAATGTAGATATATGTATATAATGTGTAAATATATATATATATATAATTTTGTATGTATAATGTATATATATAACATAATTACTAATATTACACAACCACCCCAAAATAGAAAAAAACTGAAACCTGGAAACATGATGTAAAACCCTCATCCATAGCCCCTCCAGCGTCTCCATCGCGCGCCTCACGGTGCTGTTGCGTCCCTTCTGATCGTCTTCGGCCGAGGCATGGACTTCCCAGGTCAGTTGGCACGGGTGCGAGGGACGCGTCACCTCGGACGTGGCCAAGGGACCAAGGGACCCATTTCGGCCACCCGGGGAGATCGGAGGTTGAAAAGATCCAAAAAAGGCTAAGAGACGCTGATGATTTATGGATGATTTTTGGATCTTCATCCCATGTTTTCTGGAAAAAATTAGAGACATTCAATTGGGTTGAGCCATTGGCCAGTGTTTCGGGTGACCCTTTGGAAGGCGATTGGAGATTTTGAAGGGAACAAGAGCCTCGACTTCAGCTTTGGCAGATGTCAGGTTTTTGGATGGTCAAAGCAGCAAATGCAACGGCCTGACCAAGTGACCACCTATATAAGTGACACAAACCAAAAACTACTGGTGCGCTGACTATATGAGTGGATCAAAGAATTGGGATGAATTGGGTATGGGCCCCCTAAGTGCCAATCATGAAAAAATGATGGAAAAATGACATTCCCAGCATTGCTGGCACTCCAACCTTGCAGCACTAACTAACTCTGAAGTGGGCCGAATCCATCAACCCCTTGATGATCCCCCGGCGATCCACAACGGCGTTCATCAAGAAAGGGGTGAAATCTCCCCACCTCGAAATCACCCAAAAAAATCCAGATGTCCTTGGTCAAGCCTTCATTTTTTCCCAGTTGAAACCTCCGTTGTGTCATCATGTTTCCTGGTGAAACCCATGTTTTCTGAGTGTTTCAAAGCTCCATTTTCGGACAGGGCGCCGGCAACTGCACCATCTTCTGCTCTGCCGGACCTCTCTGTCTTCCCACGTTGTTCACATCGATTTGACAAACTGCGCGAGGAGTGCCACGTCGGGGTGGCAAAAAAAACATTGGTAGTTTAGCCATACTGTTTATTCTTTAGTTATGTACTTACTTATTTACTGTTAAAAAATTCTTTATTCACACAAATATCCATATTTTTGTTTTTATTTATGTGTATACGTGTATGTGTATATATATATATGTGGTGTACGGGAAAAATATGTGTATGTATGGTCACCGCCCTCACATGGACCTACCCCAAGGTCCATTGAGGGATATTGCTATTATAATGTTTAGATATGCAGATATATACATATGTCAAAAACTATGCAAATACCATGGAAAACAAGCAATATGTATACTAAAGTATAATCACAATAATATGCAAGTTAAATTGAAAGTTCCAAAAACAAAGGTCAAATTTTGGCCTCCACTTCAAGACATTCATTGTCATGGCAACCATCTGTCCTTCGGGAAGGCCCTGATGCTCGAAAAACACAAACAAAAAACATATTTTGAGATTCTTTGGGGAGGGCCCCATGGAGCAAATCACAATAAACATTGGAAAAAAACAAAAAAAATAACAAAAAATAATAATTGGAGACTCTTTGGGGAGGGCCCCAGGAGAAAAGTAAAAACCCATGGAAAAAAACAAACCTTGGAAAAACCAAAGCAATAATGTATTCTGAGGTCTTGGCTTACCTCCCCCATCCCCAAGACTTCTGGTGTTTTTTTTCCAATGTTTTTTGTGTTCTCCGATGATTTTTTATTTTTCCAATGTTTTTCTTGTTTTCTCTATGGAGCCCTCCCCGAAGAGTCTGCAAATATTGCTGTTTTTTGTGTTAGAGGCATTTTTGTTTTTCCAAGTGTTTTTTATTTTTCGCCTGAGGCGTTCCGTTGGTGGTGGGGCGGGTGCGTGAGAGGCGAGCAAGCAACATGCAATGTGCAGCCAATGTGGAGGGGTTCAAACTAAATGTATCGTAGAACTTCATAGGACTGACTCCGGGTCCACCTCCCCCGACACTGATATTATGAATATGGTGCCGGTCACTCCTCCAGAACTGCTAGGCTCTCCACCGCGCACCCCGGAGTCGCAGTAGAGAAGATAGACAATGATGCAAGACGTCAGTGAATGATACCAAAGTGATGCTCATAAATATGAATACATGTTTTTGTATTTATTATCAATATTAAAGTATATATTTTTCTCATTTGTATTGATGCTTCAATCACAATCATTCATGCTGATGCCGTCCATAGCGTCGAGGCAGTTTTTGCTGGAGAGCATGGCCCATGGAAAAGAATCTACGACCGTGACTGGACCTGAGTGCATTTCTTTACAAAGCAATGAGGGACCTTGGGAGCCGTCAGTTTCCAGCATTGCGCTGCGCTGAAAACCAAGCATCGGATAGTCAGTGTGCCATCATGGTCATGTAGCTGTGGTCCATCCAGCGTGCGCTGCAAGCTCAGCGTCATAATGTATCTGTCACGCTGAGCGGCAACAACGGGAGCAACATGTGTGAGGTGCCCCCGTTCGACATTTGTTAGTTTTCCTGCTGACAGCAAAACCACTAGAACTATGATAATTAGAAAAACAAAAACCGCCCCCGTCAACAAGCAGGCTTCGTCAATGTGGAAAAAAACGTCTCATGGTAATTTTTCAGCTGCGCGTAACCTGGGCGAGATTGTGGATGTAAAAAGAGCAGGAGTATGGAACAGAACAAAAAGGAAGCAATGATGATACACAATGAGGAGGCTAATAACAATAACGTCCAGAGCCCGCAGCCCCTTCTTGGATTCTGTTGTTGTTCCCAACACCAATCCAATGCTGATCATGGTACAACAAATCAACATTTTCCTTAGCAAATGCTTCAAACGCACCCAAAACAAAAGAGCAGGCGGCCGATTTTCCGGCATTGGGGTCGCCTGTGGGGAAAGCCCACCATCGGGCTTTGCAAGCAAAGGATTTCGAGTTGTCAGCATACAATGCAACTTCCAAATGGTTTTGTTGGCATGAAGCTAAGCAGGCTTGGAATAGATCAAACACAAAGACAGAAGGTAAACCACAAGCTGAATGCAAATACTCACTGGCAACTGCTAAGGGCAATATTGTGGTATAGCCAAAGACGCGGGGAAGCCGTGATGCTTGCTCGATCGACATGTCCAAACCCCTCTGCTGACGGATGCTAGCCAGGCAATCTGCGACAACTTCTGGCAATGTGTGGTCACGAATGTATTGGGCATACATTGGCATTCTTTCCCAAACAAGTGGATCTAAGGCTGCCTGTCCGTCTGAATTTGCGAAAGCGCAAAACCAACTGTGAACTTCTGCTTCAGGATCCCTTAAAAAACATCGAGACTTGGCCTATGTACTTCTTTAATCTTCTGCATGGATATTTTGAACATTAAGAACGAGAAGATGAAACCTAAGAAACGATGCTTATGAAAAAAAGACAAGAGAGTAGGTAGCAAGGGAAACCGATGAAAAAACAAAAGCGGGCGGGGGGTTCCCCTGTAATGCGTACCAAGAAAGAAGATGAAAGAAGTATATTGGCACGAGTGTCGATGGATATCAATAAAGATAAAATTAACCCAAATAAGCGATATGTATGTTTCAACAATGTGGTTCATAAAAAGAAACAGCAGAAGAGAAATGGCAAGACAGTCTGTGTCAGTTCCTGATGGCTAGAAAGTCATCGTGAAGGCCGACACTTAGATCAGACATACTGTGTTCATGTATGTTGTGCCAGGATGGGAAAAAGGTAGGTCCATTCAAGGGCGCTGAGCATATATACATACGTATGTATGTATGTATGTAAGTATGTATGTATGCATGCATGGATGGATGGATGTATGGATGTATGGATGTATGGATGTATGGATGTATGGATGTATGGATGTATGTATGGATGTATGTATGGATGTATGTATGGGTGTATGGATGGATGTATGGATGGATGGATGTATGGATGTATGGATGTATGGATGTATGGATGTATGGACGTATGAATGTATGGATGTATGGATGTATGGATGCATGTATGGATGTATGGATGTATGGATGTATGGATGTACGGATGCATGCATGCATGCATGGATGCATGCATGTATGTGTGTATGTCTGTATGTCTGTATGTCTGTATGTCTGTATCTCTGTATATCTGTATGTCTGTATGTCTGTATGTCTGTATGTCTGCATGGATGCATGTATCTATCTATCTATCTAATCTAATCTAATCTAATCTTATCTTATCTATCTATCTATCTATCTATGTATCTAGGTAGGTAGGTAGGTATGTAGGTAGGTACGTACGTACGTACGTATGTATGTATGTATACACCATACTGTATATGTATATTATATTGTATCCCAGTATATGTTGCAACCTCTTTTTATGTATATTCCATTTGCCACCTATATGTCATTATATATGGTGTTTGTTCCATATGGCTCAGCTAATAAAAAGGGTCTATATATATACTGGTTGGCGGTTTCAACCCCTGTTTAAAAAAAAAAAAAGTCAGTTGGGATGATTTTCCCAATATATGGAAAGTCATAAAATTCATGTTCCAAACCACCAACCAGTTCATAGACTATACTTACTATCTGGGATGCACATCGAAGGATGGGACGATGAAAATGCTGGGATTTCTTCATCAAAGTGCTTCATGGGTCGAGTGATTTTCTTGCGGAAAATTCTTTGTTTCTTGGGTGAACACTTAACTCCACACTTAAATCTAACATGGAACGTGAACTGTTCAGCTACAAAAATATGCCATGTTACCCTCTGGTTATGGATAATTATGGAAGCCATTGCCCATAGAAATAGATGTGTTATGATGATTTACCTGTTAAAAATTTTGATGTTCCATAGCTACGCTAAATTACCAAATGGTTTTTGTTTCGAAAGTGGATAATTTGGTCAGTGTAAGCCATCCGAAGCGGTCAGACTCTTGTTTTGGCATGGAGTGCAGGATTACCCTTCGGCAATCAAAGATGGCTAGCTGGATTCCCCCAAAAAAAACATGTGTTTTTTGATGGGAAAACCATCCATAAATTCAGGAGATGAATTGCCACGTTTGATTACTGCTTACTGGAGGGTAGCAGTAGCATAGACTGTGGAATCCGCAAAATTTCGTCAACATGGACCAGTGAAAGGACATTGGAAAAAAACCTGATTTGTCACGCTCTGGTGAACGAACATCACCATTATAATTTAATAGGTACTGTAAATCATCTATAAAATGGGTGATGTTTTTGTCCATAGCTAGGTCAGAACAAATTGGGGCGTAACCAAAAACTCGGTAAACTCCGAGGGACTCGGCCGCCCAAAAAACAATCCCCAGATGAACTTGGCCCTGGCAACTTCCAAATGGTGAATTCCTCCAGCTCCACAGCTCTAAGGCCAAGATCTCTTCAGTAAACTACAAAGGTGATCCCGAAGAAACAAACTCGAATTTTTGAGCCTAGCTGGTATCTGAAGAGCCCACAGTCCCAATCAATCCCAGTTGAAATATCACTATGATTCTCCATAGATTGGTTGAATCCCCATTGAAATACGAGGGTTAACTCATCCCCGACATGTCGTAGCCATCCATGAAAATCGGTCAAAATAAGCCATCAACTATCATGTGCCAATTCTATCACCATATTCTTGTTGAAACCCATACGAAAAATCATGGTTACAGTGGTTACAGCATGTTGAATCAGCAAAAAGAAGTTTGAGAAAGCAACATGTTTTTCTCAAACATATTTTCTCAAAACAAACTACATGTTTGTTATTTCTGTGGCAAAAAGTGCAATGTTTTTATTCAGACTCTGCGTGACCGGTGCTACAACTACTCAATTCTGCGTCGATTCACAGCTGAGCATCCAAAGCACCATTTCTGAAGTGAAAAAACACTGCGAACATTTCAATCCAACCAACATCAACCAACCACGTATTGCCCAGTTGAATGTATTGCCATATTGATATTATATCCATGTATTTTGTAAATTATATCCAACCAACCATGTATTGCCATGTATTGCCATGTATCAATATAATATACAATATAGCCATTAATATAGCCCAGTTGAAATTGACCAATTTCTCTCAATTTCTCCCAATTCCATAGAACCCAAATCCACCGGACCCACGAACACCGGACCCGCCTCCAGATTTCCTGCGCGTCAGTTGGTTCAACACGTGCAGCTCAGGGTCCAGGTCATTAGGCATCAGCAACGAACCCTGGCGGGCAACGGCTGGAGTTCCCGGGTTGTTGTTGGTTAAATTGATATCAAAGTGTTATGATATGATATCTTTAAGTCTCTAACTAAGTATCTAACTCAATATCTAAGTATTTAATCATCTTTTTGGGATGATATCCATGGTAGATGGTATCTCTACTTAAATCCATTTTGGATCGTATCGAAGTATCCATTTTGATGGTGTGTGTATAATATATATATATTATTATCCAATTTTGATGGCAAGTTTCCAAGGTAGAAGTGATGAAAATTCTGATGTTGCCAGTTTTTTTGCGTTCACCAACCCAAAATGCACATGTCAACGAGACTTGGGAAATGTTACATGCGCTCATGTTTAACCAGTTAGTAATCCCTGGCCCCTGACGAGGACGACAACAGCAACAGCAACAGCAAAAGGATTGGATCATGAGACGGCACCAAAAGTTTGACAGCATCCGTGTAAGCAACAAAACCTGGGTTTCAACAGTGATACCCTCTGGTAATTTAACATAGCTATTGAAAATGACCATTTATAGTGGATTTTCCTATTAAAAATGGTGATTTTCCATAGCTATGTTAGTTTACCAGAGGGTAATAAAACTGGGCAAATATGGCAAATTTGCTGCATTTTTTTGCGCGTAACTCTCCGAATCTCCATGAACAAGTATAATAACTTGTCAGGGGCGTGTTGATCATGTTTCTCAACAACCAGCATAATAAAAATCGAGGGGTCTATTTAAAGGTCCGTGGATTTTGTATCCTAAAATCTACCTCTGCCCAAAAAAACACCAATGGCTCCACAGTTCATTCATTTCTAGTCATAAACCATATAGTAAATCATCGAATGTGAATGATTTGAAACCACAGCCACCTCTGAAAACCACAAATCATGGAGATACCTGCCAAGAACAAGACCAAAAACCAGTGGCTGCTTGGAAAACTATATAATTCATTTCTAATTGCCAGTTCTCAAGCCATCCCATTTTTCTATCATAATCATCCTCCAAAATAGGGAAACTGAGCAGCAAATGAGCCCTTTTTAGGGGTAAGCATAGATCAGTGGATGCTGCCTGTCCGATGAAGCCCAGTCGTTGGATCTGTGAACCAACTTACCTATTTCTTGCAAGTCAAATAGAGTTGCCCTGAAGAGACACCAAAAGACTTGGTCAACTTCACTTGGTTCGGAAAAGTGTATGTTGGCGCTTGCGATTACTATTTAAACAAATCCCCCTAATATTAAATTCCCCCACCCAAAAAAAGTGCCTCGCCTGGTTATTGATGGATTGATGAAATGATCCCCATTCTCCACTTAAGCAAAAAAACACATCTTAAAATTAAAAAAAAAATACACCCCCATTATCCATGAAAGATCGTTAAATAGCCCATATTCCTGAGATCCTTTAACATTGGATAGCCCCGTTGGGCCTTTGGGGAACCAAAAATTGACGTCTCGGCCGATGCCCTGCTGGGCAGTTGATGGACGGCGTCGCTAGGCGATGGTCGATAGATGGATGCGGGTGAACCTGAGCCATGGACCAATGGATGTTCATCGGCCAGATTCGCTGAAGAAATCATTCACGTAATCCAACCCTTGACTAAAGCTGCGGGCCTGTCTCCTATATCCCCAGGAAATATCCCATTAAATCACCCAAGTTTACTGGTTAAATCCGTCTTTTGACCATGGCACAAATATATATATATATAATATATATTATATTATAGATATATGCATTCAGTCGGCTATATATCCTATATGATTTGGTGAACTCCCCCGTTTTGAATGGCGATGTCACCATCAAATCTTAGCATCCCCAGCCTTGAAACTAAGGCTTTCCTAAGGAAACTGGCGGTACCCCGGGTAGGACTGAGGGTTGTCCCGGAACGGTGCTATGAACGTCAGTGGGAAGCTCAGTACCCTCTGTGCAGGCGAGCTCATTTTTCAGTGGGAGGCGCAGTGTTTTATGACTCTGGTACATCTGTGAGTTAGCGTGGTCTAAGGCGAATTTTTGGAAAAATCAGTCAGAAAAGTGAAGCCTCTGCGGACTTCACGCGTTTCGGCCATTTCCGCTTTTTCAATCTTTTCCACTTTTTGGCGACTTCGGATCTTATACCTTCGGGACAACCCCTCGTCCTGTGGGTAAACATACCAAAAGCTATGGAAAATGGCCATAGAAATAGTTGATCTACCCATTAAAAATGGGTGGATGTTCCATAGTTATGTTAGTTTACCAGAGGGTAACTGGGGGTACCCCCATGACTTAGTAAACCTCCATGACTTTCAGATACTCAAAAGTCATGGTCAGAGTCCCAGTCCCAGGACACTTATCAAAATCCAGTGGGTCACCATCATCTTCCCTATCAAAAATGTGTTTTTTCACTTGGAGGTATACCCATTTTAAGAAACCCAACCCCTCAAAATGGGGGAAAATCATGGGGAACATCATCCATTTTAGATTCGGATTGTCAAAAACTGCATCCAGCTGTGGGTACCCCCATGACTATGGAAACCATATGAGAAAAACCCTCACATTTCCCACGCCCTGACCCCGGAAGCCTGCCTTGCAGCTCAACGACAATCTCGTCTTCACCCACAACGCCCACCTGCCTCGATCAACGGGAGTCGATGTGTCAAAAAATGGGGGATTTACCCAGCCTGGTTATGACTAACCCCTAGGAAACCCCCATATGGTGAATTGGTGGATCTATGGTAGATATCTCGTAATTACTGGGGTTTAGAAACCCTCTGGTTATGACTGTTACATAGCCATGGGATTTCGATGGCCCATAGAAATAGATGGCTTACCGTTCTTAACAATGGGTGGATGTTCCATGGCTATTGCTGTGAACGTCATAACCAGATGGTAACTCACAAAATGTGAAGATTTCACCCAGCCTTACGTGAGATGCACTCGTTCGATTGTTGAAACGCCAAAATTCCGTTGTTTTTTGCCGGACATGGTTCACATTTCCGCAGGTAACGAGGGACTGTTGGACTTGTACAGTCTGTGTAAAGTATGTATCTTCGTGTTCTATTTGCAGGCAGGACAGCAGTGTTGTTGCAAAGCAGAGATTTTATGACTTCGAGTATGCACGCTCTGCGCAGCATGTCCGCATGTCCGTCATAGAGTCTGGATTGCTTGCAGTCTATGTGATAGAAAGTAGGAACAGTATTCAATACCGTAATATCTTGTACTATGTTGTGCTGTTAGCTACTGCTCAAAATCAATTGAGGTCTCAGTTCTTCAGCATTTCAACCAACACAGCCTTCGGGATCATCGTCGGCTCGCCGTGACGACTCGATGTAGGTGCCAAAAACATCATCTACCATCCATTTGATCATAGCCAATAAACTTACTATCATTGGATGAGTTTAAGGGATTTTTTTAACCGGAAACCATGGTTTTTACCATTAAATATAGGGGTTTCCTGTATATAAATGTTCCCTTAAACCAATCCAATGATAATAGTTATGTGATGTCATAACTACTAACTACTACTCGTATATTTTCTGGTGAAATGTTTTTTGCAAACACAAAAAAGATAAAGTTGTTCGTCAATGTTTTAGTAGGATGTCACTGTTGAACCTCCTTTCCGGGAGTTGCTATGTAATATACGGGTTGCTGGTTTCAACCCCTCTGAAAAATATTAGTCAGTTGGGATTATTATTCCCAATATATGGAAAAAATGTTTCAAACCACCAACCAGTCATTTATTGTTTGTCAAACTGTTTGTCAAACTGGCAGGTCATTGATATACGACGTTTTCTTTTATCCATCGGTCAGTTATCTGTCTATAACCCAAATGTTTATGATTTTCCAAGTGCTTTGGATTTTATGATCCACTATAATCCACAAGAGGCAATCATCTCCTGGAATATGTCTCAGTTTCCCTTCATCAAACGTGGCGATTGCTCGGAAAATCATCGAAGAAAATATGGTGGATGCTCCACCATGCGACTGAGCGACTGATTACCAGAGGCTGGAGGCTGTCCCATGATAGTCCCATGCTAGTCCCTTGCATTCCCATGATTGTTGGTTGTTCCATTATTCAAATTTATTCCAATGATCTTCGCTATATTCCAACGTTTCTTCCCAATATATTCCCGTGATATTCTCATGTTCCCGTGCATATTATTGTTGGCTGTTCCCGTTAGTGTTGGTTATTGTCATTCGCACTACATTCCCACTATATTCCCATTCTATTCATATCATATTCCCACTACATTCCCACTATATTGCCAATTCTATTCCCATTATATTCCCACTACATTCCCACTATATTGCCAATTCTATTCCCATTCTATTCCCATTAATTCCGAATAAAAAATTCGAGTGGTTTTCTGGTGCTTGTTTTCCTCCAGTTTTTTCACCGCCCACCGACCTCACTCCACGGCCGGTATCCAACATCAACTGCACCAATCTCTCCGGGCCACCTCTGTCGCGGATTGGTCCAGAAATGGGTGGAGTTAACATGAGTTAACCATGAATTTAATGGGATGTCAGATATGTCATGGAATATATATATATATTTATTTATTATTATTATTATTATTGTTGTTATTATTATTATTACTATTATTATTATTACTATTATTACTATTATTACTATTATTATTACTATTATTATTATTATTCTATTTTATATCATGTATATATATATATATTATCATGTGTATATGTGTATATGCGTATATTATAATATATATATATATATATCATAATATTATACATATAACTTACTGCTAATATATTTTTTGGATATTTTTGTTTGTGTCGTAAAATGGAATGCAGACCCCAAAAAATGCAATGTTAAGAGAGATGATGCAGATTAACTGATGGATTTAGGGGTAACAGGTTTTCACATAGACTCATATTTGCCCTCCATAATATGGAAAGAATCCGCCAGTTCAATGGTTCCTTGTTTTTTTTGCATTTTTGGGCATCGGTCTGGGCCACACAACGGTAATCAAACATAGCAATGCAGTTGTTAACCGAACTCAACGGTGGTTTTCATGCGAAAAATATGGAAAAAACATCTATAAATGTCCTACTTGGTGGCTCATCCCACTTAGTAAGTGGGTTTTAACCCCAGTTATAAATGGGACAAGTAGGGTTAATCCATTTGTAACTGGGGTTATAACCCACTTACTATATAAGTGGGATGAACTACCAAGTAGTTTTGATAGAACCTCCCGAAACGATCCGATTTCAGGGCCCGCTGCCACTTGGATCCACTTGGGTCATGGTGTTCGCTCACTGGCACGAATTTCGCTACCCCATGACCCATGAGGAACAGGTATTCTTGAGCTCCTAAGCCGCTGGTCTTATCAAATCTTGTGCAAATCCTCCATTTTTGCAGCTGACATCCCAAGATTGGTCCAACAAATCCCCGTGCTTGTTGAAACGATGCACGAACCCCTTCTAGATCGTGTCTTCGTGGATAAATATCGATCAGTCCCCATGAAATCCAAAAAAAAAATCAAAAAACACCTTTCAGAAAGTCGAGAAACTGTCAGAAAAGCCGTAAAATCCGACAAGAAAGACATATCACGCAGTACATAGAGTTGACACAGAGTCAACACCATGTAGAGTTTCATAGAGCGTTTGAGTTTCACTAGTTTCGCTGACTTCTAAGGCTAGGGATATAAATCCAGCAAATCCCAAGTTCCCGAACCTCATTGTTCATCATTGTTCATCATTTTTCATATTTTTCCCAAAGAAAATTGCCCCAAAAACTGGGGAGTCAATGACGAAATCATCCTATTCTCCGCCTGGGAGATCCTTCAGATTCTCCAAGGGCAGCTTCACCAGAATGCTGCGCTGCGGATCGGAGTTCTCGGCCATCTGCCGGAAAGCCTTGGCGCACCTCTTGGCCTGGGAAGTGATCAGACTGTCCGTCATTGTCCCATGAAATTGTGGGGAAAACCCATGGGGAAAACCCAGATTTTTGTGGGGGCCATGGCATCACTTTCATCGTTTTCGCCATGGCATACCACCAGATTTTTTGGACACATATTGGAGCGATGGATTTTGGTCGGGATCAACAGATCCCACTGATTTTCGTCACAAGAACAACAGTTCCAATCCAACATGTTCCCTTAAGCTTTTTGTCCCAAGTCACCGCTCACTTTCGGTGTGTGCCTTTTCAGGAAATAGTCATCAATTCTTCATGGGATATCCTCTGGTAATTTAACATAGCCATGAAAAATGGCCCCGGAAAATAGTGATACTGTACCCTCTGGTAAACATACAAAAAACTATGGAAAATCACCATTTTCTAGCTGGGTATATCAACTATTTCTATCGCGATTTTCCATCGTTTTTTGTGGAAAAAAAATACCAGATGGGGATCATCAATCATGCCTCCCGAGCGACCGAAAAAGAGCGACCCATTCACCAAATTCACCGAGCAAATCCAGAACTTTGAAGGATGATTTGCCAGCTTCCCAGTCCGTCCAGTCTCTAGGAATTCCCACCCCACCCAAAAAAAATATGGTGTTTCCAAAATCCCATAGACTGGATGCGTGATATATATATAGCCAAAATCTATGTTTCAAAAAAAAAATGTGTTTCCAAAATCTTACAAATGATGATGTGATGTGATACCCTCTGGTAAACATACAAAAAGCTATTGAAAATGGCCATAGAAATAGTTGATTCACCCACTAAAAATGGTGATTTTCAACAGCTATTCTTCACTGTTCGGTCTGCAATTCTCGGACCGAGGTCATCTGACTTAGAAAAAACCAGCCCGGGCACTTTCGCGGCGAGCCACGGGCTATCTATTCGTAGATAGTCACTGTAGAAAACAATGGTGGATATCATTATAGATATGATGATTCATTCTATTATAATAATATATATATATTAATTTATTTATTAATATATTTATTATTATTGTTATTGTTATTATTGTTGTTATTATTATCATCATTATCATTATTATTGTTGTTATTATTATCATTATTAATAATATTATTATATCATTATTGTTAATATGATTATGTCATTATTGTTAATATTACTATTATTATTATGCAATATATTGCAGATAAGTCATGTTCATATTAATCTAATTGGGAGTTTCTTTAGCCTCAACACAAAAAAATGGCTGGCCGTATGCTTTACGAACATGACTAGTCACTTTAAAACCCCTCTGGTAAACGTTTACATAACTATGGAAAATCACCATTTTCAATGGGTAAATCCACTATTTCTATGGCCATTTTCAATAGCTTTTTGTATGTTTACCAGAGGGTATGGTATAAATCCTTATAGTGAAACAGTAAAATTAAGTAAAATACTTTCAGTAGAACACATATATAAACCATAAGAACCTATGGTTTCCAATGACTAGTCACAGTAGATCTGGGTAAATTATAATATTTCACTAAGCTGAATCTTGCGGCCATTTGGGGATGATTCCCCTTACTAACTATGATTCCAGTGAGGGAGAACAGTGAGGTCGTTATAATTTACCCATAATAATAATAATAAGTAATTATTACCCATTATAAATCTTATCATTACCCATATTATTATTATTATTACTAACTATGATTCCAGTGAGGTCGTTATTAGATTAGATATGCCCAAAACCCACCCCTTACCAGTGACTTCAACCCACCGCCACCCGCCTCCTGCGCCTTGCGTTGCGTGGTCAGCAGCTTCTCTGAGAAGCTGGCAGCCAGCAAGGCGCGAAGCACGTCCACCTCCCTGCAGTAGGCCGGCAGGGCCCTGGTAGGGGTGATATCTATGGCATTTCTCTGAAAATGGGAGAAAATTCTGGGAGATATACTTAGAATCTAAGTTGGAAATGTGGATTCAAGATGATTCAAGATCATTTCGCCGCAAGAACAGTGTGGATTCGAAGAGTTTTACCTGTTTCATCCAACCAAAATTGCAGTGTTCGCCATGAAAATGCCGATTCACACGCAAACCCAAAGGAAAGTCTGATTTTGCCAATAAAAATATGGAATTCACCATCACAATTGAGGATTCAATATGATTTGATGGGGTGATTTCAGAGTCCAGTACCAGTCCCATCCCCCTAATATTTAATATTCCCACCATATGCCATGGGTCCACCAAGATGAATAGATCCAAAACCAAACCAGGGTTTTGTTTGGGGAAGTGTTTAAATCTTGCAATTTCTTCGGTTGTCAGATATTAAAATCAGGTGTTTGTCATATTTTGTCCCATAGTGTCCCATAGTGTTGTTCAACTCCGAAGAAAAGTGGGCCGCCCCACGTCTCGAACGTAGCTTGCGCTAAGGGGTCCTTCACCTTCTTGACCTCCTTCGCCCTTTGGGCCTCCAGAAAGGTCACTCTGAGAGGTAACCCGAAGACCTATCTCGAAGCATGAAGAACCAATGTCTATGGCTAAATAACACCATATATACTGGTTGGTGGTGCAATAACCATCTTCAAAAATATGAGTTCGTCAATGGGAAGGATTATCCCAGATATTATGGAAAGTGAAAAATGTTTGAAACCACCAACCAGTGTATATATATATAAACACAGTAGATATTAGTGATACAAAAATAAGTGGTGCTTGTCTCATGTGAGACAACAGCTGACTCTTCGTAGCCAGTTTTTTCCCCAAGGGTTGATCGTCATCCTTCTCATCAATGGCTAAACAGCACCGACTAATGGCCATCAAACTAAGAGTGGCAAGCAGCAAGAGCATCCCATGACTTTCTAATCATTCAATGCAACCCCAAACGAAAGTCGATTGTGGGATGTCTTTGATCCCTTCATAAATTCCAGGGACCCAGTCAGGGGGGGCGTATGGAAAAAAATGAGGGGTAGGAACATGTTCAACTGATCAAACCATCCAAACGTATCCAAACTGGAAACTATGAGGTCAAGATTATCTGTAGCATCCTAGAACATATTTTAACTATTGTTCTTGGGTATAGTCAAACCATGCCCACAACCAACGGATAGAACCACAAGTCCGGGGTTGGAAGACAATTCTTTCATCCAAAACTAGCTATTCTTGGGGTGAAAGTGGTGTTGGGAGATGCCCAATCACCAGATTTGCCACCAACATCGAAAAAAAAACAGAAAATCCGATGAAAATCCCATCCCATCATACCCAGCAGTAAAACATCTCGTTGCATCCCAGCAGTTGCAGGTGGTTTGGTCGCCTTGCTTTGCTGTGCCAACTCACCCAGGGCCTTGGACTTCCCAAAAATGCCGGAAGTTTCAGAGGGAACTTTGAGCGAAGTTTCAATCTACCCGGCCTGGTAAACATTGAAAATGGACCATAGAAATAGATGATTTACCTGTTATAAATGGTGATTTTCCATAGTTATGTAAACGTATACCAGAGGGTATTGGAATTGGGGGTGTTTCCCCTAAATGTACAAACAAACTGATACGTTCTCTCTGATGAAAAGAAAATGCTTGGAAAAAACCACTGGTTTGTCTTAAAAAGATGTTTGGGACCTGGAGATGGCGTTCATAGCAGCAAGCCTGGTTCGTAAATCCCAGTGGCTCCGATGTCAAAAGTGTGGGTTTTATAAAACCTAACCCCCCACACAAACATCCAATCAAAAAAAAAACGTGGAAACAAAAAAACACCACATGCCAGAAACAGCATCTGACCTCATATCATTCTCCCAGAGAACTTCGAGAATCTCGATCCCACTAGGGCCCCGGCCAGCTCCTCCTCTTGGCTCCAAGGGGTAAATCCATGGTAGCTGGGGTCATCCGTGAACTCCGTGCCTAAGGTTTTGCTGCTGTCGACTCTGCGCCCCAAGCCGCTCAACCTTAGTGGAGGGGCTTCAACGATTTCATCCACGAAAATCATGGGGAGATATAAGGTTCTGAAGCTACTTTATCAGTAATCTATCATGATTCTAAACAAGTATAGCCAATCGGAGGAAGCGATACCCGCAAAAGAAGAAAAATCCAGTTGGGTCGGTTAAGAAACCCATGAAAACGATCAAAATGGAAACTAACAGAGGCATAAGTCGTTATGGCCCCATGCTACCCACTGGGGAACTGGCGAACTAAAGCTGGGGGAATGGCCCCCCATGTACGTGTTGTTAGCCGTGCTATGCAACAAGTTACCTAGCGGGGGCCTTCCTGCATGAAAGCACTGTATTTCTTGGTAAAAAAAAAGATGGTTTGCTTCAATGAACGTGTTCTTTCACATGTTTCCTTCATGAAAAAAGCAAATCGATTTGTTTCCTGAATGTTTTTATCTTGAGCCGACCCAATCAACACAACAGTGGTGGTGTAACGGTTATTGGGTGCTTCACCAACAAAAAGGAAGTCATCTTCACGACCAAAACCCACTGAAGATGCCCAAAACTCCAGTGGTAAAATTGGATGCGGTTCATTCTTGGGTTCACACAAAACATATATAATATTATAGACATCATATCATATCATATCATATCATATCATATCTCACACAATCTATATTATATCATGATATCATGTATATAAAGGAACTAGATTCCCTTATCTATTATTCTGTAACTTCTGTTTCACAATTTTTCTATGATCATCATACCATCCAGCGCAACCATCATCTCCGGTTGCCAAACTTTCTGTCATCAGCTCCATCGGTTAGCTCGAAAACCCCCAACATACGGAGGTTTAGTTGGCTAAAATCATCAAACCAAATGGCCAAATGGCTGATTTCACAGCCAAAAATGTGAGTTTTAATAAAGAAATCCCGGTTTCATCAAGCTCATGAAACTATATAATGCCCCACTGACAGGGTGGAAATTCTCGGTCCCAGGCTGAGAGCTCCATATCCGCACTGCTGATTGGTCCTTTTTCAGAGAAATCTGTGAATAAAATCATCAAACCAAATCAGCCATTTTTTATGGAAAAGATTGGTTATATCCAACCAGATTCTTTCATAGAAATGTTTTTTGTTTGCTATGGAAAAGGTGAAGATGCCAAACAGCTGAGATCTCGCCCCCGAGACGGAGATGAGTTGGGTCTGTATTTCACCAACAATCCGGGGGGGGGGCTAAGGGGAATACCGTTGAAGATTTGATGGGCACCCATTTCTATCCTTGTGATGATGCATTTTCCCTATCAAAATTGCCATGTTGGGGTCCTAAAATGGGGGATCCCCAAATAAACCATAGGTTTCAATACTAAACGGCAAAAAAAATTGGATCATTTGGAGTCTAGGAAGCATCATTTTGCCGTGAATTGCCCTACTTTCCATACAGAAAGCCCTGCAAAGCCGGTTCCCGGTGAAGCTGAGCAACAAATTGCAGAGTTTCTTGTGCCCATCGCTGCCCTGCGCCAAAAATCCCATACGTACGGAGGGAGGCGAAGAAGAAATGGATAGAACTATGGTGACCTTCATAAGTTGGGATATAACCCCTATAAGTATGGTTATATATGTATATATATATGTATATATATATATATGTATGTATATATATATGTATGTATATATATATAATTATAACTATAATAATAAGAATAATAATAAGAAGAAGAAGAAGAATGATGATAATAATAATAATGATAATGATAATGATAAAACGTAATATTATATATAATAGCAATAATAATAATAATAACAATAATAATAATGGTTGGTGGTTTGAACGCCTCTGAAAAATATTAGTCAGTTGTGATGATTATTCCCAATATATGGAAAAATAAAATTCATGTTCCAAACCACCAACCAGAATAATAATAATAATAGATATCCACTAGTAGATAATATATATATATTATCAATAATAATAATAGATATCCACTAACTGGCAACGAAACCCGGAGCACCAAACTTTCTGTAGCAGAAAACTACTCCGTGCTCCTCTCAACTCCCCAGGACTCCCCAAGCACCGATGGTACCGATGTTTTACCACACCTGCCATTGGTTTCCTGCGAAAGAAACACATTCATCCCGAGATCCAATGGTGAAATTACCAATCGGGATACCCGGCCTGGTAATTTAACATAGCCGAAAATGGCCATAGAAATAGATAGAAATAGTGAGTTTTCCCGTTAAAAATTGTGATTTTCCATAGTTATGTTAGTTTACCAATCGGGATAAATTCTGACAATTCACCACCCTGGAGACTTGTTGTTCCTCAGTGCCTCCAGACTCTTCCCCCTTCCCGTTGGCGAACCTGAATTACTTGGCGAGTTCAGGAGAGTTACCCTAATTCCAACCAACCCATTTTCATCCCAGTGGGCTCACTGTAATTTCGACGGCCTTTCTCTATTTTTCCACTGGATACTTTGTCCTTCCAACCATCTTCAACCAGATGTTTATGAAAAAGAACCATGATACTCCACATCATAATCCGATTACCCTAGGGCAAACTAACATAGATGTGGAAAACCCATGGGAAAACCCATGGTCTCCCCGTTGGGGCGTGATCTAGAAATGGTGGCTTCTCCACATCTAGGCTAGTTTACAGGCGGTTATAACCCCATTAAACACTATCAATAATCATTAGAATCATTAGTAGCAACTATTAAGTAACCATTGAGTAATTAACCATTATTAATAGTGTTTAATCACTGAGTAACCATTGATTACCCATTAACACTATTAACCATTGATTAACCATTGAGTAACCATTGATGAACCAATCCCATTCTTCAACCCCAACGCTGTCAGAAATCCCACAGCCCCGTTGCGGGGCCCCGGAGAAGCCTCCTTCAGTAGAGGCACCACCCGTTGAGCCACCTCGTCCACCTCTCAGTTGCGCAAGCTGCGCAGGCTGCGCAACCGGAGAACCAGACCTTTAAAGAAAAAAATATCGGGATACAAATTCCAATGGATATTGTGATGTTTATGTATGTATGTGTGTATGTGTGTATGTGTATATGTGTGTATGTGTGTGTGTATGTGTGTATGTGTGTATGTATGTGTGTATGTATGTATGTATGTATGTATGTATGTATGTATGTATGTATGTATGTATGTATGTATGTATGTATGTATGTGTATGTATGTGTATGTATGTATGTATGTATGTATGTATGTGTGTGTGTCTGTATGTATGTATGTATGTATGTATGTGTGTGTGTATGTATGTATGTATGTATGTACGTATGTATATATGTATGTATGTATGTATGTATGTGTGTGTATGTATGTATGTATGTATGCATGTACGTATGGTACTGTAATGTAGTGTCATGTCATGTCATGTAAATGTAATGTAATGTAGTGTAATGTAATGTAATGTAGTGTAATGAAATGGAATGGAATGGAACGGAAGGGAACGGAATGTAATGTAATGTAGTGTAATGTAATGCAATGTAATGGAATGGAATGGAACGGAAGTCAATGGAAAGGAAAGGAAAGGAATGTAATGTATGTATGTATGTCTGTCTGTATGTATGTATGTATAGAAATATATATATATATTGGTTGATAGATAGATTGATAGATTGATTGAAAGATTGATTGATAGATTGATTGAAAGATTGACTGATAGATTGATTGATAGATTGATTGATAGATAGATTGAAAGATTGATTGATAGATAGATTGATAGATTGATAGATAGATAGATAGATAGATTGTTAATGGATTATGGTCCCATTATAAACTGTTGATGTTCAAATGGAATTTGTGATTTTACATATATCTGTATTACAAAAACGGTTCACGATGGTGCTTTGGAAATGTTTGGAAGTCCCGTCAAAAATGGCTTCGCATGATTTTCGCGGCACAAGTCGGAGGATCACCCAATTCAAAAGGGATGGTGCCCAGTGATGTTTGTTGGTTTATAAACCCCATTAACTAGTTATCCCCATTAACTAGTTTGTTATACCTACCATAAACCATAGAATTCAGTCACTTCTCTTCGGCAACTGAACGCGGCAACCAACCAAAACCCCATCCTGTATCCCCGGTCCAGTCAATCATCCCATGCTGCTGGTATTTGTTTCTCCCACGAGTCTTCATTGGGACATATTCTATCTATTTATATGTGTATCCGCGGGCCTACATGTACAGAAAAGAAACATTCCATGTACAAATCAGAATAAAAAATATATAGGCCTTAAAGCGCGCCGTGACCGTTTCTTAGCATAAATACAGTGTATAATTTCCTCCAATGTTTTCCAATAATTTGATGTTTCATTTCTATACGGTATATAGTGTATATGATATATAATGTATATATATAATGTATACAATCTATGTAATGTATACAATCTATGTAATGTGTTTATTCTATATATCCTAATAATCTATAGAATCTATATAATCAGTATAGTCTATATAATCTATACAATCTATATAATGTATATCCCCATTTTGTATGGAAAAAAATTACACATGTTGTCTGCAAAAAAACATCCATGCTTTTTCGATCAATCATCATGTTTCATGAATTTCATGGGCTTCAATCCTCATTGTTGGGGAAAAAAGTTGCAAAACTAGGAATTTTCATGGGACATATATGGGATTTACCCTCTGGTTATGTCAAAATAGCTATTGAAAATGGCCATAGAAATAGTGAATTTTGCCATTAAAAATGGTGATTTTCCATAGTTATGTAAACGTTTATCAGAGGGTAACCATCATATATCCCATTAAATCCCATTAAAACACCATAAAATCCCATTAAATCCCATTAAAATACCATAAAATACATGAGAATTTCCCATCTTTTCAGGCGTCCATCAAGCGGATGCGCCGCCTGCACCACGAATTCGGTCATCCTACGGGGGATGATCGCGTGCTCCGCTGCCTGGGTCCCATCCGGTCGGTGGCCAATTATAGCCTTCATAAGGCTCAATAAACCTTGGATATGATTAGTCTTCACCAATGATACATATGTATGTATATATATATATGTATGTGTACATATATATATATATGTAGATATATGTCAATGGGAAAAGGAGTGGTGCAATTTATACATGATGGGGGATAAGAACCATGAATTTACTGGGATTGGATGGGAATACGAGATGGGATATGTATAGCCAACTCCATATTATGTGGGTTTGTCCGAAACTCGCATTTCAGAGCTTACCCAAGTCATGGCTATTCTAAATGAAACAAATACGGATTTTTAGTAATTATGATAAACGATGGGATTAGGAAGTATCCCATTGACAAACCCAGTTGTCATTCCGGGGGAATGAAGGCGCCAGGCGCCAAGCCCCGATGTTCGATCTGCTGACAAGGTGCCATGCCGTGAGCATGCTTGAGCCACAACTTCCGTCCATCTTTCGTTGAATTGTGATCAAAGCTCCTCCAAAATTCCTGCAGGAACGAAAGGAACGTGGAAATTGCGCTGGATATCTTGGACAGATACTCGGCAAAAATAATCAGGAACTGTCGGCTTTTTGGAGGCTATCCACTGGTAACCCATATCTACCAGATATCAGGCGGTATACTGCCAGGCTTGAATTGGGATTTCACCGGGGGGGATGTGAACATCAAGAATTTCACTGGCTTTGCGGTAGTTTTACCTTACAGTACTCCAAGCGGCAGTGCGTAAGCGCAAGTTTTCAATGGAAAAAATAAAAGATAGATCCATCACACTCAAAAGATGTGATTATATGTTATAACCATCATTCATAGACGTTCATAGTCCCTACAAATATTATTAATAGATATGGGGGAATTGCCATTGCTGGTCAATTATCCTCCAACAATAGTTGGCATCGCTGTTGGTGGTGTTTCCAGCCATGCTTAGTTGGGGGGGTCCTAAAATATGGGTACCCAAAAATGGATGGTTTCTTATGGATAATTCTGTAAAGATGGATGGTTTGGTGGTACCCCCATGACTTACGAAACCTCCAATCGGCTAAGGGTTGCGATCCTAACTTCAGTGGCAAGCCACGCCCAATGCATCTGGGCAAGGGCAAGCCATGTCACGGTAAGTCTCTGGTAGCCGTTTCGGCTGTTGAAATCCAGTTTTCGGATACTTCAATGATCCTTTCTTGGTAGTTTGGTTGCCTATTACGTAGCTATGTACAATGTACATCCTCATTTTGCATATGGCATCGTATGTTTTTTTCACCTAATGGAAAAACATGTAGATGATTTACTTATTGAAAACCAGCTTGTCCTAGAAAAACTATCTTTTTTTGAGACTGCTGTCACTGGTGGTTCGACTATTTGAGGCTGTCTCAAAATTTGCAACTCCAAAATCCTATGGTTCGTCATCGAAGAAAAACCAGGAAAGTTGCCATGCTTTGTTCGTTTTGTTTTTCCCCTTTTCAGACACCCCACTTCATCTTTCATCGCAAAATTCAGCTTCACTAACTTCAGCCCCCCATGTTTCACGGTTCTACGAGTCCACTTTTCGGTCTCTTCTTCCCCACCGGCCCCACTGGCCCCACTCCAGACCTGGAAGAGTTGCCACAGGGCCAACGGTTGGGAGGCCATGCCCTGGTCGAAGTGCCGCCGGGAGCGGTTGCTCTTGCGCAGCCGCTGGCCAAGCTCCACGATGTTTGGGAAGGCGAAGAGCGTGGGCGTGGAGAAGGGATCCGACACCGCTAAGCTGCCTGGAGCTAGAGGCATGGGGATGTCATGGGGATGTCATGGGGATGTCATATGAAATCTATATGAAAACTATATGAAATTATATGGGATGTTACTCAATATAAACTCTTAGTGCCTTGGCTAACCATATGAAAGCGGGATTGTAATGGGATGCTTCCAATGGGAGATGATGGGATAGATTAGTGGGATAACCCACGTCCTCCAGGTAGGAGGGCTGCAAAACTAGCGTTGCACTTGCTGGACACAGATTCCAGTCATATCAATACTGATTCCACAGTCAGTACATCAATTTTGACGCAAGGTTTTGGATTGTTTTGTGGCCCATCATGGTGGATTCCCCAGTCATGGTGGATTCTACCCATGGGAAAACTAAAAAACGCAAATTCTTGGACAAATGCGGCATTTCTTTGCGAGAATCAACATCAAATTGAGATTCAAACTGAATACCTGGTGCACTGGGTTTGCTGGTGGTGAATCCGTCCAACCACGTCAACCACGTCCCAGGGGAGAATCCCAACCCAAACGCTGAAGATTCATACAGTTCATACTCCTGAAAGATTGCATATCAAGGCTTTCCAAGGATGTTTCAACTTTTCCAAATCCCAAGCTTTCTTCGGATTTGGTTTTTAAGCCTCATCCAGGGTTTCTTGAAGTAACTGTGGATTTGTTCCCATTGGGATTTCCCGGCTAGCCATGGAACTGATGACACCGGAGGGCAAATATCTTAAATCTTAAGATTTCTTAAGTTGGTTATAATATAGACATACATACAATATGTGTATGTATATATATATATCATATATATATATCATATATATATATATATCATATATATATATGTGCGTGTGTGTGTGTGTCATAGATCCCATGATATTTCCCCATGATATCCCCAGTCTTGGTTGAAGCCCCAATTCTTCGGCTGGGACGAACTTCCAAGCGATAGCCCTGGTTTCGTACTGGGGCCGCCATTGGTTCAACTTATTGGCACGAAGGAGATTAAGCTGTTGTTGATTTCGTGTTGCCTTCAGTAAATTGATATAGATGAATATAGCTATGGAAGACACGGCCTAGTTATAGATGATTTACCCATTGAATATGGTGATTTCCATGGCTATGTTAGTTTACCAGAGGATAGTTAGGTATGGCTCACAATGATCAACCCCTCAAAACGATGCTGAGAACGGGATACTACCACCAATTCATGGGTCACTTCTTCATTCGCAACAAACCAGTTAGTGACTATGGGAAACCCCCTTGGAAACGAATCAACCAATCAACCATGATGAAGCATCATTTATCAAATTTTCCCCTGTTTCACAAGGAATCAATCATCATTATCAACACATATCTACATATTGTCAATGCTTCAAAGCCATCTTTTATTGATGGTGCATCGTCCCAATGAAAGAATCTTCGGCAGTCCGGAGATCCCAGCAATAGCTCGCCACAATGTGTGGATCAATACCTACAATATACAAAAGAACTCTGATCATCACTGATTTATCAACATACAAATAGTTTTATCACATAAAATCCATGAATATAACATATATCTATGGATAAACTACTAAATCATAAAATAATAATCATGGATTATCAACAAATATGGATCACATCATATTTATCAACTATATATCTATGGATCAACCAATAAATAAAATCCCGGCGACGTTTTCCAAGCGGTTTTTGACCCGAAACTTCGCCGCGCTACATGCCAAGATGACACCGTCCACCACACAGCCCCAGTGGATGCTAAGCCACACCAAACGGCTCAGGCTCAAATCCTCCCAAAACGGACCCAAAAGCTAGGCTTGTGTGAAAGTGAGTGGTGGATTTCATGGGATTTCACCTGGGATTTTGCAATGGAAAATTCAACTGCCAAGAACCATCGGAATTCATCGTTGATTCGTGAATGCCGTGTTTGTTGGCTTTGAAACTCAATTAACTACACAGTTCAATATTTCTACCATAAATCGTAATTTACCTACTGATGAGGCAACGTGCCTAAGTATGGGGCAGCAGCTTGTGTAGAATTGGGATGTTTCCCCGATAAGTATCAATTGGGGAAAATTACCCATCCAAAATTCATCAAAACAGCGAAACGGCAATAGTGTTGTGATATCTTTGATTTTTTATGGTGATACACAAAAAAATGGTGAATAGATCCTCACTGGTTGATATCTACCATCAAAATTGATATAAATTGATAATGCTGTGTCGCCATCATCCCTAAATTAATCAACAATTCTCAACAATTATCAACACTTATCAACAATTATCAACAATGATCAACCATTATCAACAATTATCCCTAAAACACACCATCAAGTGCTTGATTTTTCCCCGCCCATCTGATCAGCCGAGGAGCGAATGGAAGACCTTGGCCGATGAATGTCGGGATTTAAAAAATGACGAAGGGATTATAATGGGGATGTGACAGACTATAGATGTTTAACTATGGGTGTTTAAATGGATTATAACTATTAATTAACTCGAATTATAACTATGTTTAACTATGTTTAACTATGTTTAGCTACTTGGATTATAACCAAATGGATGTGAAAAACCTTCAACTCTGGATCATCTTATTTGGTGGTTTCCTAGAATGGGGAATCTCCCCAAATCAAGTTATTCTTCATTTTTAATGGGGAACCAACTGCTTTGGGGTCCAGCACTTTTAAGAAACCCGCATGTCAAAATCACAAAAGATTGCGCCACATCTCATCAAATCCCACACCTAATCTATGGGGTTGCCTCGATGTCAAAAACATCATGTGTGGGGTTTGAATGATCATATATGGTCATGAGGTTGCGGCTTAGCCAACCCCAAGACTCAATGGGGTGCGAAATATGTTTGATCTACGTTTGTTGACGATATCCTCAAAAACAATCTCATGCAATGGATCCATTCTGCTATACATATGTATTTGTATATGCATATGCAAATGCATATGTGCGTATGCACACGTATGCATATATGTGTATATATATATATGTAATTTTTGTAAATATGTAAATATGTACATATGTATATATGTATATATGTATATATGTATATATGTATATGTGTATATGTGTATATATAGATATATATATATATATACGTGCATATGTATATATATATACGTGCATATGTATATATATATATATATATATGTGATAATATTTTGTATATGTATATATGTATATATGTATATATGTATATATGTATATATGTATATATGTATACATGTATATATGTATATATGTATATATGTTTATATGTATATATGTATATGTAAATATATATATATGTGTACAAATATGTATGTGGCAGGGACCTTTGGGGTCTATTTCGTTCGTTGGCCTAGAAAGAAAGGTCATCATCTCGTTCACCTGCCGCATTTCCATCGGGCTCGGAAAGCATCCTGCGGTAAGCGCGTGTGATTGTTTCGGGCGCATCTGTCTTTTTGGTCAGACGTGCAGCCAAGGCTCTCCAACTCATCTCTTCGCACCCCTCGGTGAGGCCTTGGGCGTGAAGGAACAGCGAACGTTTAACCACAGAGATTGTCACACGGTTCTCTGTTTTCTCCTGTCAAGCTACGGCCCGCGAAACTTTCGATAGAACTGCGGGCGTCCAACTCGTTGCGGGAAAGTGGTGGAAGCAGCAGGCATTCCCAAGGTGGAGCAGCGCCTGGTCAAAATGTTCCACACCAAATCATCACCTTGGCGCGCGGCAAAACTAAAACCCACATCCGCCTCTTGCGAGCAACGCTTGTCAAGAAGGAGCCCAAAACCTGCAAACATCACGTTAAAGGGTGCAGCCAGGACACCCCACCGGGCCTCTACCCACAACCCTGTGCCTTCTTCAGATGGCCGTGCAGCCTCCAGCCGCTTGCCAAATCGAACAGGCGCCCCTGACAAAGCATGGGCGAGCAGAATTCTTTGCGCTGCGACCAATTGCAGCGAAGGCACATCGGTCGATGGTTGCGGAGCCACAAGCAGTTTGATGCAAAGAGAGAAGAGCTCGGCCAAATAGAACCGAACAGGTCCGGGAGGAGGCTGCCCTGATGGGATCGAAGGCAGCGCTTACACCTGCAAAGAAACGCATAGGATGTTTAAAGTTCCGAGCGCGCGCTAAGACACATATACTCAAGAGCTTCATTGAACCCATGCAGTGCTGCTAAGAACAATCGCAGATGAAGCCAAGGCACCTTGTGACTTGTTCAAATTAAGCGACATCATGGCTGAAAGAGCAATTTGCGATGGTTCACGGCGGTTTGCGATTGAGCAAAAACAGGCTTCCCGGAAGAAACGGATAACAAAGCTGTTGTCACAGCACGCGGTCCCTGCAACGTTGCTGGCATTAAGACGGCGCCAGAATGATGTAAGATCTGTCACACCTGGCCTCCAAGACCAGTTGTGCCTGCAGCAGCTTTTCGAACCAGCCTGCAAAATCAATATACAGATTTCAGAAAGTAGGAATGCGATGTGCCCAGCACCTGGCCACGCTGCCAGCGTCTCAAGCGTCAAAGCGGCACTGATGCGATCAAAGGTTGCAGATCCTAGGCGCTGAGATACACATCCCACACGCTTGAAAGAAAACATGAAACTGGAACTGCAGGGCCGTATCCATAGTTTTCATTCAACAAGCCAAGCGTAGGGCAATGAAAGTATAAGTTTGAACATGTTTGAACTGTCTATCTGCATTGCTTAATGGTGGAAAAGCTGGATGCTGCGCGGCGCGGCAAGAGCTTGCCATAATGCATGTTTTGTACAGTTACAGTCGCAGCGCGCTCTGGTGGATCAGGCACATGGTTCCCTCCAGCCACAAAGCCAGACAGGGATACTCCGCTACCAGCTCCGCTACCGACATGCAACAGCAGCAACACCAGCCCAACATCCGATATATTTCGGTGACAGATAAGGCTCCCTTTTCGCAACTTTTTAGGGTGGGCGGGTTCCAGCTTGTAGCCAAAACGACAACTGCCCTAACAGAGCTGTTGTACCTCTCTTGTTTGTCGGCCTTTTGGTTTCTCATAGACCATCTCCAGCAGACAGTTCGGCCGTGTTGCCCAAAGCAAACAAAGGCACCATCAAGCATGTGATTCCCTCCCGCGAAACCAGCTAGGAATACTCGGCTACCAGCTCCGCTACCAGCTCCGCTACCGACATGCAACAGCAGCAACATCAGCCCCGCATCCGATATAATTCGGTGACAGATAAGGCTCCCTTTTCGCAACTTTTTAGGGTGGGTGGGTTCTAGCTTGTAGCCAAAACGACAACTCCCCTAACAGAGCTGTTATACCTCTCTTGCTTGTCGGCCGATTAGCTTCTCACGCAGCATCCGTCAGTCCAGATTGTACAATGAAACATGAATGGTCCCTGCCAAATCAAAAATATGTCATATGTACTATACCCTCATATTTCAAAGGTTTTCATGATATACTTGTATAACTAAATTTAAACAGTTTCAATTCAATAAGTACATATATCTATTATTGATACAAGCCGCCTTGTAATACAATCCACGCATTGGCTCTGTAGAAAAATTGCACGTCTTCTTCCAACAAAGGCTGTGCATGCCCCTCATCAAGGGGGTTGTCTGCCATAACGACTTCAAGCCTGTAATACTGCGCAAAAACATTTGCTATTCAGCAAAAAAATGCTTCCAAGGCTACAGCCATCACGTCATGGCACTGTTTAGTTTCTTGTTCTGGGTCCTCCGACACAATCGGGTGTAGGGTATACACTGCTAACCCTTGATTGTTTTTCACCCCGATAGAAACAAACAAACATGTTTGCCTTTTCCCTGAGAAGCTTTCGGAAAAAGCTAGGCTGCTCCGGTCACTGGTCTGCAACACTGCCCCACCAAAGCACAATGACACGTTTACAAGTGTCCTCTTTGCAGTTGCAAACGCTTACACCAGTCAGCACAGCTCAAGCCGTTCAGCCGCCTTGCCTTGCTGCCTGGATTTCAGGCTGAAATTAGGCATTGTGATTGTGATTATTGGCCTGCAACATTGCGCTACATCAGCATGGCCCGTTCAGCCACTTTGCTGCCATGGATCTCTCCGAATGGCTTCAAACAATATTTTATTATTCCGGTGCATATTGATGTTCAATACCTTGAAATATAATGGTAACCTACTAATATTATTTCCATCCACTCTTTCCAACTTGCAGCTGGGAGCTAGACTACGATGCCACTATGCCCACTCGACCTCTGCCCACTGGCGTGTTGACTGAAACCGGACGTAAATGTGACCATCTTGCACATGATGAGACTGAAGGTTGCCTACAGCAGGCATTTCAGCCAGCAGGGAATCAAGGTGATAACCAAGCTCAGACCCAACAGAAATTTGGTTGATTGAGGATTGTCATTGGTTGCGGGATCTTGAAAATGAATGTTGGTCAAACAATCTTTGAATTTAATGTCAACCCCGGATTAATAAACCATGGTTTATTAATTAGGGGGTACTCCTCCAATAGTCATAATCTAATACTTAAATGGTACCCTCCCAATTAAACAGCCCAGGGGTTTATTAATCCAGGGTTGACATTAATCATGTTCATATTTGTTTAAGCTATAACAAACTTAACAAACTTGGAAAATCTTTTACACTGCTTACAACTAGTCTCCAGAATCGAATGTCCAATTCCGTAATCCGGAACACCCCACACGAAAGACAAGATACCGTAGAACCGCAGCCGTTGCACACTCTCGTCGGGGCTTCCACTGGCTGGCACCGGCACCTTCACCCGGCACCTTCGCTCCTGCTGCCTGCTGCGATCACGCTCACGTGGCTCACGTGTGACGTTTGTCGCCATGCTTACCTGGGCTTTCCAACCAGGTGACACTGCATACACATGAGGTATTGAGGAAAACTGCTAACCACATCCTTTCGAAACCATTAAAGGAAAATTTGCAAGTGTCGAAAAAGCGACCACGATGCCACTGTTGACGCTGCAGCGCTACCCATTGGACTTGACTTCGACAGGGCACGGACCTGGTGGCGGTGACAATCCATCTATTTGGGCCGGCCACCCATCTTACTACAATAAAAGGGTACCAACTCCATTGCCACCAAGCAGGCTCAAGATTTGGTTAATTTCACTCACCAAAACACAAAAGTCAAGGTACGTTGCTGGTCGTCGAGGGTGCAATGGCTGGAATCAGCCTGCTGCCAGGCACCCAGGCATCTGCCGGATTCGGGCGATCATGTGCACCTCGAATGAACCAGGATGGCGATCTGGGCCCACAGGAAAATAATAGTTTGGAAAACTATCCCATTGAAATAGGGTATGTAGTGTATGTATGAAAAAGAGATTAAAGAAAATCCTTAGTATGGTAAATCTTTTTATACACATCATCACATTGTATGTCAAACAAACGTGTATTTGTTCAACAGTGGCCGTCATTGTGGTCTATTCAGCACGGTGCAAATGGGACACTGACACATTGCCTCTCAACTTTCTGCGCCTAAAGTCCTTGATCTCGGTCTGTATGGCCCAGAATGCAAAAATGGAAATCTGCAAGTAAAGCTTTTTCATAACAAGAAAAACAGGTGCGTAGCTTTTAGCAAGTGGTGGAACATTTGCAACCTACCTGACATGCCAGCACCCGACGAACTGCAGACACGGAACTCAGGCCAAGCTGAACGAAACCGTCCAGTCTGACACTCCAAACAGTCATCTGTTGCGTCTGATTTTGGGCGTTGGTGTAAAGCACCGAATCACCCAACGAAAAGGCCATGGCTTATGCAGCAGCAGCAGCAGCAGCTGCAGCAGCTCACACACCCACGGCTGTAAGGCTTGGTCCATCACGGAATCACAATCTTCATGCGTGTTTGGTGCAAGATCAACTGTGCGGGCACGTCTTGGCAAACCATTGATTTCCCGAATGCAAACTGAAATAAACACACGTGATTCATGCGGACATACTTATTTATGTCAGGGAGATCAGGACACCTTTCTGTTTTAGAAAAAGAACTATATGTTAATGGGAAAAATGCAAGCAAAGAACAAGAATATACAAAAAGGTACAACCAGAAGCTTAAAAAACAAGCTTAAAAAGGTTAAAAGGTAAGTCCACAAAAGCAAATACAAAGGCAAAAGCCAAGAAGCAGGCGCAAAGGCCAAGAAGCAGGCGCAAAAACGAAGACACAGACGCAAAGGCCCAGAAGCAAGCGCACAGGCCAAGAGAAAGGCGCAAAGGCCAAGAGACAGGCGCAAAGGCCAAGAAGCAGGCGCAAAAACGAAGAAACAGACGCGAAAGCCAAGAGGCAGGCGAAAAGGCCAAGAGAAAGGCGCAAAGGCCAAGAAACAGGCGCAAAGGCCAAGAGACAGGCGCAAAGGCCACGAGACAGGCGCAAATGCCAAGAAGCAGGCGCAAAAACGAAGACACAGACGCAAAGGCCCAGAAGCAAGCGCACAGGCCAAGAGAAAGGCGCAAAGGCCAAGAGAAAGGCGCAAAGGCCAAGAGACAGGCACAAAGGCCAAGAAGCAGGCGCAAAAACGAAGAAACAGACGCGAAAGCCAAGAGGCAGGCGCAAAGGCCAAGAGAACGGCGCAAAGGCCAAGAGACAGGCGCAAAGGCCAAGAGACAGGCGCAAAGGCAAAGACACAGGCGCAAAGGCCAAGAAGCAGGCGCAAAAACCAAGAAACAGCCGCGAAATGTAAGAAGCAGGCGCAAAGGCCAAGAGAAAGGCGCAAAGGCCAAGAGAAAGGCGCAAAGGCCACGAGACAGGCGCAAAGGCCAAGAATCAAGGGCAAAGGCCAAGAGACAGGCGCAAAGGCCAAGAGACAGGCGCAAAGGCCAAGAGACAGGCGCAAAGGCCAAGAGAGAGGTGCAAAGGCCAAGAGACAGGCGCAAAGGCCAAGAGACAGGCGCAAAGGCCAAGAGACAGGCGCAAAGGCCAAGAGACAGGCGCAAAGGCCAAGAGACAGGTGCAAAGGCCAAGAGACAGGCGCAAAGGCCACGAGACAGGCCCAAAGGCCACGAGACAGGCGCAAAGGCCAAGAGACAGGCGCAAAGGCCAAGAGACAGGCGCAAGGGCCAAGAGACAGGCGCAAGGGCCAAGAGACAGGCGCAAAGGCCAAGAGACAGGCGCAAAGGCCAAGAGACATCTCTGGAGGATTAAAAGGATTAAAAGGATTAAAAGGATTAAAAGGATTAAAAGCATTTCCAAAAGGCTCTAAAAATTATCAGAATTAACCGGAACAAAATGGTACCTAAAGGTCTCTCGATCATATATGTATATATGTATATACAAAAAATATATATGGATATATGTATTTATGTTTATATGCACATATGTATATATATATATACATATATGTAAATATGTAAATATGTAAATATGTAAATATGTATATATGTATATATGTATATACATATGTATATATATATATGTATATACATATGTATATACATATATGTGTGTGTATCTTTATATATACAAATATACATATATACATATGTATATATGTATATATGTATAGATGTATATATATATAGATGTATAGGTATACATATATATGTATAGATGTATAGGTATAGATGTATATATATATATGTATATGTATAGATGTATATACATATATGTGTATGTATATATGTAAATATGTATATGTATATATGTATATGTATATATGTATATGTATATATGTATATATATGTATATATACATATATGTATATATGTATATGTATATATATACATATGTATATATATACATATGTATATATATATATGTATGTGTATATATATATATGTACGTATATGTATATATATAATATGTATGTATATATATAGGTATATGTATATAAATAAATGTATATATATATTGTACATACTAGTACATATGTATATGTATATATGTATATATGTATATATGTATATATGTATATATGTATATATGTATATATGTATATATGTATATATGTATATATGTATATATGTATATACGTATATGTATATTTGTATATGTATATATGTATATATGTATATTTGTATATTTGTATATATGCAAATGTGAAAACCTAAACATATACAAATATGTATTTATTTGTGTAAACATGGACATATATGTAAATATGTATATGTAAAAATATGTATATTAGGATATTATATATATACATATGTATATATATATATGTATATGTGTATGAGTGTAAATATGCATATGTAAATATGTCAATATGTATATATGTAGATATGTTTGTATGTGCGTAAATATTTGTTGGTTGAGTCCCCATGGGTTGCTGGTTTTAACGGTTACACCATATCCCATAAAATCCAACAAGAAAAATATGGGTCATAACTCCCCTTCAGTCCCTATTATTTTTTGTGGTTAAATCCTATAATTTTAACCATGACACCAAAGTCACCATGCTTGATCGTGATTTATCACCATTTTTCCTGATTGCTTGATGGTTCATCATCACTTTTGCTCGTTCAATCCCCATTTTCAGATGAAGATACCATAGAATCTATTAAATTCTTCCAAAATGCAAAAACACAAAAAAATATATACGTAAGTTTGAAGAAAAAAACATGTCTCATAGTGTTAGTAAAGCCCCTTGTTTTTTCGCCGTAACTTCACCAAGGAGCTCAAGCAGATCCTTCCGATGCTCGTCATCTCTGCCTCTTCAAGTGGCGCCTCAAGTGCCCAGTTTTGCGCTAGCTCGCGGCGGCTCGCCTGCGGCACGGTTCAAAAACCTGATTTTTCCAAGGTGGAAAGTTGTCAAAGTTGAGATGTGTTCTACTTTCGAGGCGGTTTTTAGTTGGAAAATTGGATTGAAAGATTGATGCTGATGTTCAAGGGCAAAAAAGCGCACTCAATGCTAAGGTGAGTTGACCCGTAGCAAGAATGCAACAGACAAACACAAAACGAAAGCAGTGCAAGTCTTGAAGAGAGCCAAACGCCCTGCAACGATGATGCACGCCAGCAAAAAGAAATAATCCTTGCGCAGGGGCCATGCTAATCTTCTCTGTATCGTTCCAATTTTATCGGATGATCCAGAAAAACATCAAGGTTCAATTCAACTCTCAAGAATCCATAAACATCGCAGAAAAATCAAAAAAAAGTGTTGAGCTCGAAAAAAAACCTCAGAAGGATTATCAAAAAGAAAACTTAAAAAAAAAACATATTCTGCTTGTCAAAAAGGTATATTAATCCAGGATACCCAATATATCCCTATCCTATCATCAGATCCTATCAGATCCTATCGATATCCCATCGATATCCACTTCGCCTCAATAATGGACAGGTCCGGCGGATCCACTAAGCCCGTGAGCACCGAGCAGGCGGTACTGGGCGCCTGATGTCTTAGGAACGACCAAAAAATGTCGTGATTTCAAGGCGACTTTCCAGCATTTTGGGCGGCAGAATCAGCAGTTTCTGGAAGTTTTTTGGTGGGATTATCCCAATATATCCCAAGATATCCCTATATATCCCAATATATTGATGATCCCATAGGTGAACTGCTGGAAACTTTGGGAGAACCAGCAGGATTCGATCATCTGGAAGTATCAAGTATCTGAATTTCACGGTTGACAATTGATTGGTCTTTGAATCTTTGAACTGATCTATGTTTAGGCAACACGGATGGGGATACTCTGATAGGATCTGATAGGTTTGTCCATGAGTAGGGGGTATACCCCAACTTATGGCCATTTCAAGAGACTTTTTTTGGCTTCGTAAACCATGCGACTTTTGGACAAACCTCCCCAATTAAAATGCCGGTAGTTTCACCAAGATACTGAAAAGAAAAAATTGACCATTCTGTCGAGGTAGCAGATTGGAATTTTCTTCGCAATTCCCAAGGCAGGTTCCGAAAAAAAGAACCGGTTCCCCTTGTTGAAGCATGGATGAGGTACCCAAAATCCAATGGTTCTTCATCATGCTCCCCATTCTTTCCTCTCCAAAAATTAGCAGATTGAAATTTCGACAAACCCATCTACCTCGGTTGCTGCTATATCCCATGAATATCCCCATGTTATCCCCATGGTATCCCCCATGAAACAGGGGCCCCACGAGGATCATAGTCCATATGATCGTCATCCTTCATCTAATAAGGATCGCATCCACATAGTATCCACAACATCTTTGACTAGTACAATACAACAAATAGTAAAATCCTCCCTCCCCCTTGTTTAGTGGTCGTAATTTACCATATCATTGTTATATCCCATTGGTGGTTAAATCGAAAAGAACAACCTCTGTGGTGACAATCCCAATTTATCTCCTAATAAATTAGAAGGCTGGTCTACGGGTGCTTAACCACCTGTTCCACGATAAATCCCCATGAATATTTCATTAAATCATATTAAATCCCTATTTCCATTGCGTAAATCCAAGCTTTGGCCATGGCACATACAGATATGTCAGATGAAAAAAAAAACCATCCATCAACTCTCAAAAAACAACAAACTCAATTTTTTCATATAATGGATTTCACCCATTTCAACCTCTACGATTTCCCAACTCCACTTTTCAACGGCGCAGCCGGCGCCACCTCGCCATCCCGCTCCGCCGCGGCCAGATCTTGGGCCAACTGCTTCGCTTGGAGGTAGAGCCGCGGCAGTGGCAGCACCGCGGTCTCGGGACGATCGAACTCCGGCAGCGCGTGGAAGAACTCCTCCGGATACCTCGGGACGAAAAAAAACCCGGTGATGTCCTCGGGCAAAATGGAGAAAGGTGGCAGTGTGTCAAAACCTTGTACCCCTGTAGTTCACATCAAAATAGCTGGGATTTATGGATGTTCATCCCCCTAAAAATGGTATTAATAGGTATTGATCCATACCCAGGTGATGATCAAAGTGGAGTTTAAACACTGGGAGTATTCTATTCATGGTTAAGATAACAGTTAATGATGAACGGTGATAGGGATTTCATCACAAGAAACCTTGGAGCTGAATGGCCGTGGTCATAGCTGTTTTTCATGGAGGAAATGATAGGAAGGATCATCATCCATGGAATTTTAGGGTAACCGGGGAAAAATTGTGATTTGAATGACTTAACCATCCAACGTGAGACTTGTTGATGGATTCACAGTAGTCGGAACCAAAAAAACATGGCATAATAATCTGATGGGGTATATCCTCCAAGACTAGCCTGAGAAAACAAGAAAAAACGTGAAAAACCATGCGATTGGGATTTACGATGTTTTCAGAGAAACCTCCTTGACAAAAATACTACGGATTGTTTTGTTCGAACTGGGGAATCACCACAAATAGTAAGGATCTTGGTCGGAGTTCAGCACAAAAAAAAGGATTAAACCCTCATGTTCCATCGTTGTTCCCATCATTGTTCCATCATGGTCCTTTCATTTTCCATCATTATCCTAGCATTTTCCCTCATGTTCCATCATGTTCCCAGCATTTTCCCTCATTTTCCCAGCATTTTCCCAGCATTTTCCCAGCATTTTCTATCGTTTTTCCATCATTTTCCAACCTTTTCCCCGCTCTCCGACCACCGCGCGAGGCACAAGCGCAGCACCACGCCTGCCATGGTCCGCCCCGCACGGCCGCTGCGCTGATGGGCCGAGGCTTTGCTGGTCCACTTCAGGGCCAAGTAGGTCATCTTCATCCGGTGATCGTAGACCTATGCGTTTTGAATGTTTGGTGGATATGAAAAAAATAAAGTTGATTGTTGTTTTTGTTTCGTTGTGATGTATGTAAATTATCAAGTGTGATTGATTATCAAAACTATGAGATATGTATGTATGTATATATATATATATATGTGTGTGTGTATGTATATGTATATGTATATGTATATGTATATGTATATGTATATGTACTGAATTTCCGGTAGAGAAATCCAAGTTCCATAGGTTAACGGTTGGATTTATGGTAGATTGCATGACAGCAGCTTGGGGAAAGAGGACCATCCTGTGAGTCCATTGTTGTTTTTTTCGGAAATTGTGGATGGTTGATGGCTATAACAATCAACTTTGAATATGCTAAGTATGTATGTATAATATATATATATATACTTACATGTGTATGTATATGTATATATATATATATATATGTATGTATATATAATTATATATATATATATGTTCATTGTCTTTATTATTCATGGTGTCTATATACGTCTGTGTATGTCTATATATTATATATACATATATGTGCAACACTATGAGACCCAGGACCCTATCTGTAAGCCTTGCAGGTTGCCAACCTACAGCCCGCATGTCAGATATAGCAAACAATTGGGGAACTCATCTGAAATCGTATGAAATAATGAGAAATCAGTGCGTATATGATAATAATAATAGTAAAAATAACCACAATCTATGAACAAACCAGGCTGTGTACTATAATTTGGAGGTGGTACCCCAATAGCTGAATGGTTTATAAGGTTTATAATGGAAACACGTATTTAAATGGATGATGTGGGAGTGCCCCATTTTAGGAAACCTTCATTTACTGGGATTTCATTGGATTTAAGAATCCAATCATCCCACTTGGTAAGTGGTTAGTAGCTCGGGCTGAATTATAACCCATTTATGAATGGGGTGATCCACGAAAACATGGACCGACTGTAGGTCGGCAACCTACAGGGCTTACACAGTGTCAAAGGGGAGGAGCTGGGACCGATTGTCTGCTATATTGGGGCTGTAGGTCGGCAACCTACAGGGCTTACACAGTGTCAAATGGGAGGAGCTGGGACCGATTGTCTGCTATATTGGGGCTGTAGGTCGGCAACCTACAGGGCTTGCTGGGAGGGCTATAGGTTGGCAACCTACAGGGCTTACACAGTGTCAAAGGGGGAGCTGGGACCGATTGTCTGCTATATTGGGGCTGTAGGTCGGCAACCTACAGGGCTTGCTGGGAGGGCTTTAGGTTGGCAACCTACCGGGCTTACACAGTGTCAAAGACCAATTGCCTGCCATATTGGGGCTGTAGGTCGGCAACCTCCAGGGCTTGCTGGGACCAATTGTCTGCTATATTGGGGCTATAGGTTGGCAAGCTACAGGGCTTACACAGTGTCAAAGGCTTAAAGGGGAGGAGCTGGGACCAATTGTCTGCTATATTGGGGCTGTAGGTCAGCAACCTACAGGGCTTGCTGGGACCGATTGTCTGCTATATTGGGGCTATAGGTTGGCAAGCTACAGGGCTTGCACAGTGTCAAAGGGGAGGAGCTGGGACCAGTTGTCTGCTATGTTAGGGCTGTAGGTCGGCAACCTACAGAGCTTGCTGGGAACGATTGTCTGCTATATTGGGGCTATAGGTTGGCAACCTACAGGCTTACACAGTGTCAAAGGGGAGGAGCTGGGACCAATTGTCTGCTATATTGGGGCTGTAGGTCGGCAACCTACAGGGCTTGCTGGGACCGACTGTCTGCTATATTGGGGCTATAGGTTGGCAAGCTACAGGGCTTACACAGTGTGAAAGGGGAGGAGCTGGGACCAATTGTCTGCTATATTGGGGCTGTAGGTCGGCAACCTACAGGGCTTGCTGGGACCGATTGTCTGCTATATTGGGGCGAAAGGTTGGCAACCTACAGGCTTACACAGTGTCAAAGGGGAGGAGCTTGGACCAATTGTCTGCTATATTGGAACTGTAGGTCGGCAACCTACAGCGCTTGCTGGGACCGATTGTCTGCTATATTGGGGCTATAGGTTGGCAAGCTACAGGGCTTGCTGGGACCAATTGTCTGCTATATTGGGGCTATAGGTTGGCAAGCTACAGGGCTTACACAGTGTCAAAGGGGAGGAGCTGGGACTAATTGTCTGCTATATTGGGGCTGTAGGTCGGCAACCTACAGGGCTTGCTGGGACCGATTGTCTGCTATATTGGGGCTATAGGTTGGCAACCTACAGGCTTAAACAGTGTCAAAGGGGAGGAGCTGGGACCAATTGTCTGCTATATTGGGACTGTAGGTCGGCAACCTACAGGGCTTGCTGGGACCGATTGTCTGCTATATTGGGGCCATAGGTTGGCAAGCTACAGGGCTTACACAGTGTCAAAGGAGAGGAGCTGGGACCAATTGTCTGCTATATTGGGGCTGTAGGTCGGCAACCTACAGGGCTTGCTGGGACCAATTGTCTGCCATATTGGGGCTATAGGTTGGCAAGCTACAGGGCTTACACAGTGTCAAAGGGGAGGAGCTGGCACCTAAGTGGGATGATTGAATCCCCTCGTTTTCTTCGTCCCCACATCCCCAGTAGCTGCCGTTTCTTCATCAAATCCCATCAATTTATGTCCCATCAACTTCTGTTTCTTTTTTTTCTTCAACAATATAACCCCAGTTGCTACAGTTTTTCAGTGTTTCTTCAAACATCATCCCAGCTGCAGCTTCCAAAGTCACCAGGATGATCCCCAGCCTCCCCTCTCGTCCCCTCGTCCCCTCCCACCTGCTGTTTGTTCATCCCCAGATCGATCACCGCGCAGACGTTGGGCAACGTCAGCGAGCTTTCGGCCACGTTGGAGGCCAACACGAAATGGCACACGCCAAGCTCCGGCGCCTGGAAGACGTGCTGTTGGTCCTTGGGGTGAAACAAACAGGCGGAACGGCAGTGTTGAAAACACGGGGAAAACCTGTGAATTTCTATGGGATTTCTATGGGATTTCTATGGGATTTATACGGGATTTATTGAGTTTCGATGGTATATTTACGAGAGGACTAAGTGGATCGAATGGCATTTCTACAGGATTCCCTTGCGGGATTTCATCAAGATTTATACGGGATTTAGGGGACCAACCGATGGGATGCATCTGAAAACCATCGTTGAAACCTTCCAGACGAACCTAAGCGAAATGGGGGGAAAACTCAGAGTTGTTGGTCCAAGAATCCTGGAAAAGTTGATAAATCCCATTAGAAGTAGGTGGATCTAAAGCTCTTGAGACTGTGAATGAAACGTATTATTTGATGAGAAGGAACATATAGGATGATCATCTGGGAAAACCCATAACCATCATAAACCAACCATCATCGGGTGCAAACCAAGAGAAAGTGCTGGAGAATTGTTGAAACTGTCAAAAATCCCAATCGAAAGCTGATTTTTTTTTTGTCTGAAAATTGGGCCAATGTAATTTTTACAATAAAAATTTGATTAGACCAGCCAAACTGTGGATTTCAACGATGAAATATCAACGGGTGCCGAGGAAAAGTGCTGTTTGTTGTTTCTCAGTATCCTCAGTTTGCAGGGGTCAGGGGTTCTGCGGGGTTGGTGGGTTTTGGAACATCAAAAGAAAAATATACACTGATTCCTTGAAGGAAAAGGTGACTATGTTTGTAACCCGCAATCAATCGTGTCATCCAAAAATTTGTCTCCAAAACGGGTAGACCCCTAGAAAAAACATCCCCGACATCCCAGGCTGCAAATGTAGGGTCAATAAGCAAGAAGTGTGGGATTAAAACTCATGAAGGATTAGATTTTCGCAGCCGAAAACTGTGGAACTGTCTGGGAGTCAAAGTGTAACAAATGAACCAACCAAAATGGAGAGATCTTAAGCATGATAGGGAGTTTATCAACCAATATCAACCACAACTTTTCTTGCTTAAATGCCGAGCGACTTTCAAGAAAGTGATTTTAAGCAACCGTAACCCCAAATCAGGTTTCCCGAAAAAGGAAGGGCAAAATATGTTCAAATTCCTAGGACACTGTTTTTTTCTCATGTCGTTCTCTGGAACCCGACGGTACTACTTACAACTGGCCAATGCGCATATTTTGGGAGAATGTTCCATTCAAACCTCCTAAAACCCTCCATTAATAGAAGATGGTCCTATTCAAATCTCCACGTTTTCTAGGTGAATTTCCAACCACTACCTTTCTTTGATCACCGGCTACCCGGATTTGGAACTTCGCCCAGCAACTTCCATGGGAATCTGCGAATGCATTGCAAAGACCTTGAACTTCATCTTGAAGGTCCTTCTGAAAGCGACTCTCCACAGGAAGCCATGGAAAAAGTTCAGATGTTGATACATATTCAATGATTCATTCATAGTCACAATTAATCACTGTAAAATCCCAATAGATCCCAATGAGATCATATTTCATGATCATTTTTCATCGTTTTCCATCCCATTTGAGTGGCTGCTACAGTAAACCCCTGGTTGATGGGTTGATGATTCGTTGGATGATTCCTGGGCCTTCAATATGAATTGGGGATGGAATGATCATCCCAAAAATAGGGGGAATCCCGTAGACTAAACCAACCAGTTTGACCAGTTTTTCATGGAATGATAGAGACATTGTTTGAACATCTCCTCTGGTAATGACTACAGTAACAGTTTGCTATGAAAGTATTAAAAAGCCTACTTAGTTCGAGACATCATTTTCCGAAAATGGTGATGTTCCAGTTCGCTATGTTGAATTACCAGAGGCTGGGTGATTTATATGAATCTACAGTACGTCTTTCACGCAATTTCATGATGTGAATATGGATCGGACATACCAAAGGACGCACTGATACACACTGAACTTCTCATTTATTGTAAATATCAACCCTTCCAGTCTCATCAGTTCCATGGTTTGCTGGAAAATCCATCCAACCTTACCCCATCCCAACCCCATAGTGTTCAAACTTCATCAGTCCCATGAGCAGTTTGTCATTCCTGTTTGCACATCTGTCTTAAGGTAACAGGTATGGTTTAAATGTGGTTTTGCTGGGTCACCAAGCTATGCCAAGATTATAGCATATTAGGACCATGTAAAAATGATGATTCCAGTTCTGAGGGGTTGGGGGATGGTCTGGGTTTCACCATATCTTTGCTGAAATCCTTAGTAAATCACCCAGAAACTATGAACAAACGTCTATTGATATCCTGGCTAAGGGATCAAGAAAAAAACAAATAAGGATCAAAAAAAAACAAAATCGAGGGATCAAAAAAAAACAAATAAGGATCAAAAAAAAACAAATAAGGACGATCGTAGTGAAAATCGTCCAGAAACTGCGGAAAGGGAGGATCAAAAAAAAAACAACTGGGAATACATATGAATAAAAACGAAAGAGAGTAGGTAGCAAGGGAAGTCGATTAAAAAATAAAAGCGGGTGGGGGGGTGCAGGGGGGAGGGCGCAGCGCCTTCCCCCGCAATGCGTACCAAGAAAGAAGCACACAGGCTCAAGTCTCGATGGATATAAATAAAGATTAAGAAAGAGAAGATGAACCCAAAGAAACGATGCCTATGAAAAAAATGAAAGAGAGTAGGTAGCAAGGGAAGTCAATTAAGAAATAAAAGCGGGTGGGGGTGCAGGGGGGAGGGCGCAGCGCCTCCCCCCGCAATGCGTACCAAGAAAGAAGTACATAGGCGCAAATCTCGATGGATATCAATCAAGATAAAATGAACCCAAATAACCGGTGATGCTTATGAAAAACAAAAAGAATAGTAGGTAGCAAGGGGAACCGATTAAAAAAAAAGCGGGTGGGGGGGTGCAGGGGGGAGGGCGCAGCGCCTCCCCCCGCAATGCGTACCAAGAAAGAAGTACATAGGCACAAGTCGCGATGGATATCAATCAAGATTAAATGAACCCAAATAAACAACGATGATGCTTGTGAAAAAAAGAATAGTAGGTAGCAAGGGGAGCCGGCTAAAAAATAAAAGCGGGTGGGGGGGTCAAGAGAAGGAAGCTTTCCTTTCATTTTTCAAGAGAAGGTTACTTCTTTCTTTCTTTCTTTCTTTCTCTTTCTTTCTTTCTTTCTTTCTTTCCTTTCCTGATTTTGTTTTTTTTTTGATCCATGGGTTTTGCCTTCATTTCGTGATAGTTTCCTTGTGTTTTCTCATGTTTTCTGGATTTTGTTTTTTTTTGATCCCTATTTGTTTTTTTTTTGATCCTTATTTGTTTTTTTTGATCCTTATTTGTTTTTTTTTTGATCCCTCTCCCTGATGACCATATCTTTGCTGAAATCCTTAGTAAATCACCCAGAAACTATGAACAAACGTCTATTGATATCCTAGTGTTCAGGGTTCACCACCCTTCGTTGATGCTTCTAGTGATATCCCCCATTTCAAACATGACTTGGCGCCAAATCGCCCATTCAGTTCGATGAGGATGTGAAAAATTGCTGTATATCTGACATATAATCATTACCAGGGGTAATTTGCATTATTAACCATTGTTCACCATTGTTATTGACTATTAGCCATTGTTAAGTTGTTAAGAATCCTATTTATTAACCATTGCAATTATTAACCATTACTAATCTATTGTTAATCCACTATTAGCCATTAATCACAGTGAATCACCATTAGATAACCATGATTCACCACTTCTTAAACATATACTAACCATATATTAACCACATATTAACCACATATTCACCATATATTAACCTAAGGAATCTGTTGCTTCAAGTCCCCTCGGCTCAACGCTGTCGTTCCCCATGTTTTTTTCGTGCCTCGGCGCGCCCATCTCATCCTCGGAACTGGCGGTGCCATCCTGGGCCTGAAGAAGCTGCTGACACTCGTCGAAGAGGTTGGTGATTTCCTGGCGTCAACGGAAATATATGGATTTTATGGGATTCAATGGGATTTAATGGTATTTTAATGAGATTTTAATGGGATATATGATGGTTACCCGGCCTGGTAAACGTTTACATAACGAACTGGAAAGAAATCCACCCATGCTATTTCTATGGGAAAAAACTTGCTAAATTTCTATTCGGTGATTTTCCAGTTCGCTTTTTGTATGTTTACCAGAGGGTACATTCCACCAGATTTCGATGGGGACCCATGAAAATTCCAAGCAAAGAACCCCTGGTGATCGAAGTGGCATGGGACGTCCCCGATTTCGGGGTTTTGTTTCATGTCTTGGATATGTGGGTCATATATGGTTAAGGGATATATATATATATGTTAATAGATATATGGGCTATATATGTTGAAATATTATGATGATTATGGGATATATATATATATAATAGATATATGTGTTATCTATGGGTTATCTGTGGCTTAAGTGATATAGCCCCAGTTGTATATATGGCTTTATATAGCGGCTATATTAATGGTTATATGATGAAAAAAAGTGGGTTCAGTGAAAAAGCCTCAGTTTTATATGGCTTATATCCCCACTGAAGGATGAAATATGGCTTAGATTAATGGAAAATTCATACACCACCCATCCGATGCGTAGGATGCACCAGTGGAAAAGGACTTTCAGGCTGTGCAGTTGAGGGGCAGCCTTTACCATCGTTCATAGCCTCTGGTAATTTGTGACATAGCTATTGAAAATGCCAAGTTTTAATGGGAAAATCAACTATGTCTATGGCCATTTTCAATGGCTATGTCACAAATTACCAGAGGGTACATCATATTGGCAGATTCATTCGATACGGAGGCTTCCTAAGTCATGCGGGTACACCCAAATTCATCCAAATCATTGGTTATAATCAATGAGAAAACCTATGGCTTGGTTTATGTTTATTTATATGTCACAGTAACTGTGGATGATTAAGAATTCCTGCACCAGCAATTTGGGATGGTTGAAAGTTGAAAGGCGAAAACAATCATTTTGGCTGTGAACGGTGCAGTAACATTTCCCACCGTTTTCAACAACGGTGTAGGACTTCCCAACCATCAACAGATGTGCAGGAACTGAGGTGAGGAAAATGCCTGGAACTTTCTGGAAATCTCCAGCCACCTCCATGGGATCGATCTGTGGGGTATATATATATAGGGTATATGTAACCTGCACAACTATGGTGATTTTCTATGTGATTATGATGATATATATCTCCGCTGAAAAAAGTGATGTTGGGATCTGGGTCCCTATACTATTACGGGGCCCCACAGTTGTGTTTGTTGGTTTATAAACCCTTTTCTTAGCTCCATGAACTAGTTCGTTATATCTACCATAAACCATTGAATTCAGCCACAAAAATGTTCACCAACGGTTCACAAAAATTTCGACTGGGGGCCCCATCCGAGAATATACTTTGGTGAAGTCGATCCACTGGATTTTTTTATCGTTTCCAAGTGGAGAAGCTCTCCAACATTGCCATGGTAATAAGCGGAAGTGGATCTAAAATGATTTTTGACTACGGTGGATTCCTGGATAGTAATGGAGATCTTACTGGATACAATGGTTTAGAATTATATACATATCATTGGGATGACAAGACTCTATATCCAAAATTGGATGATAGCAGGATCATTCTATTGGATATATATATACACATATATGTATATACCATCTGGTTATTTAACATAGCCATGGAAAATCACCATTTTTAAAAACGGTAAACCATCTATTTCTATGGGCCATGGCTTAATCCCATGGCGAACTGTAACAGTCATAACCAGGTTGGGTAATCACAGATTTTTCTGCTACAAATTGATCAGATCCCCTACAAAGCCCCAAAAGGGGAAAGATGTTTCTTGGTTTACCCAACTGCCCATCCAACTGTAGATGTATCCGATACATCCCGCAGCAAAGCCATCGCAGATGTTTTCCACACTTTTCCATGTGGAGTTCAGCGAAAAAAAAAACGGTCACCACAAATAGGCAGAAATCACCAAGAAAGTGACCGGTTTATCCGCAGAAAAATGGGAATGCAATCAATAAATGCGAGTTTTCCTCATGTTTGTAGTGATGATGGGGAGATCAATCGCAAAATTGAGATCTCAACAAACAAAGCAATGACGAAGAGAAACAAAGCCAACCAACAGCTTTGAGAATGGAAATATCCTGTCAACACTAATCATGGTGAGGGATGGATGATGGGATGTTATCATCGATATTTCTCCAATGTTTTGCAAAAACACAACACATTTAACATCCTACACCTTTAAACTTTTGGACTTGGGTGTTTGGAAACTTTTGCACTTGAAGTCCAAACTATCTGTTAGATGTTTGGCAAAACAGGGGTTGGTAACTGTCCCATTTTGGGCATATTGGACATCACCTTATAATAGCCATTATAGACCATATAATTACCTAATGGTTGGGTGATGTTCAATGGGGACATTTAATGACCCATGCAAAAAGAAAAAAAAGCGGGATGAAATCAATAGTCCAAGCTGAAAGTTCCTGTGGATCAAACTACTAGTTTGGGGTCGACCTTCAGCGGAAGTCCGTCACCTTAATAACATGTATAACCCAGTTGCATAGCAATAATACATATATATAGATAGTGTGTGATGAGTCTCATAAATATGTCTATATATACAAATATCACTATGATAAATGTATATTATGCATATGTAAATATATGTATATATATATATCAATATATATATATATATATCTTTACGTATATATGTATAATAGATAGGTATATATATATATATATACACTGTATACTATGAATTTATCAGATTGATTTATCAGATCCCGCAGCCCACACTTATCACACTTCAACCTCCCAGCCGATCCATTTTTTCGGTGTCCTGAAGCCCAGGCAGGAAGACTAAGATCGTACAGCCGGAGGTGGCCAAACAGGCCAGGAGATCGAGGATCAACGGTCTCGGCCATTGGAGCCACGAAAGAAGCGTTGCTTGGTACGACTGTCAGGTAGAAATTACCATGGATAGAAATGGTTTGTAGAGAATGTGAATGTGTATACATATATATATATACATATATATATATGTATATACATATGTGTGTATGTATATATATATATGTATATATATATGTATATATATATGTGTATATATATATATATGTATATGTGTATATATATATATATGTATATATATGTGTATATATATATATGTATATATATATGTATATGTGTATATATATATATACACATATGTATATGTTTTTTTCTTAATGGCAACCCGACAACCCCCACTAAAAAGTGTTGACTCTGCTATGAGTTGGGGGTTGGAAGGTTACTTATAGCCTAGGGACGGGGAGTCTTCACGGTCTATGTTGGACATAGGTGGTAAACCCACTGCAACCTCCAACTGTGGATCCAAAATCCCATGGCTTATCATGGTTTTTCCCTATGTCAAGTGGCCATGACTGGGGCTATACGAAGCATTTTCAGACGCACCCATACAGTTATGGTTGGTTACATAAATATACATATATATATATATCCCAGAATATTCCCATGAAATCTCAAAAATGGTGTGGTTGAAAAATGCGAATGGTTTGCGATTCGCTTTCCCACCCAGCATTCCCAGAATATGGCATAGACTTCCATTGGCAAGTCATGTAAGCGGTAAAAATCTCATGTTCAGCTGCAAAAAGTTGAGAATCTTGAGTTTCGGGAGTTGAACTACCCTCTGGTAAACTAACATATAACTATGAAAAATCACCCATTTTAATGGGTAAATCCACTATAAATGGCCATTTTCAATAGCTTTTTGTATGTCTACCAGAGGGTAGTTGAAGCTTCACAAAAAAAAGCTGACTGGTTGCTGTTTTCACCGCTCCAAACCACCCACCCGCCATGTCACGCACATTGGGTGGCATGATCCGTCAACGCCTGGCGCGCGACGCCAACAGTGGAATTACCCCAGCTTTTCACGAACGCTGAACCCCGAATCTGTAGAACATGACTGGTTGGTGGTTTTAACCATCTTGAAAAAATATGTGTGTTCGTCAATGGGAAGGATGACATCCCATTATCCCTTTGTTTATGATAGAAAATAATCCAAATGTTTGAAACCACCAACCAGATGAAGCTGTTAAATCTTGAAAAAAACACCCCAGCATCGTCGAAAAGCCAAAATCACTGGAATCACTAGGCTTGACCCGTCTCACCTCTGGTTCTTGAGAAGTTTGCAAATCCTGAAAAAATGGAAAAATGAAATCAAATTCCAGAAAAGTTGTGACCTTTCTTTTTGGGCGTTGCTAGAGTTGGCGGTTTCCATATTTCTTGAACAATATTGGTCATGAGTCATTGGGGTGCCAGTCATCCAATTTGTGACCCGTTGACATAAACGACAGAACCACAATAACCGTCGACGCTCGGGATCTGGTCAAGCCCATTTTTGTCCGCTACCCGGCCTGGTAAACTCACAGAAAGCTATGGAAAGATCCACCCATTTTTAATGGGAAAACTCACTATTTCTATGGCCATTGTATCCATTTTCAATAGCTATTTTGACATCACCAGAGGGTAAGCAAACATGGCTGGCTGGGAAATCCCCGTGGGCATGGAGGTCTACAGCTTGGGAAAATCATCGGTCACATTTCAGCTGGGTAATTCTCCGCCATGTTTGATGACCGGAGGGTAGGTTACCCGGCCTGGTAAACATACAAAAAACGATGGAAAATCACCATGCTATGAATGGGTAGTCATCAACCATTTTTCGAAAAATCCTCTCCAATTTGAACCTCGAATGGCGCTTTCCATGAACACACATGTCTCAATAACCTAGAAAGTTTTTCCTGACTACATGTTGGCGGGTCTCAGGGCAGAAGGATTCTACCACCAACCAGCAGTGGTTAAATGCAAGATCTCCTTTTTTAATGGGGAAAATTCTGCTAACGTCGTGCCAACCTTGAGCTGACTTTGGGGCTAAATCATTTTGACATCCCTTGACATCCCTTGACTACCCGGCCTGGTAAACATACAGTTAAAGCTATTGAAAATGGTCATAGAAATAGTTGATTTACCCATAAAAAATGGTGATTTTCCACAGTTTTTTGTAAACGTTTACCAGGCCGGGTATGTCTTTGGATGCGTCGATCATCAACCGATCATTGGGTGTGGGTCCCTGGTACCGTGGTGAACAGAAAAACATTCGTCGGCAGACGTTCACCCCCCGAATCCAGTCGGCAAAGGTTCTGATCGACCCACTTTCCCTCTGGTAAACGTTTACATAACTATAGAAAATCCACCCATTTTTAACGGGAAAATCCACTATTTCTATGACCATTTTCAATAGCTTTTTGTATGTTTACCAGGCCGGGTTGTTCTTCTTTTTGTTGAAGTGTTCAAAACCCAAAATGTCGTCTCCGACCAAACACTGTGGCTGGTGGAGAACTGTATTCTGATGTGTGAGTTCACTATCCCCAAAGCAACGGATGGGACCCCCTGTCATATCTGTAGTAATACACCAATCAACGAGGGATAAAAAACGATGAAAAACCTGAGTTGTAGGGTATGATGTTCATCATGCTATGGTCTTCACCAGGATAAGAGACGGTTGAACCCATGCCCTCCGGCATACAATCAACCTTGGCAAGCTGGGGGATCTCCAACAAAAACGGAGGTTTCACGGGAAAATCATCTATGAATTCGTGTTTTCCATAGGCCCTTGAAAGAAAATGTCCGTGCAAAACACCCACCGGGCCGATTCCCGGAATTCCCGACCATTCCCGGCCTGCGCCTTCTTTTGCCCCATACCCTGGTCCTGCGGTTGAGTTTCTCTACATCCCAAATCAGGGTACATCCAATAATAGTAATAATCATCATCATAAAAATAGTAATAATAATAATAGTGCTTAAAACAATGCCATAAACCACCCCATTTGGGAATGGTAACCATATCACCTTTCTAAAAATGGGTGGATTTTCCTGGAGGGATGGTGCGTTTATGGCATCGTTTTAAGCACAAAATCCCCCAATTGCGGATTGTGAAGTACATGTTATCATGGGGTTTACCTAAATTTTGCTGACAACATGCTTGGTATATATATATATATATGTTGGCTGGAACTGTACGCAAACCAACCGATTGGGACACCCCCGTGTCTGTTGATCAAATCCATTTGAGTTCCGATTGGTTTCAAGAAAAGTGAATCACCATGTCATCCATGTCTAGAGTTGTAAAAACCATGTCTAGAGTTGCATTTCTTCACCATTTTTCATGGCTACCTCACTTTCGTCCAGAAGACCATGCCCTGCCCCTTTTTCGAAACGCAAACGGATTTGACATCCAATGGCATAGACCACCGGCCAGTGGTGGAAAATCAGCGAATCTCAGTTACCCTCTGGTTATGACTAACATAGCGAACTGGACAATCCATTTTAAATGGAGGTTTCTAGCTGGGAAAATGATCTGTAAATGGGCCATTTTCCAGTTTGCTATGTCACAAATAACCAGAGGGTAACCCTCAACCACGACATCACACCATCGAAAAAAAAAAAAAAACTGATAGAAACTTAGGATTTTTGCCCAATTTTGGTTAATCCCCGTGGCTGATGCTTCCATGACATCGATTCTCCATTGTTCTCCCCAATTTTTATGCCTCCAATTTCTGTTGATTTGAATCCGCTGGAATCCTCGCGTTTTTACTACGTCATGACCATTCCCTATTGCTACATTGTTACATATCCCCAAATTCTTCACGGTAAATTCCATATTGATTGATGATTAAGTGATTCTTTGTCCCCTTTTTTGTATCAAGAGGAATAGTCCCCTATTCAATATGCTGGTCCCAAAGAATATCTCAAGAACCACCAGTGCTTCCCATTTCACACCATTGGTCCCTATGAATCCATGGCCACATCATACCCTACGTCGTGCCAGAAGCTACTTGGGTCCATAGGATAGATGTAACATACCTGGGTGCGAAATCCGCAGGGGAACTATTGGGATTCCTATGAAACACTGTAAATAATGGGATTATAACGGCAAAAACCATCTACCAACTGGTGCAGGATCATTCACAGTATGAATGTATGTGTATATATAATATATTAGTACATGTGTTTTGTGTATCACACCATCTCATATATACATACATATATATATATATAATTACATACATACATAGTGCGTTGTACCATCTTTCTTTTGTATACATGTTACTTGTTGTGTCTTGTATTACACTTTATTGGTGCTTAAACACTGATTCTATATGATTTTTGGTGATTTCGTGAGCCAACTTTTTCAACCACCGAAATGGAGAAATTGGGATCTTCGTCTCCTTGAACTTCTGCAAGAGCCGCGTCACGAGGGCTGAAGACTGAGGACTTAAGCCCTGGAAAATCCCGGGGGAAATTTTCACGACTTGGGAAGTCATAGGAACGAAAATGGGGAAATTTTGGTGGCATCCCATGCAAAACGAAAAGGGAGGATTATGATGGGATTATGGGCAAATGATGAAGAGAAAACAATGGAAGAACAAAAGAAACATCTGGGAGATGGGATTTAAATTGGACATAAAATCGGAAAAAATGATGGGATATCATTGGAAAAAATGCAAAGAATTGGATAGGTGGAAAAAAAAAGGGGGGTATCATGGGAAACTAACAGGAATCGGAATATCAAAGGAAAACCATGGGATATCATGAGAGAATTATAATCGGAAAGTCCTGAAAAATAAGGCCGGCATCATTGAAACATCATAGGATATATATATATATATATATGGATATGATAAGATATACCTGCCAATATGATACAATCGATTTGGTTTGGCCGAAAATTGTGGATTTACTCCAAAATATTGCTGTTGAATTTCGTAACTACACCTATATCAAAAACCCTGAAAGAGAGGCTTGGATGGTGATTTCCATATTCCAGGCAAGAAAGGGACGGACTATACAAAGCTAAGAATCACAGCAAGATATCCAATGGACCATACCCTGAACTTGGAATGAATTTGTGTTCTTCCCACCACGCATGCAAATCAGCTACATTATACAGAACAAAATAGTCCAGAAGCGAAGGATTTGCACAAAACACCCATATCTAAACTACCAACATCTGTTAAATTCTCAAATGTGTTGGTTTGAAGGGTATTCGAAAACAATTATTCTCACATGCCCAAAACCGGTAAAACACGTTCGCTGCAACCCTGACGTTGCGCCGCGTCTGACTTCAGGTCGCTATGAAGATAAAGTTGATGTTATTACCCCAATCAACATATTGTTTACAGGGGGTGGCGATTTTTGATCCGTTATTAAGATAAAGTTGATGTTATTACCCGAGTCAACATATTGTTCATACACGGTGGCGAATTTTGATCCCTCCTCATGGAGATATAGTTGATGTTTTCACCCCAGTCAACATATTGTTCAGAGGGGGTGGCGAATTTTGACCCCTCATGGAGATATAGTTGATGTTGTTACCCCAGTCAACATATTGTTCAGAGGGGCTGGCGAATTCTAATGTGATGATGATCACGATGATCATCATCATCATCATCATCATCATCATCATCATGACGATTGTAAGTGTGGAGCAACGTCCGGGTTGGGGCGAACACGTTTCACATCCAGCGGCTCTGCACATCTGTGAATTCGACACAAAACAGAGCTTCAGATTGCTTTTTTTGAGGGTCTTTTTTCAGCATGCATCAACATTTTCGTGGTTATTTAATCCAAAGTTAGATAAGTTTAGCTCTCTACCCTCTGGTAATTTAACATAGCGATTGAAAATGGCCATTTATAGTGGGTTTATCCATTAAGTATGGTGATTTTCCATAGTTACGTTAGTTTACCAGAGGGTAAGTTTTAAAGTTGAGATACTGCCCCAACAGCCATGAAAAAAACGTTTCCCAACAGTCATCCCATGATTTTGGTGCCTCCTTGCAGTAGTCCTTGATGTTGTCCAGGAAGACTTTTTGCACCTGCACGGTCCGGTGCCGTTCAGTTCTAAAAACCTCAAGTTCCCCATGATTTCATGGCCATTTGATGATTGAAGATATTAGAATGGCGGCCCCCCCGATTTTTTGAGACGGAGCCATATTTTTGAGACCCCAGTAGATTGAAAAATGGAAATCATGGGTTTAGGGTTTCATGGACCATTGTCCCATGGTTGATAGTAGGTACGGTATATTCATGAAACCCAAAACCCACGATATCCAGTTACTTACGCTTGCTTCTGGTTTATGCTTAATAGTAGGTATGTTCATGACTGGCCAGAGGTAGCTATTCGATCAAGCCTGACGCAACCACCCTGCTTCAACCAGTGACATTTGTCAAAAGCCTTGGAACAGCTGGGGAACCAAGGTGGGGCCCCCTAGTTTTAATAAGTTGGATGATGTAGCCCTATCTACCCTCTGGTAATTTAACATAGCTATGGAAAGATCCACCCATTTTCAATGGGAAAATCCACTATAAATGGTCATGTTCAATAGCTATTTTGACATAACCAGAGGGTAACTTTTGTTATCACATGTAATCACCATACATTATCATCTATCCTACTCGGCCATAAATCAACTTCGCCGAGCCGAGTTGCTCCGAACAAATGCTGGACCAAGCAGATGTATAAGCAAGAGATGTAGGCTAGCGTTTATGATGCAAAAGTTAAGTGGGATTTATGGTACAACGATTGGATTTTTGGTAGATATATCTGCAGTACACCTAGCGGGGCTATCCGGGGCTTTTCCTTACCAACTTAGAACTGACATACCTAGCAAAGGAATCTGAAAAAGTACCGAAAATCATGCATCATCCTAGCAATATGGTATCATATGGGACCCCACAACCCACCCATTTCGGTGACACCCAAAACATAATTTGACTTGGTGATTTGCTGCCAGAAACATGGTCGTTGGGGGTTGGCTGAAGAGATTCGCTGGGATCACCTGAGAGATGGCTGCCATGTTGCCATTCTATTGCCGAAGGAACGGATCCACCTAGCCTTCACCAGTCAGTTTACCACTCATGGATTTCTATCATCAGTGGTAGTTGCTCAAGCTTCAGAAGCTTTGGGGCTCTCTATCTGTGTGTTTCTTGACAGTCTCGGGGTACCCCCAAGTCATGCAAGCAGCCCCAAACCATGGTGGAAACCCCAGCAATCACCAAGGATTCGGATGTCAGGGTCCCAAAAAAAAAACAAAACGTTGGAACAAAGAAATATAAAGAAATGCTTACTGTATCCCATCAACCATCAACCATCACGTTGGGCATGATTTCCCCTTGTTTGTGAATTCCCATCCATAACTAACTCATCAGGAAATAGAAAAATTATTCACCATTAACATCCATGAAAACCATCATTTTGGCGATGGTAATAAGACTTTTTAACATCATTAACCATCATTAACATCCATGAAAACCAGCATTTTAACATCCATTATTCCCCAAATTTACCTAAGACTTCGAGATGATTCCCCACGTATCGGCAGTTGTTCAGGATCTCCACATTGATCAAACTCACTGGGCTTTTTGCAGGGCCATGTTCAAAAACGCGCCTGTCGACCGCTACCCAAACTCATGTATATCAAAATTGGCAATATATATATATATATTATATCATATCATATATACATATATATACATATACATATATATATATTATCTATATTGTCTATATATATATATATACATATACTGACCATGACAAATTTTCCAGATGCTGTCATGATCCCATGAGATTCCCGATCAACGACGTCGCTACCGGTTTCCGGGCACGGCCTCGAAGCATTTTCCACCCACCGCAACCAGTGGCACCTGCGAGGATTGACCCAGGTGGGCGTTGGCGGCTATCAACTATCGTACAATATACATATGTATATATATATATATATATAGTATGTATATATGCATATATGTATATGTATGTGGAAATATATATATACATACATAGTGTGTTGTATAATAGTCTCTAAATATACAGCTAACAAGACTGGATGATGTTAGTGAACTGCAGATTTAATTATATACACATGTACACAACAAATGTACGATTCCGTAATCTGAAAAAACCTGGTGATAGTGAGAGATAGCCTAGTCTCATACATCGAACAAAACAATCACCACAATCTCTTGATGTAATGAAACAACAATCACCACAATCTCTAAGTATCAATGAATTGAGTATTTTTCGGGGAACGTCTCCGGGCAGCTGGAAAATCCTGGTCAACTGCTATGGAAACACCATTTGCACATGATGATCCAGGATCAGAGGAATTCCATGTTGCTGTCTGAAGATTCCGAAGTTGCCGAAAGGCGAAAAACCATGTAGTAAAGTATCTAATATCATGTAAAATATGTAAAATATATTAAAAACATATTTGTTTAACAAAAAAAGCTTGTCTAACCATCCAAAATCATCCAAGACCGTCTCCAAACCCTCCCATATGGCGCGTTGTCTGAAAATCATGCATCACTACAGTCCTAAATCAACCGGTCAATCATCACGTTCCTTTTCTGCAGAAACTGCAACAAAACTGCCCACAACTGGAGGGCCATATTTTTTCAAATCGACAGCTTGTCATCCCAAACTTTCGCCTCGTGAAATTCCCAAATTTCACCTTTTTCCCTATGCTTAGATCAGGTGAAATTCCAGCATGGCTTTCCCTATGAAATAGCCTAAATAGCCCATAAAAAAAACAGCCCATTGATCCGAAAAACTTCAGATCCTTGGTGTTTTTATCAGCCCAGCGCCTCTGTTCCATCCTTTAGCTCATGAAAATAGACCCGGAAGAGATCTGCCTGGCCAAATAAGGGGGGAAAATCGACATAACCCGAAATTTTACAGGAAAAAAAGTTGGATTCACAATGATCAGGGTTGCTCCAAAGACCGCAGGTACGTTTGGGGGCTAAATTGGTTAAAAGAAAGAGGCAACATGACGAAAAAAGACCCCCAATCGTGGCTATCATTGGAGCAACCCTGATGATTAACCTGATTTCACCATCAGGATTCCGGAATTTGACGCAACAAAAATCATGGAAAAGTGATGGAAAACTGTTTTAGACCTGTAGATGTCATATAATGTTATGACATCTTTTGTGTTGAAGCAATTTGGGGATAGTTGTCATTGCTAGTTCTCACCGTGCTTGGTGTGATTCCACTATTCTGTGAGAAATTCACACACTTTGGGACGCTCCCCGTAAGTTGCTGATTGCGTGCCGTTATCGCTTGCAGTACCCTCTGGTAAACTAACATTGCCATGGAGGCCATGGACCATTGAAAAGTGATTTACCTCAAAAATGGCTAGGTTTTCGCAAACTTTTGGGTTACCAGAGGCTCTGAACGCCACACAAAAAGGGATGGAAAGGATGAAGCCGGTGCCAATCTTGAGGAATTCTTGGTGGGTATAGGTTGAGATCCCAAAAATGGTTGTAGCAAGATTCATGAAGTGGATATGGATTACCCTCTGGTAAATTAACATGTTGACCCTGAAAATATCCCATTTTTAATGGAAACTCATCTTCCAACCCCGACAACTGGCAGGGTCTATGTTAATTTTACTGGAGGGTAATATGAGGTGTTATACCACCCATAAATTATAGAACCCGCATAGACAGTAAATACCACATGGTATTACCACCACATTTATCCCAACACATTTTTAGGTGGTATATGTTATACTATAAATTATACCACCCAAAAATGTGTTGGGATAAATCACAGCCCTGAAGAGCCGTTCTTTTTCCGCTGCAATGCCTGAAAAATCTGTGGAATCCCTGTGCTCAGTGTACGAACTTGGGTAAGGAAAAAGACAGAATCACTCATGTCCCCTATGGTGGCTATCATTTACCTATAATAGCTCAAATCTGTATACAGGAAGGTTCTTAAGTGTGTAGTGGGAGCCTATCAATACTTGTATATATATACATATATATAATGTGTATATATATAATATCTGTGTATAAATATATATATACATTAATATCTATATCTATCTATGGTTGACTTATCAATACTTTTCCGGAAAGGTTAGCCGGTTCATTCTGATATTTGAGAAAATTCAAGAATATTGAATCTAGTAGTATCATATCCCCATTTTCCGTGGCTACCTCCTGTACATCAACATAGATGTGGAACACACACACACACCATTTGTAGTTAGATAATGTTCCGCACGGTTAACCATTGGTTTCCAGGCCTTCTATAGTATAGGGTAAGCCCACATGTGTGGGTCAAAACAAACAAATGGTTCAAAATTAGATATCCCTAACGTTGGTTGCTGAAGCTCCTAAAAATAAACAATGGCAATGGAAAATCCTCCATTTCGTTCCATGATTTTGCCAGCTATAAACGTCCAATAAGGGAGGTTCCCAGCTTGCCACGTTTGCAAAACCCGGAGGGTGTATAGTCCCATCATAGTCCCATTATATTCACATTCAATCCCCCTTGAAATTCCCATAATAAATCCCATGAAATTCCATTATTATTGCTTAGTTCCATTAATCACCATTAATCACCATTAATCAACCAATCAACCATTAATCACCGGTAATCAACCATTAATCACCATGAATCAACCATTAATCACCAGTAATCAACCATTAATCACCAGTAATCAACCATTAATCAACCATTCCCAAGATCCATCACCAGGCCTGAAGTGTTGCCGACATGATGACGAGTTTAACCTGGCTCTGTGATGTGAGCCATTTCACCCAAGGGTTCACCATTTTACAAAGGGATTGACTGGAACCAATGATCCGCAAGTGGTTTTAGGTAGCTGGTTATGATTAGTAGCTGATTGTGATTAGTCACTGGTTATAGCAACTGGTTTTGCTAACTGTTGTTTTGTGTTGCTATGTTGTAATCCAGTGGTTTTCGTGGGTACTTTCTCCAACCCTTTGGAGATCCAACCGTCCCAACCTTAAAATAGCGGAAGCCATGGCAGAATTTGGGACCGACAAGGATGAACCGAAGTTGAACATGGTGGATTTTCGACTACCCTCTGGTAAACTAACATAGCTATGGAAAATCACCATTTTCAATGGGAAAATCCACTATAAATCACCATTTTCAATAGCTATGTTAAATTACCAGAGGATACCTGAAATAACCCACTGCAAAAAACCCAGATGGCAAAAAAAAACCACTGCCATTTTGGGGTGATGATGGCTCATCCCAAACATGATGCATGGATGTTTTCGCTCAGACCGGGGAAAATGCCGTTGAAAAAAAAATAAGCCCAGAACCATGCAGGGGTCACACAACAAGCAAGAATAGCGATTTAATTGAGATGTGCATGGGATTTCATCATATTTCATCGGGATATCATGGGATATATAACCAACTATAGCAAAGTTGTGGTCGACCCACAAAAATATCATTTGGGGATTTCATGAAGCCCTTGAAATGGCAATTTTCCCTGGGAATTTCCACATCTTTGGACAAACCATCCCAAACACGCTGGCAATATGACCTACAAACAGTGGTTTTTTCAAATTGAATTCTTACCTTTAATGGATACCCTCTGGTTATGACTAACATAGCCATGGGATTTCGATGGCCCATAGAAATAGATGGTTTACCGAACTTAATAGCATGGTGATTTTCCATGGCTATGTTAGTCATAACCAGAGGGTACCTATAATTGATTCCAGTATACAAAGAAAACATCTGATCCGGTCAGCATGGCTATCGATGAAATTCCCATTTCTGGCTGCCCATAGTTCGGGGATGTCCCATGGTGGACACGTAACGCAGGACGGCACCAAGTCACATTCGGAAAACGATGGAGCAACAGTCGTGTGACCAGACTCAAGAAATCCGCGTCCGCTGACCTTTCATGGATCTCGTCAAAGACCTAGCTGTCGAGGCCACGGTCGGAGGGACAACTTGGGGGAAACTTGGCCCGGTGAAAGGTTCCGACAGTAGAGGCCCTGAAAAAAATGATTTTTTTAACAGGTTTCTGGGGGATTCTTAGTGCTCACGGCGAAGATCTTAAAAGTTGGTACTGGTAGGCCTTCAGGTCTAGGGGTACACCACACCATGGTTGTACCTCCTTTTGACCATGGTTGACGTACACAATGTCTCAGCTTCTACGCAAATATCGCACAAATCACCCCAAGCAATGCAAAGCCCTTGAAAAACGCTCTTCAATGGTTTTGAGCTCTATGATTTGCTGGGCTTTTTCCCGACACCATGGAAGGATTCTAAGTGATCAGTGGCAGAAGTGGGAAGGCTGGATATATGACAAATGACTGAAATCTCTTGACAAACATAGTTTTGTGATGTTTTGTTGGTATATGTTCTCCTTCCCGCATCGCCCTTAAAAAGGCTTGGTTTGAACATGTTTCAACCAGCAACCCATCGACCCATCGATGTTTCCACAGGAGCCACCCTTCCCAGGCAGGTGCACCTCTGGTCCTTTTCGTTAAAAAGCCCAAAATGTTTGGAAATCTTTGGAAGTCTACCCTCTGGTTATGACTAACAGTTTGCCATGGAAAATCACCATGCTATTAAGTCTGGTAGACCATCTATTTCTATGGGCCATCTATACCATGGCTATGTTAAATAACCAGAGGGTAAACATGTTTTAAAAAAAATGGGCTCCCCGAAATTCGAAGAATTGCTTATGACGAAGAAGTAATGACTATGGTTAGTCATGGTTACTAGTTGCGATCGATGGCCAGACCTGGCCACCAAAAATTCCCGCCATCTGAAAATGGGGTGCCCGATTCCACTGGTTTTCCTCATCATGATCCCTAGTAAAAAAAACAAACAAACATGTTCGATGAGAAGTTCAACCCGTTCTAAAACTCACTCAAAAATCATGTTATTTTTTTTATCCCGACGAATTCCCAGGACCAATGACCCATTTTATGCCCAATCAAAAATACCATGACCCATATTTGCCCGGTTGAAACCCATGACAATACTTTTTGGTTCAATCCTTCTCATAGTGCCATCGCTTTCCAGGTATTGCTACCAACATCTCCCGATCATCATGGTATTTTCACCAATTGTTGCTGGCTAACACCCCAGGCGCCATCATTTTTGGTGAAATCCCTTGGTGAACACTATTTTATAGCTGGTAAATGGATGTTATAACCATTATAGCCCAACAAAATATGGGAGTTCATAGCTTTTGACCCATCCCCATATGTTGTTTTTTCATGGGTGACCCACTTGACCCACCTATATCAGAGATCCTCCAAGCAGCACAAGCAGCACCCGGCCGAGCGGCCACATGCGTCAAACTTCCCAAGCGATTGGTGTTGCTGACTAAGGCCCTGCGTAAGCTCAGAGATGGGGATAGCCCGGGGCATAGCATGGCGTGAAGTCTCCAGTTTGGTGATTTCTCTCCGTTTGTCTCCCGTGGATGTAGAGAGTCTACAGATGAAGTGGTGGTTTTTCGCCCTACCCCTCTGAAAAATGATGGAGTTCGTCAGTTGGGATGATGATTCTTCCCAATATATGGGAAGTCATAAAATTCCATGGTTCCAAACCACCAACCAGCTAATGATTGTTGCTTGTATCCAGATGAAGTGATGGTATCCTCCATCGGTGTCACATGCTTTTCTCCAGCGCATCTCCGGTGGATCTCAGAAAGCGTTCCTAACTTTGGGCCCTTTGGCCCAGGGAAAATGGATGAACATTAGACACATTGAAACCACCAACCATGAATTTTCTACAGTTCCTGAAATCTCTCTAGTCAATAGCCTCGATAATTTTGATACCAAGGGTAGCTGTAGCCCCAGCCATAGCCGTAGCCCCAGCCATAGCCCCAACTATGTCCAGGCTTCCTCCAGCCCTGCCTACGCCGTGGCACCGGGACCTGCACTTCCACCGGAAGCGTCTCGGTCCCCGAGGTCGCAGCCTCGGCGGCCGCGCTGTGCGGCAGCAACATCCGCAGGGTGGCGGCTGGAGTGGTCTGGCACACTGAGGACAACAGCTCTCCATCAGGCAGGACCAGTTGAAGGTTTTCCAGCTTCATGCTCATGTCATGTGCAATGCGCAGGTAGATCTCCAAGGCCGAATCACATCTACGAGCAGTCAGACGTGAGACTTCTTGCCCAGCCAAAGTAAGCAAGGTCAGAGTGACTGCATCGCCTTCAAAAAGGAACTCGACTTGTAAAACCAGGTCCTTGCCCAACGGCATCTCGGCAATGTATCGGTTGCCTGGAGGGGGAATGTTGCATTGCCCAAATTCATTAGATCCGCAGGCCACGGCCGTGCCATCACTCCTGACTAGCACTGTATGATACGCTCCCGCAGAGACTTGGGTGTAAGACATCCCGCCTTCCAGAGGTGGAATGTCGCATTGTCCATTGATATTCACTCCACAAGCCACAGCTTGGCCGTCACTTCGGAGAAGCACGGTATGCTCATTGCCCGCAGAGATCTGGTTGTACGACACTCCTTCATCCAAAGGTGGGATGTTGCATTGCCCTTCATCGTTTTTTCCGCAGGCCACGGCAGACCCATCACTTCTGAGCAGTACGGTGTGAGCCCCACCTGCAGAAACCCGGATGTATGATGCGGAACCTATAGAAGTCCTGGGCAGAAGCGGAATGTTGCATCTTCCAAAATCATTTCTTCCACAAGCCAATGCACGGCCATCACTTCGTAGCACTACTGTATGATGTGCTCCTGCAGAAACTTCACTGTACCACACTCCCGGAACCAGCCGCGGTATATCACACTGTCGTAGATCATTTCTTCCGCAAGCAACAGCTTGACCGTCCTTTCGCAGCAGCACTGTGTGGCAGCCACCGGCCGAAATCTGGATGTATGACTTTCCTTCATCCAACGGTGGAATGGCGCATTGTCCATCCCCATTGTTTCCACACGCCACCGCACGGCCATCGCTTCGCAGCAACACCGTGTGCGCGCCGCCGGCGGACACCTTGGTGTACGACACCCCTGGCTCCAACGTTGGCACGTCGCAACGGCCGCCACCGCTGTGTCCGCAAGTGCGGGCATGGCCATCGCTGTGCAGAAGCACCGAGTGGTATCTGCCAGCAGCCATGGCGGGAAGAAAAGGACGGCTTTTCCGTGCCGAAACAGTGAAAAGTCTGGACCACCCTTGACCCGGTGACAAAAAGTGGCGGTTTTCTTACATCCATGGCCCAAGTATGAGCAAAAAACAAGATTTTTTTAGCATATGTAACTTATGAACTTGCCACATCATTGTATATCCACACATCACATTTCAGGAATACAGAATTTCCCATGGAGATCGTCGAAAAACACCACACAGGGCACAGCTCCAACCCAGGCTGTGGGTCACCCCCCCCCGTATCAACTGGGGTGAACTAAGCCACACTTACGAAAAAAAGACGGGGTGATGCAAACAAAAAACCTTCCGTAACTTGGTGTGCTACCCATCTATACCCTATGGATCCCTGTGGGAATGGCCATCCATAGCCAGCGATCACAAAGGGCTATCAATAGGCCCACGTTTGCTCGTCAAGTGCCTATTGTTGTGAAATCTCCTGTGAAATATCCCGTCAATATCCTATTTAAAAAAAGAAAAACATGTCTAAGTTCTACCACCATCGCCTTTTGTTGCTCCATGAGATCCCCTTTGAAAATCCCATGGGTTTTCACCCCCCAAAACGTCCCCCCCCCAAGGGCTATGGGATCCGAGGTCCTTAGGAGCCAGCCGGTGGTTTGGAAGTTCAGGCGCCGTCCAATGACGCTGTCGCCGCCGATGCGGTAGCCCACGGAGATACCAAGGTCCTCGCAGCGTTCCTGGCGCCAAGGATGGAGGTGAAGTTCTATGTAATGATGAGGATGATTATAATTATAACTATTGTTGTTGTTGTTGTTGTTGTTGTTGTTGTTGTTGTTGTTATTCTGATGATGGTTATTATTATTACTATTATGATAATAATAATAATAACAATTTAATTAATTAAATAACTAATTAACTAATCAATTAATTAATTAATTAATTAATTAATTAATTAATTAATTAATATATAATAGGAATTATATATATGGATATATAGAAATATGTCTATATAGAGGTGTCCTAAAAAAGGGGTACCCCCAAATCATCCATTTTAGTGGGATTGTCTATTATAAACCATCCGTTTTGGGGTCCCATTCCAGGAAACCCCCATATTTATATCCATATCTATATCTATATTATTATTCATATCCATATCTATATATATATATATGTATGTACGTATGTACGTATCTATGTATCTATCTATGTATCTATCTATCTATCTATCTATCTATCTATCTATCTCTCTATCTATCTCTCTATCTATCTATCTATCTATCTATCTATCTATCTATCTATCTATCTATCTATC